TGTGCTATAGACTGTTCTATAGACTGTTCTATAGACTGTTCTACAGACTGTTCCATAGACTGTTCCATAGACTGTTCCATAGACTGTTCTATAGACTGTTCCATAGACTATTCCATAGACTGTTCTATAGACTGTTCCATAGACTGTTCTATAGACTGTTCCATAGACTGTTCCATAGACTGTTCTATAGACTGTTCCATAGACTGTTCCATAGACTGTTCTATAGACTGTTCTACAGACTGTTCCATAGACTGTTCCATAGACTGTTTTATAGACTGTTCCATAGACTGTTCTATAGACTGTTCCATAGACCGATTTGAAAATGACTAATATTTTGCAGATGGCAACACAATAAAAAAGAGGTTAACCACGCTTCTATGGTCAAACCATTTGACAGCATTCAAGTTAAACTCTACCTCTTTGGTTTGTAATATTCGCTGCTGGTGTGAAACTTTTAAACAAAGACGTGATGTCAAAAGTATTAAAAACACATTGTCCATCAACTTTTCAACCAACATTCTTTTAATTTTCTAAGAACATACAAAAGTCCTTAAACACTTGTTTATACTTGTAGCTTTACGTCTACCTAAGAACCTAAGATTACTCTTTACAGTAGTACAAAGTGATGACCAGAGAGACCACTCTGACCACTGTCCAGCACAGCTTCAGCCAAATGTTTCTCAAACGAGCTGTGGTCCATGAGGGATAGTGCTGGCTCCTCGTTGCTTTACTGGAATCTCTTCCTTCCTTTGCTGCAGATGTGTTTGCAGACAGGGCAGCTGGGAATCGTTATCAGCGTTGGTGCACGGACCTGCGCGTGCACGGACCTGCGCGTGCACGCTGCCGTCCATGTGCAGAGCATATGTCACGATTACCAGCGAATTTCAGTAAAAGACAGTTCGAGAGAAATGAATTGAAGTCATAATCAAAAGTCTTCATGCGGCTTCACAGGAACTGGCCAAAAGGAAATAAAGTCTGCAAAAAAGCAGGGACGAGCCAAGACAAATGTATGATAAACAATCCCACACAGATCTGTTCCCAGATCTTCAGCCGTGGAAAATGTCACATACTTTCACTTAACATTCAAGTTTTAGTTTAGGGTTTCAAAGGGTTCCAATGGCAGGCATTACACAGTATGTCCCGTGTATTTCTGTTGTGAGCAAGTGTGACTGACCTTTTTTGACCCACATCACAGACAAAAGGACCACTTACACAAATATTACCATATTACAAAATAAAAATCACTTTTTTCCAACGCACATATGACATGTATTAAAAGTAGCACCGGATTACTGCTTTTACTGTCAAGGGCAAGATGTCCCGCAATATTTGAATGCGTAAAGGTTGACTTCAGTTACCAAGTGATCTTTAGCTCAGGTTAATCACGTAATGTGTTTTACTCTAAAGATTAAACCTTAATGGCAATTGGTCTTTATTACATCCATCCATCCATCTTCCTCCCCTTTGTCCAGGTCACTGATCCTTCTGCGGGTGGTGAGTCCACAGGAGGACGGATGCTCTGTCTGCCAGAGCACAGCCTTGATCTTTCAGCGGGGTCTTCAGGCAAAGTGGGGTTGAATGTCCGAAGACCGAACCCAAAGGCCCTTCAGGCTCAAAGGTGAATGCTCTGCAATTGGTCAGATTTCAATTTTAAAATGAATCTGTAAATCAGTCAACAACACCCGGCCTTTTCCAGTTGAGTTTCAATCTAATCATCAATATAAAATAATAATAATAATGCATCGGTTTTATATAACGCTTTTTTGGACACTCAAAGACGCTTCCCATGTCATTATTCATTCACTTCATACACGGTGGTGATATACTACTTCTGTAGCCACAGCTGCCCTGGGGCACACTGACAGAAGGAAGGCAACCAGTATGTGCCGTCGGCCCCTCCGACCACCTCCAACCATTCACACACACCAGACTCATTCTAGGCAATAGGGGTAAAGTGTCTTGCCTAAGAACACAACGGCAGTTTGGCACTTTACAGCCGCAGCCGCCCCACTGTGGCTGGTGTTAAGATGACAAAGACAGCAGACAGTGGGAGTCGATGGTGAAAGTCGGGCTCGAACCCACAACCTTCTTGCTCAAAGGCCAATGCTCTACCAACTGAGCTACTGTCTATACTGTATATACATTTTGTTCAGAAAAGAGAATCCAAAAGAATATCCAAACCCATGATCATTAAAAGTAACAATTTGTTCCAAAGACCTCCATAATGTAAAGCGTAAATGCACAAATATAACCAGATCAACAAAGCAATAAACAATTCAAGGATATGTAATACATCGTTGACAATTATGAAAAATGTCCAATGGGGGGCGACGAATGACCATATTGAGATAATATCGTATCGTTAGCCATGAAGAACCCAAAGAGTCCCAGCCCAAACCCAGATCCAATTCTGCATTACTGATTTATAATTACAGTAGCAACATCGCATGAGCTGCATTCTTTTAAATCATCTGGTCTGTGAGAAATGCCTGGAGTCAGACAGCCACACCCAGCTGAAACAAACAAACACTGGACAGATCTGATAAAGGCCATTTGGTTTGGAGGCAGAGGAAGTCTTTTCAGGCAGAGTCAGTCACACACAGTACAAGCAAAAGGGGAATTTGGATCAAAACATTGGATTTGACCAAAGTTTCAGAGTGTAAAGCCAATATAAAACACATGTGCTCTTATGGGAGCTGTGAGTTCAGCACTTAGTTATGTTGCTGTTTATTTGCTGTGCTCTCATTTGTGTAGAGCCAGAGGTGTGACGAGCAGTGGAGCGCTCCAGAAGTGGGACCTCAGTTGGTCCATGCAGGTTTTTGTCTGGGGCAGAGGCTGTGTTCAGTTGCACACAAAGGCTCAGAGGAGTCTCAATTATACAAAGCTCATGATTACACTTCTGAAGGTCCAGGACGGCAAGGTTCTCTCCAGGCCAAAATCAGTCACATCTGTACTAGGAAAGCCCACTCAAGCCAAACATATACTGTATATATCGACTACTGTGAACTTGACTCAAAATACTGATCTGTTTGATTCACCTGTGATTTAATCAAATTCAAATACAAAGAGTCCATAGTTCAAAATGGTGAAATCTTTTCTGGTGACTTTGGTTCTCTTTGGTCTGATTATGTTCTCATAAAAGTGTGTAGAATTTGTGAAATTACAATTAGTGAATAACAATATGGCGGGTTTGTCAATCAAATCCAAATAAAATAATAATAATAATAATAATGCATCAGTTTTATACAGCGCTTTTTTGGACATTCAAAGACGCTTTACATGTCATTATCTATTCACTCCATACACAGTGGTGATAAACTACTACTGTAGCCACAGCTGCCCTGGGGGACACTGACAGAAGTGAGGCAACCAGAATGTGCCATCGGCCCCTCTGAACACCACCAAACATTCACACACACACCAGAATTATTCTAGGCAATGGGGGTGAAGTGTCTTGCCTAAGGACACAATGGCAGTTTCGCACTTTACAGCCGCCCCACTGTGGCACCTGCTGTTCGCAGAGGTTAAGTGTCTTGCCAAGGACACAACAACAGCAGACATCAGTGGGAGTCGGTGGAGAAAGTCTAATGACATTTTCTTTTTCTAAATTTCTTTCAAATATTGCGTCACCATTTTTCAAGATAAGAGACATGTTCTTAATGCAAAATCCAGGTAGACCCGCCCACACTGGGTCCTGAATGGACAAATGTATTCAAATCCTTGATGGACAGCTAAAGCCTCTCATCACTGGTCTAACTATTCTCCGCCAGCAAATCCCTATTCCAAGGGGAGGGACTGATTTAATTATAATACATTTATTATAAAAAATACTTCCTATAGATGATACTACAGGGACATTTGGTGAAAATATGTTTTGAAATACAATTGATCTTTCTGACATTTTAGAGACATTCCTGTCCTATCGGCTTTAGTCACTGTGACCACAGTAGCTCAGGACAACACGAATAGTACGAAGAGTAGTTCTATGTAATCCCATCATAGACAGTATCAAAGCACAAAGAAATGATTGTACCATATATGTAAAAAAGTGGATTTTATTTTACTTTTTTACATTCCACACCTAAAAAAAATAAACAATGGACAAGAAGATACACAACATGTTGGGGTGTAACAACCTTTATTGAATTTATCGAAGGCTTTTACAACACATTGGGCTGCAGACCTTCAGACGAATGTTAAGTGCACAGACCTGGGGCATAATGCTGTGTGTTTGTGTGGTTTCCTGTGTCACTGATTTAGTATTGAGGTGTGTGTTTGACAGAAGTGAATGGGGACCAGATTTCTGCTGTTCCAATCAGGAACCTCCGATTGGTTTGGATCTACTTTACGTAACATCGCCCAGGGGCCCAACTGGAAATTACTTACATTCGTGTGAAAGTGGCACACCAAAGCACATATCAGTACACACACACACACCAGCAGCTGTTCCGTTCACATCAGTCTAGAGTCAAAGGTTACGTTCTGTAGATTACTTAATTAACCAAAGCTTTCAAGTGATGTCAGTGTGCTTTGAAACAGGATTAGCTTTAGTCACAACTTAGCATTCAACATTCCTGCAGTTTGATTCGGCCCTACATAAAGGTTTTGTGAATTTAACACTATGGCCCATTTGAAAATATGAATGCAGTTTAGAATACCTGAGTTCAGATCTGATCAAAAGCTACATAAGAGTCTAAAGACAAGAAACACTTATGAACTCAACCCTGATCTTTGCTCTAAGAGGAAGTCTCAAAAGGATTAGGGTTAGAAATACATAGCACCATGATGTATGTTATTATCAGCTAAAATCATCAGAGTAGTTAGTTGGATATCCTCTAAAGGAAAAAAATCAGGGTTAAAGTTAAAAAATGTTGGCCAATCACACAATCATTTGTCATTTTTCTAATTTTAATGAACTTGAGCAGTGTCTGGTAAATGAAAGTGAATAATCATGGGATCAAAATCGAAAGTATCTTGATCCAGTTGTTATGAGTTCTGCTTTAGGACATGGCCACTCTGCGGGACACGGTTAGGTGGAAGACTCCGCGGAGCAGAGAGGAGTAGTCTGCCACACGGAACAGGTGCCGCTGGGTGTAAGAGATGTTGTCAAGCTGCCCCCGGCTCACCAGCATATTCAGGTTGACCTCGTTCACCTGACTGCCCACCGCGATCACAAACAGCTCCAGGTTTGCACCAGCCACTTTGCGGGCTTTGTCTAAGAGCGCAGCCGTGGTGAGGTCCTGAGACCGGCCGTCAGAGAACAGCACTACCTTCCTTTTGCTGCCGGAGGAGTCTCCACGGTCTGGCAGACGAGATATCGCAAAGTCTAGAGCCTGAAGCACATCAGTGCCGTCGTTGGAGTATTTGGCCTGTTCTACTCGCGGTAAAAGCTCGTTGAGGTTGGTGGTCAGAGGCTGCTCCATTTTGGTGCTGCGACTGTACTGGGCCACTCCCACGCGGACTACAGGGTTCCTCCTCTCCGGGTCAATGAAGCGCTCCGCTAGACGACGGACAAAGATTTTACTGGTCTCAAAGTTCTTCTCCCCCACACTTGAGGAGCTGTCGATCATCATCAAGATGTCATGGTTTCTATCGAAAGTGACTGAAACAAAACAAATAACGTTTTTAGAATCATTTAGATTTGTTTTTATCATTCTGATCCAAACTAATACTTACTGGGACATTTGTAGTCTGGACACTTCTTATCTGGAAAAGACAATGGATAAGGGGTAAGGTTTTTGTGTTTTGTTGATTATTGTTAATAAATAATATAAATTATAAATTTTGTGAGATCAAAAAAAGTTTATCTTATCTTATTTTACCTTGGCAGATCTTTGAGGTGAGGTTCTGTAGGAAAGTATCCTCCAAAAGCTCAGCATAGTTGTCTCGCACAAAAGAGAAGCCAGGCTTTTTGGGGTCGCTCTGACAGGCGACATTCTCCAGCTGTTCCAAGTTGGGAATTTGGCCGGCGTAATCTTTAACTCCAATCCCTCCCACCTGTGGAGAAAAAGAGCGGTTTAATAATATGTGACTTTGTAATAACGTCCATTTTACGGGGTAAAGCCTGCCGTACCCGTATGCCTTTATTACACAGCGCATCGAGAGGCAGTGTGTCTCTGGTCGTGTCTGAACGTCCGTCAGTCAGAACGATCGCCACTTTGTTCTCTTTCTTCATTAATTTGATGGTGCTTTTAAGTGCATAGTCCAGAGCCTCACCAGTGTACGTGGCCTCAGCCAGCCACTCCAGATCCCTCACCATCCTGCACACAGTAAGCCTCTGATTATCAATATATTTGTATAGTTTGTATAGTTAGACTAACAAATCTGGTCAATAAACATACAAATAAATTTCACATTACAGGCCTTGTATATAATGGAAACAATACTTTCCATACAACAGTTGAGTCTGAAACAAATTCATTCTGACCAGAGCCTAACTCTTCTGCAAAGTCAAGGGTCTGGCTAGTCCAAATGTGCAAAGGTGACTGTAAATTTAGCGGTGTGATTTGGTAAACATGATCATATGATGATTGAGTTTGAGGTGTAAATGTTCCTTTGGAAAAATGTGAAAATACTACTTTGATGAACTCACTGTTTGAACTGGGTGAGACTGTAATTGCTTGAGGCCAGGTAGATGGCTTCCTGAGCCCTGGACCCACTGTACTGGACCACGCTCAGCGTCGATTCATTGCCAGAAAACTGCAAGAAAGCATTAACACCACACATTTACCACGTTGTTCACCAGGGCAGTCCACACTGGTGCAATGGTTGTGTCAACATTCCAATGTTCCACCCATCCTGAGTAATTATATCCAAACTGGAAGAGCAGAGTCATGGTAAAAGGCCAATTAGGTTTATTTATGTTTTCTGTCTTCACCAGTGGACTTGGTGCAACTTTTTCTATTACTCGTTTAGAGTGATACAGTTTTTGAAATAATGCTGAACTAATGAAAACCAAAGAATGTTGAAAGTACAATGTGGAGAAATGTAAAAATGCATTATTTATGATGGGCGTTACCTTGACTTGTTGGTCTTTAATCAGCCTGTCGATGACTGTTATAATAAAATCTTTGGCGAGACCAAAGTTTGCCAGGCCGATACTCTCAGAGCTGTCCACGATGAAGACCAAGTCCAGGGGTGTACATTTACACTCTGAAACACCAGCAGAAACAGACTTACTAAAATCATCCCAAATGAATGAGCCATAATGAATGAACATTAAACAAACTCACCACAGCATGCTGTGAAGTGGAGACGACATGAAAAAAACAAATAAAGGGTCATTAACCAAGAGGAAAACCTCTTTGTTCTTAGGGTTTGAGGTTTCACAATGTGCGGCACATATGTTCATAAGATCCATGCATTATGTTTTTAGTTATGCAAATGTCAAACTCACAGCACAGCTTCATGATGATATCCAGAATTTCACATTCCTAAATAGAAAGATGGTAACATGAGTTTTGGACTGTTTAAGGCACATTCCATAACTGCTGTTGAACTCCACTGGCCCCAGACAGCTTCAAGTTTCAAAGAAAAGATAAAGAGGAAAAAAACGAATTTAGAGGTTCTTTGTTGAATGTTTTCCAGGAGGGTTCCAGGTTTTAATTCAGGATATTGGATGTTTGCCTTTAGTCGAAACAAAATGGATCCGTTTCAGAAAATAATCTCAGGGGAGTGTCCCACTCTACATTTAATCATGGTCAGGGCCCAGAGCGAGTGCATTCAGCAGACTGTGAACTTACATCAGTTCCTTGAGGTCCGGGAGGCCCAGGAGGTCCCTGTCACACAGATAACAGCAGAAATATAGTCAAAAGACTTGTGACCATGCAATGATTGATGCAATCAATGACAAAAGACAGAGCTGTTTTTAAGTGGAAACCATGATTCTTGAAGAACGTTTCTCCTTTGACTGCAAACCAAAGTCTGAACCCACATCCACGCCCACACATCGGAGCGCACTATCTCCACAAAACAAACATCTTCCAAAAGTTCATTACCACAGCCTTTTTTATTCTCTCAGCAACAGCGAGACATCTGTTTTGAAACATTGAAGTCAGTTTAAGAGAATTCTTTTCTGTAACAAAGATGTGGAGAGTCGTAGATTGTGCAGGCAGGACAGACGACAGAAACAGTCCCGATACACATGACGCAAACAGCTCAAACGGAAATATGCAGCGGAGACAGAAGCCAGAGCAGCAGGGGAGAGCATGACCACGGCTGGGTTAAAAGTTTGTGCTGTTTACATTATATTTAGATCGATTCAACATTCAGGGACTTCAAATGATTCTGCTTCCTTAAAATTGACAGATTTGTCACGCACATACTCTAAACTAAACCTGGACAATTGAACATTATTTGACTTTGCACCCACAGTTTAGCACCTAGACTGATACATGAGGCCTACAGTGTCCTAACAGACTTTCAGTTGCCAGTGCAGTGGATTACACATTTCTTTCCTCTGCAGTGAGTCATGGCTATAATTTCTGTGTTTTTCTTGTGGTTTGTAGTTACGTTCAGTACTGGGAAGTAAGCTCTCAGTGACTCAGAACAACCCACTGGTATAGTACTACAAGAAACAAAGACGACAAACAGAAACTTCTGTTTGGTTGCAAATGTTCAGTATGTTAGAGGAAGCTTAAAGTGATCACCAGATGTAAGCTGACAGAGGCAGCCGCCTGTGGACGGTGGATGGATGTTTGTCCTAAGTCTGTACTTGTCCACATTCACGTCATTATTTTCACGGCCCAGTTTTCTTACCGGTTTGCCCTCAGGTCCTCTGTGGCCTTTGGCCCCTTTGGGTCCGGAAAGTCCTGGTTCATTGTTCTGGGAAAAAAGGAAAGAACGTACAGAAGGAGATTACACTTGGGAAAAAAGTGAAATAAACGAAGACACCATTTGAACGTTAATCTACGCTCAAATTGTTTTGTTTCCGAAACCTTCACATACACCCCTTTGCTCTTTGCTCACCTGTCACTCACAACACAAAACACTCTGATGATAAGTGGGAGTAGAAAATGCACTACACTCTAAGCACTCATTTCTGTTTTCTATGCTGGAATCTTCCTTCTTTTTCCGTACAGTGAATAGTTATTCATTTAGTTTCAATTTGATTTTACTTTGTTTCCATGTTTGAGTACCATAATGTTGTGGACATAAAAAACCATATAGTCATGTGACAAATTTGCAAACCCATGACCCTTCAGGGTGTGTATTTTATCACAACACAAAGCCCAATGCGTTAACTCCAGCCGCACCGTTCACTGAGATCATTCATGTTGTAGCTACTGTTTTGCATCCGTTTTCTAATGAAGACAAGACACTTTTAAGATCATGTTTGTGATCTGTCTGTGGGATGGGGAGGAGTTTCAGAAAATGTTCTCCAAACTCATCTCCCCTGTGTATTTTCCCCATCTAGATTCAGCAGCTCCGATGGTGGGTGGATTTAGAAATTAATATTTCCATTGTTATACTGCAGTTGAAACAATACAACAAAAACTTTAAATCCGTTTGGATAGAAGTGTGGATCCACCCTTGTGTAGCAGAAGCAGCTGCTGAGTCCCAACTGAAAACTGTGGAGAAATAAGAGCTTTGCGCCACAATCTTTTCTCACAGTAGTGAGAACAAAGTTTGAACAAGAACACCATCCGTAGAGCGCAGACCTCGGCCAACAGGTGCACCTTAAATTGGACCAAATCTGAAGCATTGTATACTTTGAACAGTTTAAAGATGCAGTCCACAATTGCACCCTAATTTTCTCCAAATTCTTTAAAATTTTACATTGGAAATTAATAATATTTTGTTGGATATCGGATATTTGTCTAAGATGTATGTAAACTTCTGCTTTCAACTGTAAATATATAGCAGCAATGGTATAGACAAGGCTTTCTAAAGAAATTCCACCTGGGATCAACGTGGAACCATCTATAGTGTTTGCCAAATGCGGTAGAAGCGGTTTTAGAAGAGTGGCCGTAATTGGTTCGTTTTGAAGCCTGTTGGTCTGTCCATAAATGCCACACAAAAAGCAGTCCTTCCTAGTACACAGAAACACCTTTTAAGGCAATCTGGAGTTTATCTCGGCAAATTGAAGCATATTTGATAGCATATATTAAACTAAAAACACAAAGATCATAGAGCATGCTAAACCATGGATTTCTAAGCCTGACACGGTGAGTGCAAAAACCAACAGTGGAGCAGATACACTAACAATAACAATATATATATATATTCACAATAACAAGTGAATTGGAATGGACAGACTGGGTAATCTCCAAACTCAATCAGAACTTGAGGCAACTTGAAGCAAGAGGCAGAGACTGGCACTTTGAACTCGGGATGAATCATTTGGAGTTTGATGTGAAGCAGACACAGACTGAAGGATCCATAATCTATCATCAGCACAATCTCTGTATTTACTGGAGAAAAGTCTGAGGGCTGCTAATACCAACCAGCTGGCTCTGAGGAACGAGGAGCAGCCATTTTGAATCCCCACACGTTTTTAATGACTACACTTCAAACACATAGATTAAGCCTGGCCCGTCTCAGGTCCTGCCCCAAAGGCCGACATGGCGTCACACTTCATTGGGCTGTATCCTGAAACGTCATTGTACCATGTCATCTTTAGGTGTATTTGTTGAAAAGTTTAGAAGTCAAAGGTCCTGGTCTGCTTCTACCTTCACCTTTTGGGGCTCGCTCCAGTTTCACTCTGTTCCACATGGTCAAAAGATAGTGTTGTCAAGATTAGTGGTAACAGACCCTCTCCACTAGTTTAGAAAAGGTTTATCACTGGTCTGTGGCAGAAACAATAAGACCACTTATTACCAAACAATAAACCTAGATTTTGAGGTGACATATATTTTGTTAGTAAGAGTTTTGTAAAAATGTATGCAGGATCGGGGCACACAGCCCTGAGTTTTAAGTGTTTAGTAGCTAACTAGGTCCACTCGAGGTAAGTCACTGCATTAAAAACAGTTCAGTAACGTCATGAGGACTGTTACATTTGAGTCCAAGTCTAATACAGAGTCCCCAGTTGTTTAATAAGCTTTGTGTAATTTTATAACAATAGACAATTGAAGTTCTCCCTCACCAAGGTGTAAAATAATGTTGTATCATGTACCATTCAGAGGCAATAACATACAGGGAGAAGATACTTTACATTTCCACTGTTGTGATGACTGCACCACTGTTTAATTAATGGTTCTTATAATCTTCTAGATATATGACTTTAGAATACATTAGGAAGGGATTGCTGAGCTCTACGACATTAGTTTTTTTTTTTTTTTCAGGCCAAAATCTGGACAGCTGCACTTGATAGCGTCCTTTGAGGACACAACCTTGATGAGTTCTAAACATTATTGACCTTGTTGAATTTAAAGCTTACAAAGTCGTGAGGTCTGTGAGCAGAGGGGGTCAGAGGTCTTTGAAGTACAGATGAGAGCTAAGTCCAAACATGTGCAGAAATGTTTATGTCATAAAAACGAGACCTTCGAAATGCAGTAATTGCAGCGTAAACACGAACGAGTTGAAGCCAGGGTTACCGTGTTAAAGCGACACCCTATATGGTCGATGTACAGTGGCCACACACACAACTGCAAGAACTGCATACCAAAGCCTTCATCTCCTCAGATCATTTCCTCCTAGTATTCATGACAACGGCATACACACAGCTGCATCAGCTAAACATCCCAAAAGACCCTCCCTAACCCCCAAATAACACTCACTTACAGACACAGCACATATGCGTGCAATCTGCAGTTCATGTTTTCTCATGAAGACACCAGTCTGAGAAATGTACAATACTTTATATTCTCATTTAAGTCACCATTACTGCTGCTGTTTGTAATCAAAGTGATAAGACGGCCAATACCAAACTTGTGACTCACATCCTGTTTAGTCTCAATTGGGACGGAGACAAGAAATTAAGATAGGGGAGACTCAACAAGGAGATTCAACAAGATCCAATAGGATCAAAAGCAATTAGGAAAGAAAGTGAAGACACTTACGTCAGGACCTGGATCTCCGGGCTCTCCGTCGTCTCCTTTGGGTCCAGGAGTTCCCTTACTGCCCTAAGGTCATCACAGTTTTAAATCAATACATCTAATTGCCAAAATAGCTGATATTTTCTTGCAAACACAGTATGTATTTCTAAAAGATCAAATGTTTTGGTAAACTTACAGGCTCACCAGCATCTCCAACAAGGCCAGGAAAACCCTAACAGAAAAAAACGTATGTGCATTTGAATTCAGAATATCCACATAACTTAAAATATGAGGAAATATACCTGGAAACCTTGACATCCCACTGTACCATTTCCAGGGACGCCATCTTCCCCCTAAAATTCAGAAACATTCAGTCTCACATCTACTCAAATCCTCCTCACACATCATGAAGAGCCCTCACCCGCTCCCCCATAACGCCTCTGTCTCCTGGAGCTCCTTTGATTCCTCTTGGCCCTTTTGGACCCTGCAAGAATAAAACTTTCAGAAACATCACCTTGTAAAAACAAGGTATTTGTTCAAACCATTTAGCAGTTGTAAAACATGTGTTTAGCAAGTAAATTACACTCACATATGTTTTCAAAAAAGACGCGAGACTCACCTCTGGTCCAGGGGGGCCTTCGTCGCCTCTGTAGCCAGGAGCACCGAGTTTGCCAGGCTCACCCTGTTATCAGACAGGTTGTAAGTTTTCATCAAGTCCAGCAACTCACAAACTATCTTATACTTTATATCAGTCATGGAACAAAAATCTATTTTTGAATTTAACCTCTTTTTGTAATGTTGTACAAAGTGTAATTGTTTTATATATTGACCATGATAGTCTGAGATTGAGATTTAGGAATCTCTATTTCAGGGGAGTCCTGGCCCATGGGAGAAGCCTATTGTACCTTTTTAGTTGCCTACCAGCTCAAATCAGGATGGATCCCACACTACCTTTTCAGAGGGAGGGGAAACTGAATGAAACCTATGCAAAAAAGGAGAACAGTCTTGGAAAACAACTCGTAGCCAATAGGGCCCAGCTCCAAGCCCAGCTCCAAGCCCAGGTTTACAATATAAAGAAGATTAAGTTAAGCTAAACTGACTGCTACTCTACAGCAAATCATGGTGTAGTAAATCCTATTCTCATACTTGGAATTGTGTCCAGCTGACGACAGCTGACAGCTGCTGTTTGTAATGATCTAAATGTTTGGGTGAAATCCATTCCTTCGCATAGCTAAAATGGAAAAAAATACTACGTTTCCCATAGTTCCATTTTTTCTGAAATACAGTGTCCAATCCTGGTTTAGTCCCCCAATCTACATTCAAACAACTCTTGAGGAAATCCATCCACACTTCAGGTTGTCTGAGTGTCAATGGAAAACGTACCTGGCCTGATTGATTCGAACATCCCATGACAAAACACAGACACACCTTTTTTATGAGGTGTTTCTGAGAACAGTGATTGTCTATGACACTTGAAGTAGGTCTATGTGTCAAATATTCCATGATATGTGTTGCTTATATTTTACTGGACATTCAGCACTGATGAGGAAAATGCATCCTGAAGCACAAAGAGCCATTGAAGCTTGAGACGTCACGGAGGTAACCACAACTAACACTTGAACAACACATAGTATTATTATTACACTGCCTTCAGCCCCATTAAGAAAACCATAGTGAGGCTTTGGCTGAAGTGAGAGAGAAGAAGTGAGTCAGAGGGGAAAGACTGAGCATGGATGTTCCCTGGAGAAGTAAACTCTGAGAACAAGCTGCAGGACATGGAGCTTGAAGGGAGTGGGCAGCTCTGGGGTAGTCGCCAGGTGGGTCTCTGTTTGGGCTAAGCTCCAGTGTACACCCCCTCAACAAGCACAATAAACGCACAAGCTTTTCCAAGTGGAAAAAGGGATGCTGTCCAGAAGAAAAGTGGTGTCTACTATAGACTATGCCTAAGATTTCTGAACAAGCTAATGCTGAAGCTCAGTAAGTAGAAGAAGTTCATTGTTACAGAATTATTTATCTTACGGGGTCTCCATTGGGGCCAGTGGAGCCCTCCCTTCCTTGCTCTCCACGGGGTCCTGGCTCACCCTAAAAAACAACATAAAAATAACAAAATTAATTCAAGATTTCAAATAAAAAGCTGTAAAAATGTGTTTTTACAGAGAGCATCATGAAGCATAACATGTGTTAGTGCACATTTCTGCCTGCTTTCAATCAATGTTTTTGTGGTTTTATTCACTTGCCTCGCCTCTGGAGGGTTTTTAGTAACCATTCTTTACATCCCATATCTTTTGTTGTTTCCAGGCTTGGAATTTACTGACTGAAATCACATGTCTGTTTGTCAAATTGTCAAAAACAAATTTATGGGCAATGATTTTCCTTTAAAAAGGCAGAAAACTGCTCTAAGTATTCTGTCATAGGGGTACAATCATTACTGGCCTGAGACAGGAGCTTTTTGACAGAAAGGGCGGGGTTACATGTTTGAACCAGAAATTCCTGATATTATCATGGATCTAAAAAAAACTGCAGGTCTTTTGATTAACAAACAATGTTGTAAGACGATTATAAGCTAAGAAAAATTATTTTGCAAAATATATAGCAGTTATTAGTGATACACATACAAATTCAACACATTCTAAATAAAACCAAATAACTGTAAATTGTATTAAAATATTTGTAATATTGCAATATAATACTTGAATACTGTAATAAATTATGAAATACATAACGTACCGGTTCTCCTCTGGCGCCTCTCTTTCCTCGAGAACCTAGCTCTCCTTTCTCTCCAATTTGTCCCTAAAAGGATTTTAAAACAGAAGTAACTCTGGCAGCGTTCACACAAACACTGTCACTGATACAAAAGGAACTGTCCTTACTTTCTCTCCTCGGGCTCCATCTGCTCCTGTTTCACCCTGCACAACACACAATCAGCGAAGCAGAGCACCACTCAACAAAACATGTCACAAAATACTTCAAGCCAGACCGGCATATGACCAAAGTATATATACGGGACGCAATCTAAAACGGAAGCACCCAGGAAAGTCTATAAAACCTTCTATGAGAAGATATAATGTATTCTATGTGGAGATGGCACCAAGGGAGCCATCTCTAGATGTTGACGCTCGGCTTGGTCACAACTAGCATTTACCCAATGCATGTACGCAAGATGGGCTGATCTATCATACATAAACCTGTGAAGATGCAAACTCTACTCAGAGAGGCCCTGTTCCGACCAAGATTATAACCCAGAGTTCCTCACACTGCGACTGTTTACACATTAAGTATAACATTACTCTGTGAATAAAAATGATAACTAACACTTGCTGGTCTCACTTGTAGATTTACCTCGACGTTGTTAGATTCAGTGGTTCTTTAAACACTTTCTCTTCTGTTCCCGATTAGCTCCAGTTTGTTTGCATTGGAAATATTGTTCATGTATGCATTTTATTATCTGGATAGGGTGTTGCTAGCTTAAACCCGTCTCCAGAACCTCCAAAAGAGGGGCACTGCATCTTAAATTCAGACGGACTGTAAGGAAACTTTCACTAGAGACCTCAATACTGGTGGCTAAAATGGCTCATCCTCAGCTGACAAGGAACCCACAGCTTTCACAAAGGTCAGATTTTAGTGTCCCCCTTGTCATCCTGAACTTTTTTTGGTTTTATACATCCACACTCTTGGACAAACTGGGCTTGCTCTAGTTCCACTCTAGTTCTGCTCTAGCTCAGCTCAGAACGTGTCTTCTGTGCACAAGCATGAGATCGACAAGAGCGTTCTGAACCAATCAGGGATGACTATGGACGATGGTGCTCGCTCATGACACTTAATGAGTGTTCTGGTCTTGCAGAAGTAGAACCACTGCACACCTACTGTGCTACCAGAAATGCGTAAAATGCGTTACATGTTGCGAGCATGCGGCTTGGAGCACAGGCCATTGATTTCAATGAGCAGATATACTCAGGGCTTGCTTTAGTAATGTGCAATAGTCCTAAATTCTAGCAGTAATTTCCTCACATTTTACCATGTTGTTGATTGCACTGGTGAAAGTAATTGGTCATTCAAACTGCGTAGAGATGAATGCAGAGCCAGTAACCAGACACTATTAAGAACATTAACAACTGACTTACATCATCACCTCGTTCTCCCTTTTCTCCATTGGCTCCAGGTTGGCCACGATCTCCCTGAAATAAAAATGCATTTTACACTTTTGAACGGTTTCTTCTTTTCTTGATTCTTACTTGTGCATCAATCACCTTTGGTCCCAGTGGACCATAGTTTCCAGGACGGCCAGGTTCACCGTCTTTTCCAGGATCACCCTGAAATATATGTCATTGGTCACAATATGACATAATACATTGACTGGCGGCAAGGTAGGGTTAGTGGCGGACTCTCAAGGCCTGCAAGGCCTTTACTGCTGGTCTAAATATTATCATATGTTGCTATGACCCAAAATCTGCCTCTAGGCCTTCAGACTGTCTTTTTATTGGATACACAATATAGAGAGATGTCAATGCAGACAAGTGAATGTAATAAACAGAAACAAACAAATATGCTATTGCATGACAACTTGTTTTAGTTTTTTCAACCCTCTACAATTGAAGGAGGTAAAAATATTGTTCTGGTAGATAGTTAGAACTCCTTTCTCAAGAAAAACAGACACAAAGGGACTAGGAGAGCCAGGATTTTGCCCCGACCAGAGCATACACATTCGGTCATGTTCTCAGTGCTGTCAGAGAAGAAACGCATTGTGAACAAGTGCGTCATGCGTGTATACAAACTACGGCAACGTGCCTCCTGTCGTTTTAACACAGGACGCACACTGCTGTAGGTGGGGTCTTTGGCACAAAAAAAGTTGGAGATTGCTGGGTTAGGACGCCACTGCAGGCGCAGGTCTGAAATGACCGCCCCGCCACTGGGTGGTGCTATGTCTTTTTGGTTTCATAGTTTATCATTTGATAGTCTACCAGCTTTTCTGCTTGAATGGGTTTCATAATATGCTTTATTTTAACTAGCGGTAATCTTTCAGTTATATATTTTGTTAGCAGTGCGTTGCTTTTGTACCATTTCATCAGTGATTGTTGTACAGCTTACAAGTCGCAAATAAAACTAGATTGCTCCGTGGGATGAGAGCGTAGGGGAAATGAGAAGCCTGTGAGCGAGTTGAGTGGGGGTGCTAAACATTCAAGCAATTTCTTAAGTAAATTGGTGCCAGTCATATTGGAGAGACTAATACATTCTAAACCAAAGTTTTTTTGTGTGTCATGTGGTGGTTTACCCTTTCTCCTTTCTGCCCATAAGACCCAGGGTCTCCCTTTGGTCCAGGTTCTCCTTGTAGACCCTTAACAGTGAAGACACAAACACGTCTGAAGTTATTGAGTTTGCTGCACATTCAAACACGTTTATTTACAAGTAATTGACTTTGCCTCATTTATACAGTTTGACAGTTGTAATGAAACCAAGTGTGATTAAAGACCTGTGAGTCTGAACAGCCTGGGGCTACTGCAGGTCATTAAACATACAAACCATTCCCGAAAATGTAGATACAGCTGGCCACTAATGAAAATATATTACCTCTATGTGTACAAATGATATAAACTGTGTTGTGATTATCGCGGGATCACACTCCTCAGGCTCCCTAGAAGGGTGTATTCCAAAATACTGGTGAGGAGACTCCGGCTGATAGTCGAATATTGGTTTTTGGAAGAATCCTTTGGGGAATTATCCGGGTATACGGGGTGACTGTTGTTGAGAGTTAATACTAAAGAAATATAAACTCAATAGAGTTCATGTTGGTCCCTGGCAAGGCTGCCTTAGGGTCTTCCTTACAGGATTTCATCACTGCTGTTTGCAGCCTTTTTTTCCTGTCTGCTTCAGCAAACCAGGACCTTCAACATGCACCGGGACGGTTTGCAGTCGAGCCTGAAGTGGCAGAGATAAAGATCACTGCCCATGTTTTGGACTTGTCCCACTGTGAGGAGACTCCAGGGAAGACCCAGCACACACTGGAGGAACAATGTCTCTCAACTGGCCTGGTAAAACCTTGGAATTTCCTCGGATGAGCTAGATAAGCCAATAGATATATCAGTAGAAAATGAATGGACGAAATAAACTGCCTGTTTTAAGTGGAAGTTCTGATATTGTAATATCAGTTTGTGAAAATCAGGTAACCAATTTCATGTTTTTTGGTACACAATTCCACACAAAAAATGGTACTCACATCTGATCCAGGGGACCCTTTACAACCAGAAAGACCAGTATAACCTGGCTCCCCCTAAAGAGAAACAAAACATCATACAAATGTCTACCAGTAATTTCAATTACTTTAAGCTTGTTTCTGCTTACCTTTCGCCCATCAATTCCATCTATTCCTCCTTTTCCTTTATCTCCCTAAAAGAAACATGTAAGTGAAGGACTTGGATTTAATATAGTGATATTCTGTGCAGGCAGAAAGCAGAAAGTTCACCTTGTAGCCTTTATGTCCTCTTTCACCCTACACAAAAGATAATGGTAGTGATTATTTAAGAAACAAAATATGAAGGTAAAGTGAAAATGTAGTTGGCATCACCTTGTATCCTCTGCCCCCACGGTCTCCCTGGAAACACACACACACACACACATCATGTTTCTCTTGGGTATCTATCTAGACTGTCTTAGAGGAAGTGACATCTCGCAAAAAACCAATATTGCATTATTAGAATGTCTTAAACACTTTGGGTTGTCCTCATGCCGTACCTTCATTCCACTGTAACCGACTGGACCAGGGTCTCCGATGCTGCCCTATATCATACAAATTAAAATAATTAAAACATATTTATTGTTCTTAAATCAAGTTTCGTTACTGAAATACCTACCACATTTCCGATATCTCCTTTCTCTCCGGGCATTCCAGGTCGACCTGTCTCTCCCTGTAATGACATGTTACAAATGGTCATTGATTGATTGATCCAATATTAAAGTGTTGATTTCATGATCCTATTACCCGAGAGCCAGGGTCCCCATCTGGACCTTTTGGACCACCTTTGGCCTGCGGAACAAACAAACATGACAATGTAGTATTTATAATAGTAATTAAAGAGTAAAAGATAGTATAAAATAAAAAAACAAAACACTTACGTTACAATCATAGGAGCAGCACTAAATTAAAAAAGACAAACACAAATTACAACAATATTCAGTCATGCAATGCATTGTATTGTCTTTAAATTATTATATTGAAAATATTTGTGGATGATTTGTCACATTTCCATCAAGATAATCAATCTTGATTTGATGTCAATGTTTAAAATTGTTGATACCTTGTAAATTTCCCTTGATTAAGTTTACATAGTTTGCACAAAAAGTGTGAAAAAATGTAAGAATATATCTTTCATAAAATGGCAATTTCTTACCTGATCCTTTGTCTCATTTGTCTGAAATCAAATAAAAAGAGCCTGATATTATATTTTGCTATTAGAGCAGAGAGTTTTTTAAAAAGTGACATAAAATACATACAATCATATCAATGATTGTTCTGATGGTCCCGATGTTGGTGGATCTGGAGTCGTCTGCTGCAGTGAAGTTCTGTCTGTAGGCTTGATCTGTGGCGATCACCGACAGCCGGGTGTCCTGAAGAACACATAATGAACAAGCCTTACATAACTATTCACTTAATACAAAAATGTTTGTGGGCATATTCAGGCTTTTTACTTGATCAACACTAAATCTTGGATCTGCTCAGTAGTGCCTCTAGTGGTATGGATAAGTCCAGAAGACATTTAAAATGGTCAAATTAGAAATGTGCCTTTCCTGGTGTAAATGTTAGTAAAATTAATTTAAACCATGTGTTGCCAGTGTCCCTGCCTATAGAGCTCCAGCTCCACGTTTAGAGACACTGCATTTGGACTGGCAAATGCTGCATAAACATGACCATTGTCTTTTGTAATTAAGAAAAAATCAACCTTAAAAAAGTTCACAAATAATTTATAAATGGTGAAATTGTGAGAGGACAATGAAATATATGGATGAGATTTTATATCAAAATGCTGTCTCTCAAAATCCTGATGAAGAAGAAATACCTCTTGATCTGGTGAAATGGCCACAGCGAACACTTTGATGCCGTGCTGCCTGGCTTCGTTAGCAGCCTCCTGCACGCCTCCACAGGGCTCTTTGTATCCATGCAGCGGATGCCCATCAGTCACCACCACAATGTACTTGTTCTCTTGATAGTTGGTCCCCCTGCATTTAAAGGTGTCTTAGATCAATAGTGGTGTTGTTGATGACCTTAATGTGTAACATTTACCCAATAAGCAGCTCTGCTATGCCTCTTTTGATGGCACAGTCAGTGTAGGTGCCTTTGCCGATGTATTTGATGCCGTCAATGGCCCTTTTCAGTTGCGTCTTGCTCGTACTCAGGTCCATCAGCTCTGCCACAATCTCAATGTCATCACTGTAGTGCAGGACTCCAGAGTTCCAGGTCAACCACCGATCGCAGCGATGGCGACTGTGGAGAGGCATAGTCGTGTAAATTTAAGTACCAAATGTTTCTTCTAATGTTTACCATGTACTCTACCATGTTAAACCTAAAACTCCTCACAGACATGCATGTCCTTTTGGCACTATGTTGATTCTATTGAATTTATTCAATTAAATAATGATCTAGATTTGACATATTTATTTACTTATATTTTGTTTCAACGGTCATGGCCCTTGTTATTTTTCAGATCTGCGCATCCCGACAGGTTGTACATGTTTCTAAGAGCCTTCTTTTAATTCATCCCCCCATCCCATTTGATTCATGTATTTATTTTATTAGATATTATAAATACTATATTCTTTAATGATTTTCTATAGTCATGATCATATCTGCAGGGCTCCAGTGTACCCAAAATGTTTTGTGTTGTTGCCCAGCGACTTCATCACATCACAGTCATGATTCAACCAAATACCTGTATTTCCTTTTTCAGGTGGGGGTATGGAGCCTGAACTTTTTCTCTGCTCTGGGTCCTCTGTGCAGACTGCTCCTTGGATGGTGCTTACTGAGTGGGTATTACCTTGAACTTTATAACTTCAACTGCACTTACCACAATGATACATATTTTCTAGGAGGCCTATGAAACTTAATGTTTGTGCAGGATCAGATTTAAGCAACAATAACAACATCAAAGGAAATATACATATCTTCAAACCAGAAGTATATTTGGACTGCCACCTTAACGTGGTGGGGGAGTTTGAGTCGTCTCAAACCCCCCAGTTGAAGGTGGAGGCCTCGACGACCCAGTCCGCACACAAAACATCTGGCTCTTGGGACGTGGAACGTCACCTCACTGGGAGGGAAAGGGGCCCGAGTTCGTGGGGGAGGTTGAGAGATACCGACAAGAGATAGTCGGCCTCACCTCCACACATAGCTTGGGCTCTGGAACCCAACTCCTTGCATTGAGAGGGGTTGGACGCTCCATTTTTCTGGTGTTTCTCACTCGAAGAGATTCAGATTCAGTTTATTTGCCATTTGCAGTAAAAAACCCCACATTGGAATACATTAGCAAAAAGTCTCCAGTGTGCACAGACAAATACAGACATAACACAATATTAAAAGACAGAAATCAAACAAATAAAACAGTCAACAAATGTCACTGTGAAATCGATCGACTAAAACAGTTTCAAAACAAGTGCAAATCATTAAAGTGCTCTGTTCACACTGATAACAGCTTGTGGATAAAGCTGTTATCAGATGTCCTGCATCTGATGTCTTGCATCTCAGAGAACGATATCTTCTGCCAGAGGGAAGAAGCTGGAACAAGGCTTTTCCAGAGTGGCCAGAAGAGTCATTGACAATCCTAAGAGCTTTGTTTAAAAGTCTGGATTTATAAAGAACCTCCAGAACAGGAAGCTCACAGCCCACGGTCCTCTTTGCAGAGTGGAGCACCTTGTTTAAAGATCTCTTTTCTTTATCTGTGATGTTTCCAAACCACACAGACACAGAACCAAGAAGTAAACTTTCAATGGTGCAGCGATAAAAGTTAAGCAGAATCTTAGAGTTAGTCGTAAATTCTCGAAGTTTTCGCAGGAAATAGAGACGCTGACGAGCTTTCTTAACGACTCGATCAGTGTTTTTAACCCATTTCAGGTCGTTAGAGTTAAACCCAGAAACTTGCACTCCTCTACAATCTGCACTCGGGAGTTGTTGATAGCAACAGGGGTGTGAGAACTGTTACGACTGAAGTCGAAGACCAGTTCACATGTTTTCGATGCGTTCAGCTGGAGGTTGTAGTTTTACTCCACTGAACCACATTTTGGATCTCTGCTCTATAAGAGGATTCATCATTGTCACTGATGAGACCGATGATGGTGGTGTCATCAGCATATTTAATGATCAAGTTTGAGTCAGAGGAGGATACACAATCATGAGAGTAGAATGTAAAAAGTAAAGGACTCAAAATACATCCCTGAGGAGATCTGGTGCTCACAGAAACAACATCAGTCAAAAAACAGTCATTGATTTTCACTCTCTGAGATCTGTCAGTTAAAAAGCTAAAAATCCATTTACACATGGCAGCGCTTAAACCGAGAGACATGAGCTTTTCAATCAGTTTACCTGGCAATTAAAAGCAGAGCTATAATCAATGAAAAGCATTCTCGCGACAGATTTACTATTGTCCAAGTGACTATAGACAGAGTTCAGAGCAAAGGAGATGGCATCCTCCACACTCCTGTTCTGTCTGTAAGCAAACTGGAGCGGGTCAACACTCACAGGGATCTGGCTCTTAATGAAGTCCAGCACAAGCCGCTCAAAAGTCTTCATAAGAACAGACGTGAGGGCCACAGGACGATAGTCATTAAGGCATGTCACAGTTTTCTTAGGAACTGGAATGATGGTCGACTCTTTAAAGCAGTTCGGCACGGTACAGTTCCTTAGCGACAGGTTAAAAATGTCTGTTAGCACAGGGGCAAGTTGCTCGGAGCACACCTTCAGGACACGAGGAGGGATGCCGTCCAGGCCTGGGGCTTTCCGGACTGTGGTCCTGGACAAGACACGCCGGACTTCCTCCTGAGTCACGGTGAAGGGACCTTGATTGAAACACTCTGGGAATACAGTAGGACAGGCATCAGCGGATTCAAAGCGACAGTAGAACGTGTTCAGCTCGTTTGGCAGAGCTTGACCGACAGATCCGATTTTCCCAGTTCTAGGTTTCCACGATGTGATGGCTTTAATACCGTTCCACATGCGCCGAGGGTCATCTTCCTCAAAATAACTCTTTAACCTGTCCCCGTAACTGCGCTATGCAGATTTAATAGAGCGTTTCAATGAGTAACAGGATAACTTATACGCAACTGTATAATTTGATTGAAACGCAAACGCACGCTCATGAAGTTTCAGTTTTACTTCCGTGTTCATCCAAGGGTTTTGACTAAAATGTTCTTTAATGACCTTCTGTGGGACACAGCAGTCAATACAGAAGCGTATGTATCCAGACACCGCGTCACAGAATTCATTAACGTCCTCTGACTGAAACACAGACCAGTCCGTAGCATCAAAACACCCCTGTAGCTTCATGCTAGCCTCCTCAGACCAACACTGCACAGTGCGAGAGGTTGGTTTATGTTCCCTGCTCCTCTGAGTGTATGAGGGAAGAAGGAGAACAGAGGAGTGGTCAGACTTTACAAAAGGAGGTTTGAGACTGGACCTGTAAGCTCCCTTCACGTTACTGTAGCAGTGATCCAGAACATGTGCTCCTCTTGTAGCTTGAGTCACATGTTGGTAAAAGTTTGGGAGTACAGTCTTTAAATTACATTTATTGAAATCCCCAGCAACAATGATGACTGCATTAGGATGAGCAGACTCATGTTTGTGGAGGATCTCGCTCAGATCCTGTAGGGCTACTTTATAGCAGGGGTAGCCATTCTCATTGCCCCCCATCTCGGCCGCCACGTGTTGGAGTAGGGTGAAGGAGAGGGTCGCGTCCCTCCGCCTTCGGGTGGGGGACAAGTCTCTCACTGTTGTGACGGCCTACAGGCCTAACAGCAGTGCAGAGTACTTCTTGGAGTCCTTGGGAGGGGTACTGGACAGTGCACCGACCGGGGACTCCGTTATTCTCCTGGGGAACTTCAACGCCCATGTGGGCAATGCCAGTGACACACGGAGAGGGGTGATTGGGTAGAACGGCCCCTCACCTCTATCGCCGATGCGGCAGCTCGTAGCTGTGGTTGCAAGGTCTCTGGTGCTGGTCCCGGCGGCAATACCCGAACCCTGTGGTGGACACCGGCAGTAAGGGATGCCGTCAGGCTGAAGAAGGAGTCCTATAGAGCCATGATGGTTCGTGGGACTCCCGAGGCAGCTGTCTGGGAAGAGTTCGGAGAGTCCATAGAGCATGACTATCGGTCGGCCTCGAAGAGATTCTGGCAAACTGTCCGGCGTCCCAGGAGCGGGAAGCAGTTCTTTGCCAACACCGTGTACGTTGCGGGTGGAGAGCTGCTGACCTTGATTGGGGATATTGTTGGACAGTGGAAGGAATAGTTCGAAGTTCTCCCCTCGTCACGTCCTCCGTTTGAGAAAGGGCAGGCTCCATTTGTGGCACCGGCACCTGCCACAGCTGATCAGTGGCATGTACACAACAAATGGCGTTTAAAACGGCATGAGGGCAACAATTGGCAATTAAAACGGCATGTGGACAACAAATGGCGTTTAATGTGGCATGTGGGTAACAAATGGCGTTTAAAACGGCATGTTGTGTTGTTCATCAAAACAAACTCTCAAACAAGTTATTTCAAATGAACAGATGAGCTTGTGCTCAGCTTTAATTGCATGTCCAACAAACATCTGTCATCACAGGAAGTGCTCTCTTACTTTGTGCTCTCTGACTGACATCCACTGACTTGACTCACTAGGGACACAATCAGGCTGGTAAAATGCATGACACTGAATGCATATCAAGACACATGTGGGCAACGAATGGCGTTTAAAACGGCATGTGGGCAACAAATGGCGTTTAAAACGGCATGTGGGCAACAAATGGCGTTTAAAACGGCATGTGGGCAACAAATGGCGTTTAAAACGGCATGTGGGCAACAAATGGCGTTTAGAACGGCATGTGGACAACAATTGGTGTGTAAAAAGGCATGTGGACAACAATTGGCGTTTAAAACGGCATGTGGGCAACCAATGGAGTTTAAAACGGCACTGGGGAAAACACTGGGGAAGACCTAGGACACACTGGAGGGACTATGTCTCTCAGCTGGCCTGGGAACGCCTTGGGCGAGCTGGAGGAAGTGTGTGCGGATAGGGAAGTCTGGGCGTCTCTGCTTAGACTGCTGCCCCCGCGACCCGGCAATGGATGAAGCAGAAGAAAATGGATGGATGGATGGAGAAGTAAACCTGCTTTATATTTTTGTTAATAATGGCATATAGATTGTTTGTGTATTGAATATGTATTTTGTGTAACATTCTTGTTAAGGGAAGAGCATTGAATACTGTACTGTAAGTTGGCATTTGCCAAAAGGGTAAAGAGTAAGTGGGGTAATGATAATGTGGTTCCAGCCTCCAGGAAATGAGGCTGTAAAATCAAATGTGTCTGTAAGACTTACATGTCTTGGAGTTGATCGAGGAAGAGCTTGGTGAAATCTTTGATCTGGTTTATATAAAAAGCAGGAGGCTTCGATCGGAGAGCGACACTCTCAGATGTGTCCAACACAAAGTAAAGGTCTGCAGGGCACTCTGCACAAAACAAACAGCAAAAGTGAAGGTTAAAAACGAATATTTGGAATAAAGCAGTATTTATCATCACAACAAAATAAGATATTTTTTGCCTGAGATTTGTGAAAACATGACTGGTGCAGGTCTACTGCTATAAATTATTTTGGACCTGAAGCTTTCCAGGTCCAGTATCTTAGCAGTCTGGCTGCAGGTTGATCGTGACGTACGGTAATAATTAAAAAAAGATTCTTCCGCCAACAATCTGTTTAGATGAGGCCTACATCAGTGCCGCAGATAATAGACAATCCCCTGTTGCAGGGGTCTTCACTGAGTGCGCATCCAAACTCCTTAACTTCTTGATAAAGGCAACTTTTCACAGAACAGACCTATATTGCTGATTACATGTGACCGTAATCAGCAATTTAAGGACAACGTATACACGAAAATGCAATTCCTACGTACAGTCATAGTAACTAGCATATAGTAAGCTAATATAGATAGATATTACTTACCCTCAAATTTGGCTCTTCGGACCTGCGCCTGCGATGCAACCAGTGATACGCACAGAAGTGCGAGGAGACTTCTGAGGGTCCCCATACTCAAACTTTACCCCAGAACTATAAAGCCAACACAAACGCCTTGACCACTCCAACAGTCACCGAATCCACCCGGGCCCGAAACCCAGTAACGTTACTTTTAATGGAAATTTCAAGGATCCAGCGCTCCTCCGCTGTGAGGAGGAGAGGAAGAGTGGGAGAGAGGGAGGAGTTCACGCGCCTCATCTAAAACTATGAACAGGAACGCGCACGGACGCGCACCGGATCATCGTTCTCCCTTAAAAGGGATTAAATTATCGTAAACAAAATCCATTAGCGTAAACTAAATTAACGTAAACTACATTAGCGTAAACAACTACAATCCTCCAGTAAGTAGACTGTGTAGGCCTACTCTTTTACCGCGGTAAAGTGGCCAACATCCTTCACCCCTGAGGCGCCGGGACACTTTTGATAATCCATACGTCAACATCATTATAAAGCATGTTATTAATGCAGTAGATTGAATAAAAACATACAAGCAACATGGGTACCTGGGTAGCATTGTAATTGATGGGCTGGGGGTGGGGGTATTTTCACGCACATCTGGTTGTCTTTAGAAATAGACAAATCCTGTGTACCGTAAATACACGGCGCCATCTAGCGTGCGTTACAGCGACAAGTTGGGTGGGACATGGGAAAAAGGTTTGAGGAGTGAGCAGGCATTATCAAGGAAGAAGTCATCTGGCAAGGTGCGAGCGTGGGTGGATGCTGCTTGGTTGCTGTGGATTTATTTTTTTGTAGTACAAAAAAGGCACCAGTCCTTATACTCAGTTTTTCCACTGAGATCACACAAAAAGAGGAGAGAAGGGGAGAGGGGTGACATCTGGTAATGATCTGGTTTTTAATAGAGGCTCCCATAGTAAATCTGCATGATTCTTGGCAGAAGTCTCGCCGTCTGAAAATTGTGCTGCAAGCATTGATTTGCATTTGAACACTGTTTTGAAACAAGATCTCATTATTAATGCATTTCTTCATAAAAAATCTAAAAGAAATTATTAGTCACAGGCGTGTTTCCAGTTTAACCTCACATTCACTGTGAGGGAATGCTATGTTTATTGCTTTGGAAATTGGCAGGTGCTGTTTGGAAAGTCTAGAAAAGTCTGTAAACTGCCGCTGTTAAAAGACAAATACCAACAAATGCAGAGTAGGAAGAGGTGGGGAACTGTGTGTACTGTAGTGCAAACATAAAAATGGTCAAAACCAGAAAAGTTAACCAATTAATATTTGCGTGGCAAAAAAAAAAATTCTTGGCACAGATTAATGACAGCATGGCTTTTCTGGGGTGGGTAAGACTACTGCAACAGGGGCAAAAATCAGAGCAAAACAGATTACATTATTTTGATTTAAAGGGTTGTGGTGGTGGGGGATGAAAGTGTTCAATTTCACTGCATTGAACTCGAAAATTACAGGAAATGACAAAATAGTCATGGTGTTCAAAAGTTACTCTATACATTGTAAAGATCTGTTGCCAGATTTAGGTATCCAGCATTTAACTGCCAACCCAAAAACAATTCTGCTTTCTAATAGCTAAACTTGGATTTGAGAAGATACAATATTTATAAAAAATAACAATTTAAAAAATACAGGATGTGATAATATTATAGAGCAACAGCACAATTATCAGTTTTACGTTTGATATGGTGAACTTTGGGAACTAACTGAACTGTGCTATTAACTACCACTTTACTCATGGTAATGTACCAGTAACTGAATGTTGATGAATGCTTGTTCAAAAGAAATCACACAAGAATAGTACAAAAATCTATTTTTGAACAAAATTCTCGCTCCTCATCTCTCACCCCACAGGTCAGTAACAGGCAGTATATTCTTGCCCTTATAACAAGTGCTTCGTATTAATGTTTTTTCTTATGTCATGTTGGAATGGCTCTTCAGGTGGCGCCGGAGGTGATGGAGACAGGTGTAGGTTTTTGGGCAGAGATGGCAGTGGTACGGTCGGACCCCAGAGTGGTTGAGCATGTGCTGCTTCAGGACACTTCCGTCTGAGAAAGCTTTTCCACACTGAGAGCAGACGTAGGGCCGCTCCCCGGTGTGGACTCGCATATGAACGGTCACTTTGTGTGCCATAGTGAAGCCTTTTCCACACACAGCGCATTTGAATGGCCTCTCGCCCGTGTGCGTGAGTCTGTGGGTGCGCATGGCGCCCATCTGAGAGAAGGCCTTCCCACAGTCAGGACAGACATGTGGCTTCTCCCCAGTGTGCACTCTGGTGTGGCTCCTCAGGCCTCCTGCTGTGGAGAAGCACTGCGAGCAGTGAGAGCATTGGTACGGCCGCTCCCCGGTGTGCGTCCGCATGTGCTGTTTTAAATCATAGCGGTTCCTGAAGGCACGACCACAGACAACACAGTTCTCTGGACGTTCGTTATTGTGCCGCAGCTCATGGTTGTTGAGGCATTTCTCGGACAGAAAACACTTTCCACACTCTTGGCACTGGTACGGCTTCTCATGGTCCATTCTTTGGTGGTACTTGAGTTCACTGATACCAGGGAAGGTTTCATCACAGTAACGACATCTGAAGCGGTGGTTGGGGCTGTAGGGGAGCTGGTGCTCATTCAACTGATGGTTCCTCAGTAAATGTGCCATCTTGAAGGTCTTTCCGCAGTGAGAGCACTCATACTTTGTCAGCAACTGCACACACTGATGTCGGGCTCGATCATGTAGCCCCTTGAACTGACAGCCACATTTAGTGCAAATATGAGCGGCGTTTTTGCACTTCCTCTTCCTGTGTCCAGATAGGTGCGCCTCAGTTCTGAAAGCCTTACCACACTGTGAACATTTGTATGGTTTCACTGCTGTGTGAAATCGTTGATGCTCCAGAAATTCAAAGCGATATTTGAAGCCTCTGCCGCACAATGGACAGTTGTTTGTGGTGTGTCCACGCTGATAAACAGCTTTGAAGGTTTTTTGAGAAAAAGGTAACGATGTACAATAAGATGAGCTACGTTTGCCATGTTTTCCTCGGCTCATTTGGGTCATGGTGTCAGGTTCACCAACTTCTTCATGACGTTGTTCATGTTTAGAAAGACTCTTGGATGTGATGAAGCTTTTTCCACACTGCTTACATTCATGGGGCTTGTCATGATCCACCTGTTGGTGATACTTAAGGTCTCCTATCCCTGAGAAGCCAGCGCCACAGTGGCTACACTTGAAGAGACGGCTCTGAACATGAGTTAGCAGATGGTCCTTCAACGTTTTGGACTTCAAAAATCTTTTCCCACATTGAACACAGTCATGTCTTCGACTTTGTTTAGGGCAGTGGTGTCGAAACTTCTCCAGTGAAGTTGGGAAACTGTTCCCACACTTGATGCAAATGTAAGCCGCATTTCTGCACTTGCGTAGCCGGTGGCCTGCAAGGAGAGTGGCAGTTCTAAATGCTCTGCCACATTCAGAGCAGTTGTATGGCTGCAGACCACTGTGAACCCGCTGGTGCTCAATCAAAACCGAGATATGCTTGAAGCCTTTATTACACTCGGGGCACTTGTGCAGATCAGGCTTCTGAGAGTGAAGGGGAGCTAAAGGAATGTCTGATTTTTTGGGGGAGTCAGGGAAGTCATTTGATGTGGATGGGTTTGTGGAGAGTTCTTCATCAAACATAACAATCTGAGGGACATCGTTATTGTCATCATCACAAGCACTCGGGTGTGAAGTAATAGCTCCTTCTAATGATGGAGGCAATATGAGTGACGGAATCAGGAGGTCCTCTGATGGAAAAGGAGCTGCGAATACAATTTTTATTTTTAGTAGCAAGAAATATGCAATATAGTCACTACATTTCAGGCAAAAAATAGCAAATACATACCAACACTTGTCTTAATCAGCTTCCCATGATACTGCTTACTTTGCAGAAGAAATTTCAGGTCCTCTCCATTTGAAACACACTGCATGTACTCCTCAAAAACAGAGGGGGCAGTACTGATCCATGAAGCAGTCTATACCAGAAAGCACGATGATCTCACAATAAAAATGTTCTCAAATGAAAAACATATAAATGACTAATCACCTGTTTAAAATCTGGTATTGGAAGTAGCTCCTCAAGTCTACTAAAGAATTCACAAACCAATGTTTCAAGTGCAGTGTCAAAGTCTGGGCCGTACTCCACAGGGAACACATTCTGTGAGAAAGAACTTAAAATAACTGTTGATTTTTGTCAACATGATTAGACATTACCTTAAGAAAGTGCTCCCTGCCATCAGTGTCTTCAATAAGTCCTTGAACCAGCTTCATAAAGTTTGCTTCTGGTGCATCAGTTACATGATCACTTGTCTAGATAACACAAAATATACATTCATAACAACATAATAAGTATACAATGACTTTGAGTTGTAAAAAGTTAAAGTGATTCATTACAACTAGAGCTGTAATTACTGTAGTAGGAGAAAATGTATTACAAGTTATTCTTAGTGTTGGCCAATTTTAATAGTAAAAAATAGATAATTTGTCTGTCTTGTGATCTAAACCAGTGGTCCCCAACCCCCCGGAAGCAAGCTCTGGATAAAACGGAACCGGGCTACAAGGAAAATGTCAATAACTTATTATTTCATGGATTAAAGTCACTTGACACAATAGCGCTAAAATGTAAACTGATCTAAACGACTAATTAATTAATCACACTAATCGGTTATCAAAATATTAGTTAATTTCAGCCCCATAGGACTTAAAATACAATACAAAAAATATACACACCTCCTCAATGCAAGTAGATCTAATTCTATTAAGGTGTGTCTCAACAGCTTTGAGGTCTTCAGGATGTTCAGAGCGGAGCAGTTCAAGAGTTGTCTGTGAGATAGAATTTAAAGCATTACGTGTAATCAACATCTAACATAAAAGAAAAATGTGAAGAGCAAGAGAGTGTCATTGCTTATTCATAAGTTTCAGGCTGTAATAATAGTCAAAAGGGGAATTGAGCTCAAATATGATACATTCCAAAAAGGGAAAGGTCTTCACATGGTTCTTAAATGAGGAACCATCTCTAAAACCCATGAGATATTTTTCTCATACGATTTACAGTAAAAAATGAAACAAAATAACGAATGTTTACTTATGCACTGACCCTAGCTCTGAGCCCCAGAGACAGCAGCCTTCCCTCCCTCTCGCTCATCAGTTGCGGCACGGCCTCGATCACAGTAGACACAAACTCCTCTAGTCTCCCGAAGTGATGCGTTTTCCTCTGCCGGACCACCTCCCACATGACCGCAGACATCAGGCGAAGCGGAGGCACAAGCAGAGCCAGCGAGGACAGCGGCACACTCAGCTCTGGGGGGAACACAGTGATGGTCAAACTGGACTATGCTTGTATCTTAATAGTGTAGAATAAACAAATAAAATGCATTCAAAAATAATTACAGATACGTTACAGGTGGCACCCAAACCCTGCCAACATTGACAGACCTACAACTTAAGTTTGTAATAACTGTTAATCACAATAATAATATAATTGTAAAAGACAGCTTCATCCTCGTCGCCAATGTTTAGTATGAGAAAAGGATAGACAACAAGTTACTAACAAGTTACATCAATATTTACAGTCTATAGTTACAACCCACACAATTATATTATGATAAATCTGACAGTAAGGAAAACTATTCTTGTCCCAGCGATTATTCAAGGACCAAGGTAAAGTTTTTGCAAAAAAAAAATAATGCCTGAGCCATTTTGTTAGCTCTACCGTTATCGATAAATGTATAATTGTCAATCTATAGTTATCTGTACGTACATACCCATATCATTCATTTTGGGAAACCAGAAGAACCGTGTGTGGATAATGAGTTAAAACTGATAATTTAATTTACTCTCCGCTAGCATTTTAGCTAGCTCCAGCAGCAAGCAGCTTCTTCGCTGTTTGTACTCGGCATATGGCGTTGCATTTGTCGGCTGGGTAAGCCGAGGCGGGCGGACCATGGGAGCGCTACATTGAGCGAACGAAGTACGTCCATGGATGTATTATATTAACTGGATAGGGTATTACTAGCTTGTAGCTGAATAACTCATGTGCTCGGGGGATTCTCGCGGTACTGCAGACTGAACCAGACTAAATTCACGTGGGCCACCCAGAAATTTTCCCCATAGGACTCAATGCATATTAAAACAGCTCAACCTCAGCTGACAGAGAACCTACAGCTTTAATAAAGATAGGATTTTGTGGGGATTTTAGTGTCCCTTGTCATCCTGAACTTTTTTTCTTCTTAAATCCTTCGGTTTTGTTTAAATCCACACTTTAGTGCCACAAACTCTACTCCTCTGGCTCTCGCTCTAACTCCCGCTCTGATGAACTGCTCTGATGGGTCAGAGCGCGGCCGAGCCCCTCTGTGCACGTGCGTGAGACCCACACACGCGTGTTTGACGCAACGCATTATGGGAGATCATCCACTGCGCAGAACCGGGAGGACCAGACGATGCCCAAATACAGGCGAGTTTCCCAAAGTTCTTTGCGAGTTTCAGGCAACTTCCGCTAATCTTTTCAGCCCCCATGCTGTCACAAAGCGCCACTGAGCACAACCATTCATTTGAATAGGGCGCCATCTTGAATCGCCGGGGCTTGAGTACGTCCCACCTATCGCGACAGAAAAAACAGTGAATGCAACAACAATTGCTAGTTTATGTTATGGGGAAAAATAATTTACAATACAAGATAAATTAATGTAAATAATCTAGAGATAAATAAAACTATCAATGTGTGAAGAGAAACATATACACTCTATGAGAGAAACATATGATCTGAGAAAAAAATTTCGTCAGTTGTGCAACAGTCCAGTAGGTGGCAGTATTTTCTATTAAACCAACATGTTTCAAATCAATCTGGTTTGAAAGTGGTTAAAGTCACTTTAACCACTCTTCTATGTTTATGTCGTAAGTGAATGATTAGCACACCCTTGAATACAATGTTTTATCCGTGGCTTTATGTGTCACGTGTCTAATGTACCTCAATAATTATATAAAATGTGAATTCCTGTATAATAACAATTACATATAATCGTTACCCTGTGGTCAAGTCATTTTCTCACGCTGACATTATGGGAGCCATTTTGTAATTTCACATAGTGCCTTTTTAATAATAATAAAAAAAGATTACTCTGATGATGCATTAATCTCAGCCACATGTTCAAATTAAAATCATATCTGTTACCAAGTTACTTCCACTCCAGGCGCCTTTCACGTTGTTCGTAACTAATCCTTGCTATTGTGTAAATGCATTGTGTTATCGTGTATGCACCATAGCCGACTGTGCTCTATATGAAGTGCATGCATGTGAGAGAGACGGGAGAAAGAGATACTGCGTGCAGTCTGTGAATGTGTAATTAAAACAAGTGATTTTTTACACACAGATTATCCCTCTATCCCAGCTGCTCCGAGTTGGATTTGACCACCCTGACAACCAGAGGAAATCTCTTTGGGACCAAATCCAAATTGGCACACTTGATGTTATTTTTGTTTCGCCCCAAAAGCTGTAAATAAACAAATAAGTAATAATAATAAAAAACTACTAACCATTGCCCAAAATGCACAGATGTTCCCATACAGATAGAACGCAGATTATTATGAGATACTGCGCTGTACAGCATATATTTAAGTTCCTCTTTTTTTTTAAAGGTTTACACGGTCAACAAGGGCCACGGTGATAGGAAGTGTGCACATCTGTCCACTCCTCTTGTATACTCAGACTGAGAGTGGTTTATTTCACCGTCTCTGTCTGCCCTGTAATGAGGTCAAATCAGCAAACACTCCGTGTGCACGAGACATCAAATACCCCTTGTTCAGTAGCAACCATAGACTTTAAATATTTGTAGCAACTCACGAAAACAAGTATGGAAATACTTTTATTGCTATTTGATATTGCTAATATTCCTAACTGTGTGAGTAACAATCAGGTTTTGAATGCAGTGTGTTGACCCCCAAATCAACTGTGTATTTATGGCAATTGTTCCAACAGGTTAGTAGTACATTGTCTATAAATGATATTACAAAAAATATAAATAATTTACATAACATCCTTACAATAAATTACAAAATGAGTTCTGAGTGTTTTGTACAGTGGGTGCACATCTGCTTTTCTATCAGGTCGAAAGAGATTCAGACTGTGCGGACTACAATAAAAATCAGGCACATAGTTCACGTTTACAGTGATAAATTACAGTTACAGTGCTACACTGGGTCATTTTTAAATACTTTAATATAACCATTTAGAACATTTTTGGTTGTTTTCTTGTTAGTATTTGCTGTAATATACCCATGTATTTACATAATTTAATAACTTATTAGTTAGTTTCAATGGTTCAAAAATTATTCTATTAGGTTTTTTAGCAAAAACTAATTCTTGGGCACTTAAAGTGCATTTTACAAATGCATATTTTTGCAAGTTATGACAACATTTGAGTAAAGTGTTGTTTTTATATTCTGTACCCAGTACAAAAGCAGGAAAAATATGGCCTTGCTGATTTTAGAGAAAAGTTTCCTCATAGCCGGTGTGAAGCTCAGTTTGAGAGTCCGCTCTGGTCACACTGTTGTAGGAGGGTGGGGATGACATGGTCGTCTCCTGCGGTTCTATATCCTCTAATGGGACAGGCCCGTAGTGATGGATCATGGAGGCAATGAGTCCCTGTGTCTCTGGGGCGTTCTCTAGGTCTACCACAGTTTCATAGTTGATTTGTCTGTAGAGGTAGGATGCCTGCTTCATCTGCCTTTGCACTAAATGTCTCCTGTAACTTCTTTGGATGACAATAGCAGAAACCTCCTCCATCTTGCGCTGCAAAGTTGAAGTAATTGGTTCATGAGAAATTTTGGAGGGGTTCGTTGTCATGAATTTCTCTTCCATCTGCTGTTTAAGAGCATCCATTTCACCAGACTCCCCCAGGACGCGTTTTGTGAAAGCAAACAATATGTCCAAGCAGTGAATGCGGTCACCACTGACCATGGGGAGGTCCATAGCTATTAGTTTGATCCTGTTGGGCTTAGCAATGCGCAGTGGTTCTGATAAGCTGTCTGCAAAGTGTGACAACTTTGAAAACTCTATGAATTGTGATGCTTCAGAATCAAACTTCTCCCAAACCTCATAAAACATCTCAAAGTCATCTTCACTGAGCGGCTCTGTGCTCTCCTCTGTCGCAACACTGAAGTTTTCTAAAATAATGGCTATGTACATGTTGACTACTATAAGAAAAGAAATGATGATGTAGCTGACAAAGAAAGCAATGCCCACCGATGGACTCCCGCAGTTCCCCTTTGTGTTGGTGCCAGTGTTCACATAATTCACATCACACTCATCAGGTAAGTTGGCTAATATGGGGCTGAGTAGATTGTCCCAGCCTGCAGAGGTACTGATCTGGAACAGGCAGATCATACTATTTCCAAAAGTTTCAAAATTGAACATGTCATCAATGCCATCTTGTTTTTTCACATATGCAAAGTTCGCCATTCCAAAAATTGCATAAATAAACATAACGAGGAACAGCAGGAGGCCAATGTTGAAAAGTGCAGGCATAGACATCATTAAGGCAAATAGTAAAGTCCTTATCCCTTTGGCTGCGCGTATGAGGCGGAGAACGCGTCCAATCCGGGCCAGTCTGATGACGCGAAACAATGTTGGAGAGACAAAGTATTTCTCAATAATGTCAGCCAGAACAATACCTGAAATGAAGAATTGAAAAAGTTACCTAACTAGTATCCTGCAATGCATCGTATCCTTTATATTTTGTATATAAAAATGAGCGCTCACCAACAATAGAGAGAATAATGACCACAAAGTCAAAGATGTTCCATGCCACAGTGAAAAAGTAACATCGGAGAGCAAAGATCTTGAGGAGGCATTCAGAGGTGAAGATGACGATGAAGACGAGGTTGACGTGGTTGAGGATGTACTCAGTGCGCTCCGACTGCTCGTCTGTCTCCACCATCATTGTCACCATGTTCATAATAATCAGCATCATGATCATTATGTCGAAGGCTTGTTTGGACACCAGGTCAAAAAAGAAGCCCTGGACAACGTTCTGAGATATATAGAAAAGAAAGAAAGATTTTCACACATTTTGCCCATTTATGTGTTTGTACTTATCCCATTTCTTATTCGGGCTGGATACAGTTCAATATCTTGGGTACCAAAAGGTTGGTATTGGCTGAATTTATCCCCCAAAGAACAACTTTTAATTGGGACACAAAATTATGTTCCTCAACAAAACTTCTGTCCGGCACACACTTAACAGTAACCAGCACAATTTGTGAATAATAACATGAATAATTAATAAGCATGAATTATTTTACCGCAGGTCTTGGAATCGGTTTTTGTGGCTTTTTTGATCCCAGTTTCTTCATTGCATTATAGTATTTTTTCTGTTCTTCGGTCATAAAAATATCCTGTCCGCCTAAGTATAACCATAAATAAAAAATAACTCAATTATTTTTAAGTAACCAGGCCGATGTTATATGCTCTGGTGGCTGTACTTATCTTTCGTTTCTGTTGATTGAAGTTGTCAATAATGACACCAATGAAGAGATTGAGGGTGAAGAAGGAGCCAAATACAATGAACACTACAAAGTACAAGTACATGTAGAGGTTGATCTCTCTGACTGGCTGCTCCTCCACCTGAAAACAGGATTTAGTTATTTCATTAAAACACACATGATTAAACTTTTAGGACAAATAACACTTACTCCTCTGGAGTCAACAGCTGCATACATAATTTCCATCCAGCCTTTGAATGTAGCCTTAAAAACAAATATAAACATTAGGCACTACAAGCTTTACAAGGCAAAACAGCTTCCCAGAATCAGACTCTGAAAATAGCCCCTGAAATCACAACAGTCAGTACAAGAGCAGTGTAAGTGCCGTTTAAGTGCATTTAATCTATAGTCTAGTGTTTGCACAGCAAATGGACATATTTAGAGATAGGAAATGATTGAGCAATGGAAAAACACTTATTTTAGTTGTGATTAAAGAAAGGGAGCACAACATGCGTAACGTAGACAATAGTTTATCCTGAAAGAACTCACCACTTGTAGAAGTGATAGATATCCAAGCCCCACATTGTCGAAGTTCACTTTGACTTTGGTCCAGTAAAACTGAGTGTCGTTCAAGGAGATGCACTGTGACTTATTATTGATCAAAGCAACACTGTGGATGAAGCCGGTTCTGTTCACACATTTGCCAAACTTCCCAGCGAACAGGTTCACTCCCATGATGCTGAAGATGAGCCAGAAGATGAGACACACCAGCAGCACGTTCATGATGGAGGGGATGGCACCAATGAGAGCGTTCACAACCACCTGAAGCCAGAAACCAACAACTAACTCCCCATTCCATTATTGTGCAATGAATCATTTGATTTAAAACTAACACACACTCGTTTAGATATACGCCAACTAATACTGCATTCCGCAATGGTTCTTTTTCTCAATATGGGACAAGATCATTACAAAATGTGATAAGCCGTTTACTATTCTGTCACATTGCTGAAAGAGCAGGAAGAGGATGTAGCATGTTTCACGGAGGACAAATACTCACCTAACATATTGTTAACATAAACTATGTGGCCAATCTAAATGAAGTCACCTCCTTAAGAATAACTCAGTATTCTATCATCGCAGAGGACTATATAGTTGAAAGGGACAATTTTTATCTTGTGTAACAGTTTCTTCAACTTTTCAAAATGTGGCAGAAATACTGTACTTATATAAGTATTGGTTTGACCCACCAAGGCTTCATATAAATCTTCTAAAACGTAACATTATAGCACAGGGTCAAGTGGACAAAATATGAAATAAATACGTATATAAGTTAAGTCCTTTATAGGAAGAACTGGTCCATGTAGCAAAATAATGAATTTTCCCAAATGTTCATCTCAATTTGAATAAACAGTGCATGGCTTCTAATTGGCAGATTCTGAAGTTCCTTTCTATCAAAACAGTTTTGGATGTATTTTTAGTCTTTTGAGATTTTTCTGGCCCAAAGTGTCAAATAGTGACTCACAGGACACTTTCTTTCTCGTAGGCAAAAGATAAATACATAAAAAATCTCAGATAAATACAGCATCTTGTGGTCTGATTTGAACTCAACATTTCACACAATATATTATTTGTGAGATTAAAAAGTTAGGTACCCCAACTTTATGTAGTAAATATAGTTCCACAAAATGTAATTTAATAAGCCTTAAATCTGAACTCCTCTCTAATGTTCTTCGGGATGCTCTGATTGAAAACTCCTTATGTGTGCATGTGATTATTGCATACATTTTCTAACTTGTACATCACTGACGTGGACTCACTCTCATTCCCTCAAATCGGGAAAGTGCTCTCAGAGGTCTCAAAGCCCGAAGAGTTCTCAGAGACTTGATGGCTGCAAAGTCTGAGTATCCGAGTGAATTGGCCACAAGGCTTATCAGCGACACCTGTGCAAAACAGACATCACACAGTGAAGTGTCATTTAACAATAACTATAAAGATTAAATATCTATGTACACTCAGACAATCAGCAAAATAAACCATTGTTGTAAAACCACCACTGTTGTAAGCCATTACTCTTTGAGAGTTTATGTATTTATTTATTTGTTAAACTTTTGGTTGCTGTAGTTTTTATAAATTTAGTTTTCCACTCTATTCTACATTGAGGGAGACAAAATGTTTCTTTGCTGCTGAATGATTCTTGATGATTGCTGAAATGGTATGATAATTATTATGGGTCATGTCAGGAGTGATGGAGAGTACAGACCAGTATGCACTTATGCACACATAAACACATACTCTATATATACATACGGGAGATATGTATATATATCAAATAGAGTGAGTTTTATAAAGAATCAGGAGAGAGCATTGCCAGATGCCTTTCCGATTTGCAATCCTTTGAATTAAGCAATTCTTTAGAAAAAGGTTTTGGCTTTCTTTATAAAAGTCAATTTAAAGATGTATTTGATCAATAAATATATCTATAGAAGATACTTTTAGTGGTTGTTGTTGTTGTTGTTACACAAACAAAATATATAGCCGTAAATACTGAAGCACTTTTCATCCCAACAGAAAAAACACAAAGTCCTGTCCATGTGTCATTATTTCCCATTATCTTCTGTAGATAAACTTCAACACTGCACTGAAATTATTCCTGATATAAAAGCCAAAGTCATGTAGTAAAATAGCCTAAAATCCTTTTCAAACACCTCTTCAAATGTTTACTGACAAGAGAGTGGCTTTTGATATCAAACAAATAGCACTTACGGGTGAGGAGACACAGAGCATTTGGGATGCAAATGTTTCCAGAAGTTTCCAGTCCCAGAGTCTACTCACCTACAACCGGCAAACTACAACTTACCCTAACAATAGAGCGGTCAGTGGCAATCTGTGTAAACGCAGGTGAAATCACAGCAGTCAAAAACGCCTCTGTCTTTAGTCACATGTCACCCTTTACACATACATGCACTGTACCACACTGAAGCCGTAACTTACGACTGCGTAGGATTTGACAAAAACTCAAGATCCAGAGTACCGTTGACTTCCTGTGGGTGCTCAGAGTGTATTATTGCAATATATACAAAACACAAAAACTTACATCCACAATGAGAAAGTCCAGCCAGCACCAGTAGTTGGTGAAGTATTTCTTAAAGCCGTATGCAGTCCACTTGAGGAACATTTCCAGGACAAAGATGTAGGAGAAAATCTTGTCTGCATATTCCAGCACCACCTTTATGACCTTTCTCTGCTCGATGTAGATGTCTTCAAACGCCTGTGGAAGAAACACTGTCATAAACCTACAAAAGGTTCACCTTAAAAGTCCACAGATCTAAATCTCACCAAGGCCCCGCTGCTCAACAGAATCATGAAGATGATAAATGTCTCAAACCAGCTGTGCTCCACTATTTGATAACAGGTTTTCCTCAGCCGCCACCACATCTGACCCAGGCCTTGGGTAATGTCAACCCGACAGCATTCACAGTGACGAACACACACTGCAAAAACATGTGACACTTACAAAAAGCAATAATATTTAACATTGTGAAATAAGATTTACACAATAATTGACATATGACTGTATAGATTTCATAAATAGGTACAAGTATATCTGCAAGTGAATATACACTGTAAGTCTTTTGTTTTTGTATTGCTCATTAGACCTGTTCTGGACAATGATAGATGACAAGGGGTACATCTGTACTGTGCTGAAAAGTGATACAAAGACAGTTTATTTGATTGATTGAAGCGTGTAGACCACATACAAACCTTCAGGAAAACACTCTTCTGGGTCCATGCTGTCCTCTCCGAGCTCTGAGAGGTTGTCCTGTTCTTCTCCTGGTTTCCTCAGATCCACTGTGCTACCTTCAGACAGGCTTATCTTTTCCTGACAAACAAAAATACACATCTAAAAATACACCATACAAACAGTAGAGAAAAACATTGTAAATACACTCTGATGAGATTTTGTACAAGGTAATCACAGCATATTTGGTCAAGTTCAAAGGACAGGGTTTCAGCCTCAATCCAATAAAGTGGTTTGTACCGTGTGCTTTAATCCAATATCCAAGAGCATTCACAAAAATAAGATCAGATTACCACCTGTCTCAGCTTCCATTTAGTAAACTGATCAGGTTTAATTATTCATACATAAATCAGCAGTACCAGTCATATAAAAGTGAAATTGTTTTACTTAAATTAAACTGAACAGGCCTGCACTGGTGTGTCTGTGTGGCCCAGGCTAAATGACCAGTGAGCACCAGACTGCTCTCACTTTATGCCTCTATAATCTGTGTGCCGGGTCACGCTCCACATCTGGACTACAGCTGCAGCCAGAGACGAAGCACCAACAGAGCGACATGCTCTTTCACAGGATACTGCCAGGTCAGAGGAAGGAATTATCTGCTCTATAGTACCATATATTCCGTTATGTTGATTAGAGAGTGTAAAGCTCTATTCATCGAAGAAGCTTCATTAAAGACGTTTGCCAATAATACCGTGTTGAGGTCAAGCATGGTCAATGTTATTCTGCATGGCGGATTGATCAGAATAAAAATGATTAATGTATTTTATGCTGCATTTCTGTCTTTTTTATTGTATTTAGTATCGTTGTGTCTGTGTTTATTTTGATTCCCACTAGCGCTGGCGCTCTATCTACAAATTAAGTTCCTAAGTTATATGCAGTTTGAAATTGAAATATCTTTGGATTTTGCCCAATGTGTGTGTTCTTATTAAACAATTAATATGCCAAAAAAATACTAAATATGATATGTTAATTATATAAATATATATTTATGAAATTATTATTATAGATAACACATATTATTGTTACAAGTTAAAGAACATCATAATATTGTGTTTAACAATGGTGGATAAAATCACCTCTAAACCAGAAACAAAGATGGCTCATGAATACATTTAACCATACTCAGACAAAACCTTTTTTCATCTAAATACTATCAGGGCAAAAAGTGACAAGCAACTATTGACTTTGGAGTAAAATGATTTATCAAAGAGCAAACTATTTAGCAAAGTATAGCATCAGTGTTCACAAATATTCAGTGCCTCTTGAAAGTACTACATCTTTTGCACATTTTGCAACGTTTCAAACTATGAAACTAAATATTATTGAGTGAAAGCAATTCAATAGAAATTTTCTAAAATAGAAAAATGAAAAGTGGGGTGTGCACAAGGGTGTACAGCTGTTTTCACATTCTTAATGATTGCCAAATGACTGCTTGTGTTAATGATTAAATGAATCCAAACTTTGTGTAATCTACTCTGTATAAATATAGCTGTTTGGTGACTTTGAAGCATGGTCATACAAACATTTCCAAAGCTTTGAACATCTCACTGCGGTGACAGTGGCTCAGTTGGTAGAGCATTGGCCTTTGAGCCTGAAGGTCGTGGGTTCGAGTCCTCCACAAGACCTACTTCACTACTCCCGCTGACATCTACTGTCGTTGTTGTTAGGCAAGACACTTAACTCCACTTTGCCTGAAACCCCCGCTGAAAGATCAAGGCTCCTGTGGACTCACCACCTGCAGGATGTGTGGTGCAGCTCTGACTGCCACCTCCCTGACCCAAAAATGGATTAAGGGGAAGAAAATGGATGGATGCACATCTCACAGAGCACTATTCAATCTATTATTTGGAAATTAAAAAAGTCTTTCCCCAATGTCACAGCTCCACCACAGAAAACGCTGACAATAGATCAAGACACAAGGCCAATGGTTACTCTGGAGGAGCTACAGCTATCCACAACTCACCTAAGAAAATCTGGCCTTTATGGATGAATTATTTAAAAATAATAATAATAATAATAAAGCCACAGGAAGAAATTTGGGCGGGCGACATAAATTGAAATAAAGGGGGCGACAGTAGCTCAGTTGGTATGTCTTTGGACCTAATGGTCGGGGGTTTGAGCCCACCACGACCCGTGTCATCTGCTCACACTGATGTCTGCTGTCGTTGTGTTCCTGGGAAAGACACTTAACCCCACATTGCCTGAAGCCCCCGCTGAAAGACCAAGGCCATGTCTTCGATCACAGAGAAGCCATCATCCTGTGGACCCCCAACCTGCAGGAGGATTGGATGAAAAGCTTCTGCAGCTGGGGATTCCACATAGTATTAACTCAGTATTAATTTAACAGTTTTCTGTTACCTACCTAATTACTGTGGGGGTCTTTATTTTATAAGTAAATGTGTTGGATGTTGCTCTGTCAGATCACTTGTGTGTCATTAGTAAACCACCAGATGACACAGGCGCACTGTTTATGGGAATGATAAACGTTCAAACGTTAAACGTTCTACTGACGATGAACTGGTGTTTTGAATGTTCTGATTACCATTGACCCTGAGAAGGTGCAAATAGGTAAAAATATGCAGAAGGACAAAAGCGACCAGGTCAGGGATCAGAAACAGGAGTAGGACCGGGCCAAGCGGTTCAATCTCTACATGCTGCCGTTAGGACAGTCGTAACGGCAGCATGTAGAGATTGAACCGCTTGGCAATGTGTCCTATCCTTACAGTCTATGGTCCTATCACAACTACGCAGACGAAACTCCGATCTCTGTCTCACTGACTGCAGGAGAACATGGAATCCCCCAATGCATCCAACAGATCAGTGGATGCAAAACAACTGTCTTCAGTTAAACTCAAACAAAACTGAAAAGGTTGTCTTGGTTGAAACAAAGAAAGCATTATCTGTCACCCCCTGTTTCTCTCACTAGAACCTTCAAATCAGGTTAGAAATCTAGGGGAAATTATGGACTCAACTTTAAATCTTAAAAACCACATTAAATCAGTGATTTCCAATCTGAAAAACATTCTCAGAATAAAAATTATAGCAATTAGAGCAGAACTTGAGATTCTTATCCATGCATTTGTCTCCAGTGATTAGACTGTTGTAACGGCCAAGTCACTGGGCTCTCCAAATGAGCAGGAAAACAGCGGCGATATATTCAAAGGACTTATGTTGACTTAGTATTTGATCTATACTTTAACATGATGGCAACGAATTAATGAATGTATTGTATTGTATTGCTCTCTACAAATAAAGACTGATTGATTGAAGCTGTCATGGTTTAGGGCCATGTCCCGGCCCCACATCCTGGCCCCACGTCCCGGCCCCCGGCTCCACGTCCCGGCTCCACGTCCCAGCTCCACGTCCCAGCTCAGGTCCCTCATCTGGTCTCCCTCCTCCCTCCTGGGTTTTTTGTTTTTGGGACGTTTGAGATCCGTCCCTTGAGTAGAGGGTACTGTCATGGTTTAGGTTTATTTCCAGTTATATTTTAAAATATGTTACTCTCCATGTTGTCTGACTGCCAGCCTTGCCCTCGTGTGTATCACCTGTGTCGTCAAGTCTTGTATTTAGCCCTGTGTGTTCCTTCACTCCCTGTTCCGTCATTGTCATTTCTCGTCTGTTCCTGTTCTAGTTCTCGTCCGTTTTTCCTAGATCTTGATTTGTATTACTTTTATTAAATCCATCATTTTGCAGTTTTCATTTTAGGCCTCCTTATATTTTCACTCGACGTGACACAAGCTGTACTTTCGCAAGGCACTGTACCTCCTAAAAGTTTTGATATTTGCCCATCAAATAATAATTTCAGCAGGAATCATTAATTGTGTTTGATCACTCAATTAGCAACTTGTTTAAAAAATGACATAAAGAGTGACACTGACTGGCTGATTTTCTTCATCCTCAGAGGATTCGGTGAGGTCCTCTTCCTCCAGCTCCACGTCAGACTCTCCGGGGGCGATGGGAACTACGATGGTCAGGTTAGGGTTGGTCATGTAACTGTCCTCCTCCGTGATTACGTACTTCCCTCCAAACCGACTCACGACTCCCCCGTTACAATCCAAGTGATTCCCAACCAGTTTGTTGCCTGGGCAGGTTTCGTTTGATTTTGAGCTCTTTAATCTGCGATTGCAAAGATTCAGCAGACTCCTGAAGAGCCAGGAGACGCCGCTGTGAATGCGAGCGATGGCCAATTGGATGTTGTTCAAGTCTCCATCTTCATCTGGCGCAGAGAGGTTATCTGAGCTGAACGAGCTGAGCAGCAAGGCCAGGAAAAGATTCAGCACCTGTTCATGGACAAAAAACAAACAAAAGAAAATTATAGATACTATGTGTAAACACTTTTTTATGAACTTAATCCCTCCCTTAAAAAAACACAAAAAAGAAAAACATAAAAAGCCAATGTGAAATCACCAATTTTGAATTGGATTTGTTGTAAAAAACAAACAAAATAATTCACTGTTAAATTTCAATTTTCAAAAACATACAATAGTAACGATGATAATAATAATAATGCTTATTAGTGGTTTTTTCAACACTCATAAACACATCATTTTGGTCACAGTACACATTGGTGGTAAACTACTACAGTGGCCACAAATGTTCTAACAGATTCTAACAAGTGTTAGAATCTGTGCCATTGCTCCCCCAACCAATACCAGCCATTCACACACACACACACACACACACACACACACACACACACACACATACTTGTCTTTATCACTTTGTGGGACCACCAGACCAGGACATGCATTGTGGGACCCAGCCTTTCTGTAGGGTTGACAGCAGCCAAAAAAATCAGGCATGGCCCCCTGGAGGCCCTAAACAGGAATACCACCTCAAAATCCAAGATTTCCAAAATATTGTCCCACACCAGACTGTTACTATACTTCTGGGGACTTAGCAAGTATTGCTATACTTGTGATGCCCAATCTTACACACTGTCAGGTTTTTAGCTACTTTTAGCCCCACACATACACACTGTCAGGTTTTTAGCTACTTTTAGCCCCACACATACACACTGTCAGGTTTTTAGCTACTTTTAGCCCCACACATACACACTGTCAGGTTTTTAGCTACTTTTATCCCCACACATACACACTGTCAGGTTTTTAGCTACTTTTAGCCCCACACATACACACTGTCAGGTTTTTAGCTACTTTTATCCCCACACATACACACAGTCAGGTTTTTAGCTACTTTTAGCCCCACACATACACACTGTCAGGTTTTTAGCTACTTTTATCCCCACACATACACACAGTCAGGTTTTTAGCTACTTTTAGCCCCACACATACACACTGTCAGGTTTTTAGCTACTTTTAGCCCCACACATACACACTGTCAGGTTTTTAGCTACTTTTAGCCCCACACATACACACTGTCAGGTTTTTAGCTACTTTTAGCCCCACACATACACACTGTCAGGTTTTTAGCTACTTTTGGCCCCACACATACACACTGTCAGGTTTTAAGCTACTTTTAGCCCCACACATACACACTGTCAGGTTTTAAGCTACTTTTAGCCCCACACATACACACTGTCAGGTTTTTAGCTACTTTTAGCCCCACACATACACACTGTCAGGTTTTAAGCTACTTTTAGCCCCACACATACACACTGTCAGGTTTTTAGCTACTTTTAGACCACACATACACACTGTCAGGTTTTTAGCTACTTTTGGCCCCACACATACACACTGTCAGGTTTTAAGCTACTTTTAGCCCCACACATACACACTGTCAGGTTTTAAGCTACTTTTAGTGCAATACATACCAGGACATCTGTACGACTGTTTGGACTTTCTGTTGTTGATAAAGCGACAATTTCTGTTACGACCTCATAGACGACTGTTGTGATTTTGGACGTTACAAAATAAATTGAATTGAATTATTTAAATCCTATTTATGGGGTGAGTATACTCAAATCTGTAAAGTAATAGAAAATCAGACAATATATTTAACAAAATGTAATGTTTATACATTCGAGAAAACAACCCTTTCAGAAGGGTCCATTAGTAGAATAACATCCACAAACTGTTGCCTAGGAAAATAACCCTATTAGAAGAAGGTTCAATTAGTAGAATAACATACACAAACCTATAACTATTACTGTTTACAGTGCCATATACTAATATTGGCATCAGTGAACGTGTTTGAACAAAATCATTTTTAAACCTTTCTTTTGAGGGCTGTTATTCTGTTTTTTACATAAAATTTTACAGCCAACCAATCTCTGGTTTTGAGTGCTTCCTTTTCGTTTTGCAGACACTTATCGCAGTCTTTTTTCCCTGGAACACGACAGGTGGTTATGAATGACATCAGGTGCTTCTCAACAGCGCAGACCTCTTCTTCTTTCCACTTTTCTCTTTTGACTGGTGGGCGGGCTAAGAAACAAGACGACAGAATTACACACAAACATCCACACATTAACTTCAATATGTAATGTACCGTATTTGTCGCACTAAAACGCCTTTAATTTTCTCAAAAAAACTAGAGTATTATGCCCACCTCTAATTTGAGCGACTAGAGCAGAACAAATGGCGCAATAGACACTTTGACGTGTGCCAAGAGTGAAGCAGCAACTTTTGCGTGAAATCAAGGTGTGTTAACCAATCAATTGAATCTTCTTGTGACATAAGGTGAGGAGATGGAACTGCCAGGTGAAAGTTGTTGCTGTATTTTATATTTTAATATGTACTAAAACTAGGGCAGATCCAGCTGATAGCATTTAGCTCATTAAAATGATGGGGGAAAGCACCACAAGGCTATTTTTTACTCATAAACTACAGTGCCTTGCGAAAGTATTCGCCCCCCTTGAACCTTTTGCCACATTTCAGGCTTCAAACAAAAATATACATTTTTTATTTTTTGTCATGAATCAACAACAAGTGGGACACAATCGTGAAGTGGAACAACATTTATTGGATAATTTAAACCTTTTTAACAAATAAAAAACTGAAAAGTGGGGCGTGCAATATTATTCGGCCCCTTTACTTTCAGTGCAGCAAACTCAGTCCAGAAGTTCAGTGAGGATCTTTGAATGATCCAATGTTGTCCTAAATGACTGATGATGATAAATAGAATGCACCTGTGTGTAATCAAGTCTCCGTACAAATGCACCTGCTCTTTGATAGTCTCAGGGTTCTGTTTAAAGCACAGAGAGAACCATGAAGACAAAGGAACACACCAGGCAGGTCCGAGATACTGTTGTGGAGAAGTTTAAAGCCGGATTTGGATACAAAAAGATTTCCCAAGCTTTAAACATCTCAAGGAGCACTGTGCAAGCAATTATGTTGAAATGGAAGGAGTATCAGACCACTGCAAATCTACCAAGACCCGGCCGTCCCTCCAAACTTTCATCTCAAACAAGGAGAAGACTGATCAGAGATGCAGCCAAGAGGCCCATGATCACTCTGGATGAACTGCAGATAACTACAGCTGAGGTGGGAGAGTCTGTCCATAGGACAACAATCAGTCGTGCACTGCACAAATCTGGCCTTTATGGAAGAGTGGCAAGAAGAAAGCCATTTCTCAAAGATATCCATAAAAAGTCTGGTTTAAAGTTTGCCACAAGCCACCTGGGAGACACACCAAACATGTGGAAGAAGGTGCTCTGGTCAGATGAAACGAAAATTGAACTTTTTGGCCACAATGCAAAACGATATGTTTGGCGTAAAAGCAACACAGCTCATCACCCTGAACACACCATCCCCACTGTCAAACATGGTGGTGGCAGCATCATGCTTTGGGCCTGCTTTTCTTCAGCAGGGACAGGGAAGATGGCTAAAATTGATGGGAAGATGGATGGAGCCAAATACAGGACCATTCTGGAAGAAAACCTGTTGGAGTCTGCAAAAGACCTGAGACTGGGACGGAGATTTATCTTCCAACAGGACAATGATCCAAAACATAAAGCCAAATCTACAATGGAATGGTTCACAAATAGACGTATCCAGGTGTTAGAATGGCCAAGTCAAAGTCCAGACCTGAATCCAATCGAGAATCTGTGGAAAGAGCTGAAGACTGCTGTTCACAAACGCTCTCCATCCAACCTCACTGAGCTCGAGCTGTTTTTCAAGGAAGAATGGGCAAGAATTCCAGTCTCTCGATGTGCAAAACTGATAGAGACATACCCCAAGCGACTTGCAGCTGTAATTGCAGCAAAAGGTGGCGCTACAAAGTATTAGCGCAAGGGGACCGAATAATATTGCACGCCCCACTTTTCAGTTTTTAATTTGTTAAAAAAGTTTAAATTATCCAATAAATTTCGTTCCACTTCACGATTGTGTCCCACATGTTGTTGATTCTTGACAAAAAATTGAATTCTTATATCTTTGAAGCCTGAAATGTGGCGAAATGTTGAAAGGTTCAAGGGGGCCGAATATCTTCCCAAGGCACTGTATATGACGTGACCTTTTCAAAAAGAAGTAGTGTAATTAGCAATATTTTATCAAACATCTACTAATTGAAGACAGAAGCAGAGCAGAGCAGAGCAGAGCAGAGAGCATAAGAACTAGCAAGAGATAGCAGCTCCAATGACTGGGACAAAAGCCTGGATATGCTGAAACCAGAGACTGATTATTTGGTGGCGTAGTTCTGCTTTACTCACTAAATAATGATCGCAAAAGTCTGCTATGGTGACAGGAAACAGCAAACACAGCTCCTCCTAGTGATTACACGTAGAAGCCAAATATGGACAAAATTAACTGGAGCCATTTTTAAGGCGATGGAAGTGTGAACTTCCAAAATCATTTTTTTGTTGCTTTTTTGCTACTTTACCAGTGGAGCTAATCTCACTGGTAAAGTACCATGTGGCGCAGAACATAAAAAGGGTCTCGTTATGATTCTCAAATCATTAACGACAAAACAAGGAATAAAACCAGGATTTCTATCTTTGTGAAAAAGGTGTTGGTTATAGATTTGTTGTTGACAAAACTCTTGTATATTCAGCTGTTATGGTCCCAGCTCGATTCGTCTGCATATCTGGCAACCTGAGTCAGGGAGAGTGCATTACCACTTTTGGACAGATTTTTACATATCGCTCCTTTAAGCGTGAAGAGGATTAATAGGCCAAAACGGAACAGTAAGTATGTTCTGCTAAAATCACACCAGCAAGCCAACCATTTCATTCTTTTTCAGGATGTCTCGGGGATAGAGCTGCAACTAACGATTATTTTGTAATTGATTAATCTATCGATTATTTTTACGATTAATCGAGTAATCGCTTGGCTGTGAATTGTGTAGAAAAAAATATTTTTTCATCACAAAAAGCTAAAGTGGCAACACTCGAGGACGTATTGATGGCGTAAACTTAAAGTAAATGTTTGTAACAGGCTCTTTGTCTCATCCAATCAGATAGCAGAATTAGCACAGACAGATATTCATGAAATTATAAAAACAAAGTCGGTTTTAATCAAAAATACTACATTTTCATGTCATTTTTGCTCCGTTTGAGTCCGTGTGAACCAGAAAACGATTAATCGATTACTAAAATAGTTGTCGACTATTTCAATAATCGATTAGTCGTCGATTAATCGATTAGTTGTTTCAGCCCTACTCTGGGATAAGAGACTTTAACTACAGTACAGTACATGTGAAGACTGAAAATCCATTGCCTACATTGGACAACTCTGGCACGACTGAGAACCTACACAGATTAAACATGTATCTTTTCACAGAGGAAATTGATTAATTGTATTACTTTTAGATTCTGTTTGTTTCAATGGCTGACTTTGAGCTTCTGGTGCTGTTGCATCAGGCTTCATTGTTCCAATCTCAAAGTTCTCATTGGGTTCTGCAGTCTCCTCTTCAGTCTGACTTAAGATTACACTTTCTGGAAGACACAAAAAAAAGAAAATTCAGGATAAAAACATTGCATCATTCGTTTTTTTTGTCAGCCCTTATCTCAGACACTGTTATGTCCTGTAAACTAAATAAAAAATTGGGAAGAAAAACAACACTTTTGACAATAGATTGAGATACATTAAGACCTATTACTTATAATTTGTGCGTGGCTAACTTAAAACTGCACTAACTGACTTTGGGATTTTGAAGCCGCGGACTCTCTGGCCTCTCTCTTTCTGCTCCCCTCCCCGCACCCACGAAGCTATGGCCCCCCACACACACCCAATGTTGTTGACGGAGCTAGCCTCTCCCAATATGGATAATACATGGATATGGATTTACATGTGGATGGCGTGACCATAGAACGATAGAACCGGGAAGCACGGAGGAACAGGACTTTCTTTTGGATGACTGTTTCGCTGTGTAAGCAGTAACCGGTGACGAAGACACACGAAGCTTCAGGTTAGCTCCGCTGCTTGTTGTGCCAACTCAGCAGTCTATGCTAACGGAGACCTGTAGATTTCTCGCAAAAGTGGGGGCTAGTGGTGCGCTGTGATTGGTCACAATCTGCGACCCGAAACACATTCTCTTCCTTGTTTCATCAAAACTCGATCTAAAATATAATGTCACGCCAGCACTTTTTCTTCAAAAGGACGTATATTCCAATGCACTACATGGACAGCATTTTACTAATGAATACAAAAATAAAGTCAGTTAGTGCAGCTTTAACTCATTCACATTTCAGTCATCAAACTGAAAAATATGATGTCACAATGCTAGTTCTTCAGGTTTTAGCTAACATGAGACTCCAGGATCCTCGGAGCCTTCCCCCTCCCTCCTCGTCCAGCAGCAGCAGCAGCGGCTCCTCCCCCGTCGTAATGTGGTAAGTTGCTTTTCACTTCAACATGTTGCATTTACGAGTTTATTTCTCCTCTTTGTCTAATGTACTATCAGTCCCTCCAGGATTTGCGCGCAATTGTTGATTGATGAATGACTATTGCGGGGTAAAATGCTTGATTACGCGGGACATTTTTCCAAAAGTTTCCCTGTTGAGTTTGGAGGCGTGTGAATCTGGCTTGCAGCATTAGCTGCCAGGGAGCTATGGATGATGTTACCGTGTGGTTTATAGAAGGGACAGGGGGAGGTGATCCATGGCAGACCGGTGAGCAGGTCCCATGATGAGCAACAAGTGTTAGATTTACCGCACCATGTGCATTCTGCTGTGGTGCGTCTCACTGTGGAGGGTGCGTTAGGAGCGCGCCCGCTGCTGCTTTGGAACAGGGAGAGAGAGACTGACTGTTGCTCTGATCCCAGAGTCTGTGTGATTTTGCGTTCACACATTGAGAGATTCTGGAGGGAGTGACTATAGCAATCTACTGGCTTATACTATAGTAAAAATAAACATAAAGTAGTGTTATTAGCGAGTATTGAAGGTTTTTTTTATCTCAATGTCATAACTGCTGAAGCCAAAACACTTGTTATAATGTGAAAATGTATGGTGATTTTATATTTTCCTTTGTGTAGTAGATTTTGGGGTCCTGGGGTCAACAATGCTGCAGCAGAGTTTGATTTGGATCAGCAGCTGACTTCTGCAGCTCTTCATAACTGATGAACTTCTGGATCCTGGATCTTATTGTCGAACAGACAAAGCTGCATGCAACACAATATTTCAGTGCACACACACAGCGTCTCCCATTCAGCAGAGAAAATGCATGAAGCCAGTGAGTCTAGCAGCTAAAAACCTTTTTTGGTTTGACATTTCTCACTGGGTTTGTAAAAAAAACGAATCTGGAAATGTATTGGGGAGTGCGGAGGAAGTAGATTCCACCAGGTCACCTAATTACTATTCTTTATAAACTAAAGTAAAATTGTTTCACAAAGTGTTCAGAAAGTGTTATTTTTACTGTATATTTGTATAAAAAGTGTTTTTATTGTATACAAGTTGAATATTGTATGTGTACATAAGACAATCCTTTGAGTGTATTGTGTGTACACTTTTAATTTGTTTAAAAATAATTATACATTAAAAATATAACAAAGTATTGTTTCTGTTTTGTGTCATAAGAAGAAACTGTCATTCATTGTAAAATATCAGTAAAGACAAAAAAAAAAAAACACTTTTCTGCTTGAAAATGCATGTTTCACAAAAAGGCTGTTTTCTCCAAATATTGGTCAGGAAACAGCATTTTGTGTGAAAGTTACCTATGTTGCACTCTCAATTGCTAAAATTTTTTAAATGAAAGCCAAGGGATAGAGCTTTCATTTGATATGTTTCATACTTGTGTCAACCAAGGGCTCACATTTCTATGCGGTTCAGAAAAACACTAAAAATGTCAAATCTCTGGCAGTATGAGGGAAGCTACTTTTTAAATGGCTGGCATTGAAAAATTAAGCAGGCCTTGACATTAAGCTTTGGGCTAGAGTGGCTGGCTACATTTTACTTTCCCAAAGTCAAAAGTTGCTTGTCCAAATATGTATCAATACAATTAGTTGACAAAAGTTTGGCAATAAAGTGGCACTAAATATTTGGAATAAATATATAAAAAAATCCACTCTCAGCTCAAAACGTTAAATAATGACTCACAGGGCTATTACATTTGCAAAATAAAAAAAGAAGACGCCTGTTGGGGTGTGTTATGTTTGATTTGTCCATAACATTTTACTTTTGTACTTTATGAGGGCGACAGTAGCTCAGGTGGTAGAGCAACAGCTCAAATCCATCGCGAGACCCACTTCATGACTCGATGTCTGCTGCTGTTGTGTCCTTGGGCAAGACAATTAACCCCACTTTGCCCAAAGCCCCCACTGAAAGATCTCAGCTCCTGTGGACTCACCACCTGCAGGAGGATCAGTGAGAGGCTGGTGCTCTGTGAACTGGGTGCAGCTCTGACTGCCACTCCCCCGACCCAGAAATGGATTAAGAGGAAGAAAATGGACGTATGGATGGATCTTACTTTTGTGCCCAACCAACCTGCATTGTTAATGCAAGCGAAAACTAAGGTACCCAAGCTTTAATGTTGTGAGTTTTGGTTGCGCTTCGGGAGGACATACGGGGAGACCCGCACTTGCAACAAACTGGGGATGGTTCTCTCCGCGTGTCTATGGTCCGCGCTCGTTACCACATTACGGCTGTGATTTCGCTGAGCTTTATAACGACAGCCGCTTTGACAACGCGGTTGTGGTTATAATGCAGCTGCAGTTGCTCCCAGGGTCAGAATGGAGGGTGTGAATGCCGTTTGAGAAAGTAATGCAAACAGCAGCAAGTGCATGCGGTCACACAGTGGGAAAAAAGTTGGAAATTGCGGATCTGCAAACAAATTTAATCTCTGGTTTCTCCCTGATGCATTTCATTGGTCTAGAGAATGTTCCAATGAAGAGAATTGTACAACTTGATAAGACAGCGCACTTGCCTGTCCCAAATCTTTACTGGCCCCGGGCAAGTGGACAACCGTTAATGTCGAGCCCTGTTAAGACTAGTTGAAAACTGTCATTGCAACTAAAGACATGTTCTAGTAGTAGACAACAAATCAAGACAGATAAAAAAATCTAAATACCTTGTGACACAGAGTCATCTAAAGCTTCAGTGTCGCTTTCGTCCTCACCGCTGTCTGCCTCGACGGTGTCTACATAAGTAAAACAACATAATATTGGAATACAGAATAGATTTTACTACAACACGATAGTGTAACTATTGCAGGTGGATACCTTCAGGCTCAATATTGATGTCATCAAGGCTTTTGCCTTTGAATTCAGCAACACGTCCCTGCTCCAGAGCCAAAAGCACCTTGCTAATTTTAGCAAGCTGAAGGGTACCTTCTGGAAGCCTGTAAAATTGCCGATGCACTCTCACATCATGGCCGAGGAAATCGGCTAACTGATCAAGCTCAGTGTTTGTGAGATTTAGGACTTGTGATAACGTGGCAGTTTGCTTCCTTAGTTTTGTTGAGGTCAGACTGTGTGGGTTTTCCGCTCCGCAGACCCTGGCAAACTCTCTTAGGCAGTCTGAACCACGGTAACAAGTCATAGCATTTGGTCTTGCAAACAGGTAGCCATTTTTCACTGGGACCTCACAAATCTCCCGTTTGGTGTTGAGCAGATCCAATGACTCCTGCATTGAGGGCGTCAAAAGGATGGAGACCTTTCTCCCTCTTTTTCCTGTAATTTCGATTCTTCGAAAGTGCTGGCAAAGCTTTTTTTCCAGATCTGAAAGTGCGTCACCCAGGTCTTCAAGAGAATCTCTATTATTTGGGGACAAATAGGCCGACAGAGGCATCTTTGATACTTCGCCTGATCTTCGCCTATTGAAGAGTACAATTTGTGTCAAAGTAACTTTTGCCAGTCGTGTCCAAGTCTGGGCTGATGCCTCAGAAGATAACAAGGAGTGAATTTTCTGCTTTTCAATGTCTAAATAAGAATGAAATGTTTGAACGTCTCTTGTAAATGGAAGCAATAAAGGGGCATTCCACTTAGCCTCTTGGAGTGTTCTTAAAGATGCTGCGGATACCATTTCATGCCATCTCGCTTCATATATTTGGCGGAATGTGCGGGCACTTTTTGCTGCAACATAGTTGTTATGAACATTCGAACGACTCTCGACTAACATTGATATTTTAGTCAAGCTGTGTCCTAGTTTGAGTGCCAAACTTGGGCTCTTGAATGTGTTGGTTGTTTTTTCATGACCAGCTACAATCTTCACAGACTCCACAACATGCATGAAATTGGCAGGCAGAACATGGTCTTCAATTGTTTTGATTTTAGTATTTTTCTTGGAGCATAAGAGAAGCCTTCCCAACTCTCTCATTTTTTGGCGAATGTATTCATGTTTCCCCTTGTCATGGCCTAAACGGTGAAATAGATGTTCACCAAACTCCAGGATACATTTGTCTTCTTTCAATGCGGAAAAAACTTCATCTTGTATCATGTTGGTCAACAGTTTCCAGAAGTCCTCTTTGATACCAGCTGGCGGAGGGACAGCAAATGCACAAAGGGCCTGAACACGGGTTTTACCCCGATTTGGTTTCCCACTGGGCTTGAACTTACATTGCAATACATGTTTCCAGAGCCTTTTTCTTCTGAAGAGGCCCTGACAATGGATACAGTGCAGGTAATCCTGAGCCTGTGTATTTCCTTGGGGTTGCATGCGAGGAATAAGCTGTCCCGCACCCGTTTTCAACACATCAACATTATGGGAAAAGTTCCCCCTGTTTCGCAAAAGTTCTAGATGCATCCTCCTCTCTTTGGATCCTTTATTAAAAGACAGAGCCCGAGCAACCTCACGTTCATTTTTATGAGCACGCTCCATGTGCCTGGATATTTTGAGCACAGCCGTCTTGCAGAATAAGCAGTATTGTTTCTTATTGAACATGCGTGAACCATCCTCTTTTTTGCAAACTGCTAGCACGGACAGCGAATCATGGCATGCATCGACTACAGGGACAGAACTGTTTGGAAGTTTTGGCTGGTCCTCTTTTTCTTGTTGATATTTTGCAGATTGTGTCTTACTATGTTGTGGTGGACTTGATTTTCTTTTCTTGGGTTGTTTTTTAGTTGTATTTGATTTTCTTGTGGGAGACCTTCCTCTTGCCGAATTTAGGTTTCCGCCTATAACTTCTGTAGAACTGCTCAAAGGCAAGATTTTTGAATGCAAGGCTGGGCATGTGGTCATTTCTGTATCATCCACTGAAAGAATCTCACTCTCTATTGAATCACAAGAATCACTGCTGTTATCAGTCTCTGGGATATATTCTTCACTTTCGTCTGAAGTAAAGCCACACAATTCTTCTGAATCATACTCAGTTTGGCTCCCCCACTATTGAAAGAAACAAAATATTAGACATATTGTAATTTTCTCAGGCCAACCATGTTTTTTAAACCTGAATGCTTTTGGTCCTTCGTAGCATTGGAGGCATCACATGTTCCTGCTGGGTTCGAGAAGCTGTAAACTCACTACCCTGTATGAGCAAAAAACATAATTCAGTTATTTTAAATTATTACAAATTATTATTATTACAAATATTCATAAATTAAGCATTTACATAATGTTAGTGATGTGTGTAATGGACCTCTCCAGTGTAGTGAAACCAGAATCTACTTTTATACTACAGCTGAGATGTGTGTAATGGACCTCTCCAGTGTAGTGAAACCAGAATCTACTTTTATACTACAGCTGAGATGTGTGTAATGGACCTCTCCAGTGTAGTGCAACCAGAATCTACTTTTATACTACAGCTGGGATGTGTGTAATGGACCTCTCCAGTGTAGTGAAACCAGAATCTACTTTTATACTACAGCTGAGATGTGTGTAATGGACCTCTCCAGTGTAGTGAAACCAGAATCTACTTTTATACTACAGCTGAGATGTGTGTAATGGACCTCTCCAGTGTAGTGCAACCAGAATCTACTTTTATACTACAGCTGGGATGTGTGTAATGGACCTCTCCAGTGTAGTGAAACCAGAATCTACTTTTATACTACAGCTGAGATGTGTGTAATGGACCTCTCCAGTGTAGTGAAACCAGATTGTAGTTTAAACTAATTTTGATATCAATGATTACAGTTCAGACGTAGTGTTGAATTCAAACATGAAGACAGTCATGATGTGTGAATTCTGGACATCTTCAGCACACTAAACAGACAACATTAATGTGACTCAAGCACTCTACATGTCAACTTGTTCACTTGTCTTTACCTGGCTCGCAATAGGAGAGTCGTGGCAATCAGCTTCAGACCTGCCCAATTCAGGTAAGCTGAGGTCAGGCTGGGCTTTGTCTGCATCCTAAAGACGGGTCCAACATAAAATGTATATTAACACAATATCATTGTACTGAATACTAGGGGTGCAACGGTTTGAAAAAAAATCACGGTACGGTTCGTACCTCGGTTTGGTTCATTTTTCAAAAAAAAGTTTTGTCTTTTTAATAAACACAGCTCATGTGGACTTGGCACCTGCTCTGACTGTCCCCCCCTGACCTAGAAATGGATAAGGGGAAGGAAATGGATGGATGGATGGATGGATGGAAGGCATATTCCATCCATCCAATTATGTCTATTTAACATAATTAATGAAAAACAACACAAAGTGCAACAAAAGAAGGCACTTTATGAGGTCATTTACCCTCATATATTAAACCACCTTCCTGATTCTCCCAAGGAAGCGGTCCATTCTGGGCCCAGTCCAGCCTCATTCACTGCATTTATTTAATTTTTGGCATTATCAATTGTGACTGGGATATTGGTACTGGGCCTTTGTCTTCCATTCCTCCGCTGCTGTGTCAGTACCTGCACTGTGTGACTGTGTGACTGTGTGACTGTCGTAGAGGGGGCGTGTCTGCAGTGCCAGACTCTTCATCTCCCAGTCTGCGGTGATGAAGTGAGCGGTTCCGCTCATGGATCTATTATAGGTTCCGCGGGACGTCCAAGGTCTGACTGTGCGTAAAGGGGCTGCTTAAATGCCGCGACAATAAGCGGTCGTTGAGACGCTTTTTTTCACTCATGTCTTTCTTGTGCCACAGTGCTTACACATCGTGACAGTTTTATCGAATATTAATTATCAGTGTAGTTACAGTGAAGCCAAAATGCTCTCATACTGGGGATTTAAATGACGCAGGGCTTTCAAGCATCTCCGTTCCTCCGCTCGCAATGGCCGCGCTGTGTGTGGACTGAACAACGTGCGCACAACTTTTTTTTCATAAATCAAACCGCGGATCACGTCTGTACGGAACCGAAGACATTGAACCGAACGGATCACGGATCAGTGATGAACCGTTGCACCTCTACTGAATACGATCAATGCACACATCTTTCTCAGTGTTTTATCAATAAAAGGCTAAGTGCAGCAAAATCCGACGACCTCTGCGTAATGTCATTACAGACAACCATGTTTAAAGATAAGGTATGATAAAGTTCATACCAAAAACATATTTAATATGGACACAAATAGATGTCACAACGTCAATTTGGCCACCTGAATGTAGTTTTATAATAATAGAGCTCGGACTGTGTGCAGAGAAGAACACTAGACTGGATATGTGTGTAAAGGACCTCTCCAGTGTAGTGAAACCAGAATCTACTTTTATACTACAGCTGAGATGTGTATAATGGACCTCTCCAGTGTAGTGAAACCAGAATCTACTTTTATACTACAGCTGAGATGTGTGTAATGGACCTCTCCAGTGTAGTGAAACCAGAATCTACTTTTATACTACAGCTGAGATGTGTGTAATGGACCTCTCCAGTGTAGTGCAACCAGAATCTACTTTTATACTACAGCTGATATGTGTGTAATGGACCTCTCCAGTGTAGTGCAACCAGATTGTAGTTTAAACTAATTTTGATATCAATGATTACAGTTCAGACGTAGTGTTGAATTCAAACATGAAGACAGTCATGATGTGTGAATTCTGGACATCTTCAGCACACTAAACAGACAACATTAATGTGACTCAAGCACTCTACATGTCAACTTGTTCACTTGTCTTTACCTGGCTCGCAATAGGAGAGTCGTGGCAATCAGCTTCAGACCTGCCCAATTCAGGTAAGCTGAGGTCAGGCTGGGCTTTGTCTGCATCCTAAAGACGGGTCCAACATAAAATGTATATTAACACAATATCATTGTACTGAATACTAGGGGTGCAACGGTTTGAAAAAAAATCACGGTACGGTTCGTACCTCGGTTTGGTTCATTTTTCAAAAAAAAGTTTTGTCTTTTTAATAAACACAGCTCATGTGGACTTGGCACCTGCTCTGACTGTCCCCCCCTGACCTAGAAATGGATAAGGGGAAGGAAATGGATGGATGGATGGATGGATGGAAGGCATATTCCATCCATCCAATTATGTCTATTTAACATAATTAATGAAAAACAACACAAAGTGCAACAAAAGAAGGCACTTTATGAGGTCATTTACCCTCATATATTAAACCACCTTCCTGATTCTCCCAAGGAAGCGGTCCATTCTGGGCCCAGTCCAGCCTCATTCACTGCATTTATTTAATTTTTGGCATTATCAATTGTGACTGGGATATTGGTACTGGGCCTTTGTCTTCCATTCCTCCGCTGCTGTGTCAGTACCTGCACTGTGTGACTGTGTGACTGTGTGACTGTCGTAGAGGGGGCGTGTCTGCAGTGCCAGACTCTTCATCTCCCAGTCTGCGGTGATGAAGTGAGCGGTTCCGCTCATGGATCTATTATAGGTTCCGCGGGACGTCCAAGGTCTGACTGTGCGTAAAGGGGCTGCTTAAATGCCGCGACAATAAGCGGTCGTTGAGACGCTTTTTTTCACTCATGTCTTTCTTGTGCCACAGTGCTTACACATCGTGACAGTTTTATCGAATATTAATTATCAGTGTAGTTACAGTGAAGCCAAAATGCTCTCATACTGGGGATTTAAATGACGCAGGGCTTTCAAGCATCTCCGTTCCTCCGCTCGCAATGGCCGCGCTGTGTGTGGACTGAACAACGTGCGCACAACTTTTTTTTCATAAATCAAACCGCGGATCACGTCTGTACGGAACCGAAGACATTGAACCGAACGGATCACGGATCAGTGATGAACCGTTGCACCTCTACTGAATACGATCAATGCACACATCTTTCTCAGTGTTTTATCAATAAAAGGCTAAGTGCAGCAAAATCCGACGACCTCTGCGTAATGTCATTACAGACAACCATGTTTAAAGATAAGGTATGATAAAGTTCATACCAAAAACATATTTAATATGGACACAAATAGATGTCACAACGTCAATTTGGCCACCTGAATGTAGTTTATAATAATAGAGCTCGGACTGTGTGCAGAGAAGAACACTAGACTGGATATGTGTGTAAAGGACCTCTCCAGTGTAGTGAAACCAGAATCTACTTTTATACTACAGCTGAGATGTGTATAATGGACCTCTCCAGTGTAGTGAAACCAGAATCTACTTTTATACTACAGCTGAGATGTGTGTAATGGACCTCTCCAGTGTAGTGAAACCAGAATCTACTTTTATACTACAGCTGAGATGTGTGTAATGGACCTCTCCAGTGTAGTGCAACCAGAATCTACTTTTATACTACAGCTGATATGTGTGTAATGGACCTCTCCAGTGTAGTGCAACCAGATTGTAGTTTAAACTAATATTTTGATATCAATGATTACAGTTCAGACGTAGTGTTGAATTCAAACATGAAGACAGTCATGATGTGTGAATTCTGGACATCTTCAGCACACTAAACAGACAACATTAATGTGACTCAAGCACTCTACATGTCAACTTGTTCACTTGTCTTTACCTGGCTCGCAATAGGAGAGTCGTGGCAATCAGCTTCAGACCTGCCCAATTCAGGTAAGCTGAGGTCAGGCTGGGCTTTGTCTGCATCCTAAAGACGGGTCCAACATAAAATGTATATTAACACAATATCATTGTACTGAATACAATCAATGCACACATCTTTCTCAGTGTTTTATCAATAAAAGGCTAAGTGCAGCAAAATCCGACGACCTCTGCGTAATGTCATTACAGACAACCATGTTTAAAGATAAGGTATGATAAAGTTCATACCAAAAACATATTTAATACGGACACAAATAGATGTCACAACGTCAATTTGGCCACCTGAATGTAGTTTATAATAATAGAGCTTGGACTGTGTGCAGAGAAGAACACTAGACTGGATATGTGTGTAAAGGACCTCTCCAGTGTAGTGAAACCAGAATCTACTTTTATACTACAGCTGAGATGTGTGTAAAGGACCTCTCCAGTGTAGTGAAACCAGAATCTACTTTTATACTACAGCTGAGATTGGGGCGACAGTAGCTCAGTTGGTAGAGCATTGGCCTTAAGGACCTCTCCAGTGTAGTGAAACCAGAATCTACTTTTATACTACAGCTGAGATGTGTGTAAAGGACCTCTCCAGTGTAGTGAAACCAGAATCTACTTTTATACTACAGCTGAGATGTGTGTAATTGACCTCTCCAGTGTAGTGAAACCAGAATCTACTTTTATACTACAGCTGAGATGTGTGTAAAGGACCTCTCCAGTGTAGTGAAACCAGAATCTACTTTTATACTACAGCTGAGATGTGTGTAATTGACCTCTCCAGTGTAGTGAAACCAGAATCTACTTTTATACTACAGCTGAGATGTGTGTAAAGGACCTCTCCAGTGTAGTGAAACCAGAATCTACTTTTATACTACAGCTGAGATGTGTGTAATGGACCTCTCCAGTGTAGTGAAACCAGAATCTACTTTTATACTACAGCTGAGATGTGTGTAATGGACCTCTCCAGTGTAGTGAAACCAGAATCTACTTTTATACTACAGCTGAGATGTGTGTAATGGACCTCTCCAGTGTAGTGCAACCAGATTGTAGTTTAAACTAATTTTGATATCAATGAATACAGTTCAGACGTAGTGTTGAATTCAAACATGAAGACAGTCATGATGTGTGAATTCTGGACATCTTCAGCACACTAAACAGACAACATTAATGTGACTCAAGCACTCTACATGTCAACTTGTTCACTTGTCTTTACCTGGCTCGCAATAGGAGAGTTGTGGCAATCAGCTTCAGACCTGCCCAATTCAGGTAAGCTGAGGTCAGGCTGGGCTTTGTCTGCATCCTAAAGACGGGTCCAACATAAAATGTATATTAACACAATATCATTGTACTGAATACAATCAATGCACTCATCTTTCTCAGTGTTTTATCAATAAAAGGCTAAGTGCAGCAAAATCCGACGACCTCTGCGTAATGTCATTACAGACAACCATGTTTAAAGATAAGGTATGATAAAGTTCATACCAAAAACATATTTAATACGGACACAAATAGATGTCACAACGTCAATTTGGCCACCTGAATGTAGTTTATAATAATAGAGCTTGGACTGTGTGCAGAGAAGAACACTAGACTGGATATGTGTGTAAAGGACCTCTCCAGTGTAGTGAAACCAGAATCTACTTTTATACTACAGCTGAGATGTGTGTAAAGGACCTCTCCAGTGTAGTGCAACCAGAATCTACTTTTATACTACAGCTGAGATGTGTGTAAAGGACCTCTCCAGTGTAGTGAAACCAGAATCTACTTTTATACTACAGCTGAGATTGGGGCGACAGTAGCTCAGTTGGTAGAGCATTGGCCTTAAGGACCTCTCCAGTGTAGTGAAACCAGAATCTACTTTTATACTACAGCTGAGATGTGTGTAAAGGACCTCTCCAGTGTAGTGAAACCAGAATCTACTTTTATACTACAGCTGAGATGTGTGTAATGGACCTCTCCAGTGTAGTGAAACCAGAATCTACTTTTATACTACAGCTGAGATGTGTGTAATGGACCTCTCCAGTGTAGTGAAACCAGAATCTACTTTTATACTACAGCTGAGATGTGTGTAATGGACCTCTCCAGTGTAGTGAAACCAGATTGTAGTTTAAACTAATTTTGATATCAATGATTACAGTTCAGACGTAGTGTTGAATTCAAACATGAAGACAGTCATGATGTGTGAATTCTGGACATCTTCAGCACACTAAACAGACAACATTAATGTGACTCAAGCACTCTACATGTCAACTTGTTCACTTGTCTTTACCTGGCTCGCAATAGGAGAGTCGTGGCAATCAGCTTCAGACCTGCCCAATTCAGGTAAGCTGAGGTCAGGCTGGGCTTTGTCTGCATCCTAAAGACGGGTCCAACATAAAATGTATATTAACACAATATCATTGTACTGAATACAATCAATGCACTCATCTTTCTCAGTGTTTTATCAATAAAAGGCTAAGTGCAGCAAAATCCGACGACCTCTGCGTAATGTCATTACAGACAACCATGTTTAAAGATAAGGTATGATAAAGTTCATACCAAAAACATATTTAATACGGACACAAATAGATGTCACAACGTCAATTTGGCCACCTGAATGTAGTTTATAATAATAGAGCTTGGACTGTGTGCAGAGAAGAACACTAGACTGGATATGTGTGTAAAGGACCTCTCCAGTGTAGTGAAACCAGAATCTACTTTTATACTACAGCTGAGATGTGTATAATGGACCTCTCCAGTGTAGTGAAACCAGAATCTACTTTTATACTACAGCTGAGATGTGTGTAATGGACCTCTCCAGTGTAGTGAAACCAGAATCTACTTTTATACTACAGCTGAGATTGGGGCGACAGTAGCTCAGTTGGTAGAGCATTGGCCTTAAGGCCAGAAGGTTGTGGGTTCAATTCCCACCTCTACACCTTCTCCACCGACTCCCACTGATGACTGCTGCCGTTGTGTCCTTGTGCAAGACACCTAATCCCACTTTGCCCAAAGCCCCCACTGAAAGATCAAGGCTATGCTCACACTCAGAGAGCAGCCGTCCTCCTGTGGACTCACCACCTGCAGAGGGTCAGTGAGGGGCTGGTGCTATGAGACTTGGGTGGCATCTCTTACTGCCACCCCCCTGACCCAGAAATGGATTAAAGGGTAGAAAATGGATGGATGGATGGACTACAGCTGAGATGTGTGTAAAGGACCTCTCCAGTGTAGTGAAACCAGAATCTACTTTTATACTACAGCTGAGATGTGTGTAATGGACCTCTCCAGTGTAGTGAAACCAGAATCTACTTTTATACTACAGCTGAGATGTGTGTAATGGACCTCTCCAGTGTAGTGCAACCAGATTGTAGTTTAAACTAATTTTGATATCAATGATTACAGTTCAGACGTAGTGTTGAATTCAAACATGAAGACAGTCATGATGTGTGAATTCTGGACATCTTCAGCACACTAAACAGACAACATTAATGTGACTCAAGCACTCTACATGTCAACTTGTTCACTTGTCTTTACCTGGCTCGCAATAGGAGAGTCGTGGCAATCAGCTTCAGACCTGCCCAATTCAGGTAAGCTGAGGTCAGGCTGGGCTTTGTCTGCATCCTAAAGACGGGTCCAACATAAAATGTATATTAACACAATATCATTGTACTGAATACAATCAATGCACTCATCTTTCTCAGTGTTTTATCAATAAAAGGCTAAGTGCAGCAAAATCCGACGACCTCTGCGTAATGTCATTACAGACAACCATGTTTAAAGATAAGGTATGATAAAGTTCATACCAAAAACATATTTAATACGGACACAAATAGATGTCACAACGTCAATTTGGCCACCTGAATGTAGTTTATAATAATAGAGCTTGGACTGTGTGCAGAGAAGAACACTAGACTGGATATGTGTGTAAAGGACCTCTCCAGTGTAGTGAAACCAGAATCTACTTTTATACTACAGCTGAGATGTGTGTAAAGGACCTCTCCAGTGTAGTGAAACCAGAATCTACTTTTATACTACAGCTGAGATGTGTGTAATGGACCTCTCCAGTGTAGTGAAACCAGAATCTACTTTTATACTACAGCTGAGATGTGTGTAATGGACCTCTCCAGTGTAGTGAAACCAGAATCTACTTTTATACTACAGCTGAGATTGGGGCGACAGTAGCTCAGTTGGTAGAGCATTGGCCTTAAGGCCAGAAGGTTGTGGGTTCAATTCCCACCTCTACACCTTCTCCACCGACTCCCACTGATGACTGCTGTCGTTGTGTCCTTGGGCAAGACACTTAAGCCCACTTTGCCCAAAGCCCCCACTGAAAGATCAAGGCTATGCTCACACTCAGAGAGCAGCCATCCTCCTGTGGACTCACCACCTGCAGAGGGTCAGTGAGGGGCTGGTGCTATGAGACTTGGGTGGCATCTCTGACTGCCACCCCCCTGACCCAGAAATGGATTAAAGGGTAGAAAATGGATGGATGGATGGACTATAGCTGAGATGTGTGTAAAGGACCTCTCCAGTGTAGTGCAACCAGAATCTACTTTTATACTACAGCTGAGATGTGTGCAATGGACCTCTCCAGTGTAGTGAAACCAGATTGTAGTTTAAACTAATTTTGATATCAATGATTACAGTTCAGACGTAGTGTTGAATTCAAACATGAAGACAGTCATGATGTGTGAATTCTGGACATCTTCAGCACACTAAACAGACAACATTAATGTGACTCAAGCACTCTACATGTCAACTTGTTCACTTGTCTTTACCTGGCTCGCAATAGGAGAGTCGTGGCAATCAGCTTCAGACCTGCCCAATTCAGGTAAGCTGAGGTCAGGCTGGGCTTTGTCTGCATCCTAAAGACGGGTCCAACATAAAATGTATATTAACACAATATCATTGTACTGAATACAATCAATGCACTCATCTTTCTCAGTGTTTTATCAATAAAAGGCTAAGTGCAGCAAAATCCGACGACCTCTGCGTAATGTCATTACAGACAACCATGTTTAAAGATAAGGTATGATAAAGTTCATACCAAAAACATATTTAATACGGACACAAATAGATGTCACAACGTCAATTTGGCCACCTGAATGTAGTTTATAATAATAGAGCTTGGACTGTGTGCAGAGAAGAACACTAGACTGGATATGTGTGTAAAGGACCTCTCCAGTGTAGTGAAACCAGAATCTACTTTTATACTACAGCTGAGATGTGTGTAAAGGACCTCTCCAGTGTAGTGAAACCAGAATCTACTTTTATACTACTGCTGAGATGTGTGTAAAGGACCTCTCCAGTGTAGTGCAACCAGAATCTACTTTTATACTACAGCTGAGATTGGGGCGACAGTAGCTCAGTTGGTAGAGCATTGGCCTTAAGGACCTCTCCAGTGTAGTGAAACCAGAATCTACTTTTATACTACAGCTGAGATGTGTGTAAAGGACCTCTCCAGTGTAGTGAAACCAGAATCTACTTTTATACTACAGCTGAGATTGGGGCGACAGTAGCTCAGTTGGTAGAGCATTGGCCTTAAGGACCTCTCCAGTGTAGTGAAACCAGAATCTACTTTTATACTACAGCTGAGATGTGTGTAATGGACCTCTCCAGTGTAGTGCAACCAGAATCTACTTTTATACTACAGCTGAGATGTGTGTAATGGACCTCTCCAGTGTAGTGAAACCAGAATCTACTTTTATACTACAGCTGAGATGTGTGTAATGGACCTCTCCAGTGTAGTGAAACCAGATTGTAGTTTAAACTAATTTTGATATCAATGATTACAGTTCAGACGTAGTGTTGAATTCAAACATGAAGACAGTCATGATGTGTGAATTCTGGACATCTTCAGCACACTAAACAGACAACATTAATGTGACTCAAGCACTCTACATGTCAACTTGTTCACTTGTCTTTACCTGGCTCGCAATAGGAGAGTCGTGGCAATCAGCTTCAGACCTGCCCAATTCAGGTAAGCTGAGGTCAGGCTGGGCTTTGTCTGCATCCTAAAGACGGGTCCAACATAAAATGTATATTAACACAATATCATTGTACTGAATACAATCAATGCACTCATCTTTCTCAGTGTTTTATCAATAAAAGGCTAAGTGCAGCAAAATCCGACGACCTCTGCGTAATGTCATTACAGACAACCATGTTTAAAGATAAGGTATGATAAAGTTCATACCAAAAACATATTTAATACGGACACAAATAGATGTCACAACGTCAATTTGGCCACCTGAATGTAGTTTATAATAATAGAGCTTGGACTGTGTGCAGAGAAGAACACTAGACTGGATATGTGTGTAAAGGACCTCTCCAGTGTAGTGAAACCAGAATCTACTTTTATACTACAGCTGAGATGTGTGTAAAGGACCTCTCCAGTGTAGTGAAACCAGAATCTACTTTTATACTACTGCTGAGATGTGTGTAAAGGACCTCTCCAGTGTAGTGCAACCAGAATCTACTTTTATACTACAGCTGAGATTGGGGCGACAGTAGCTCAGTTGGTAGAGCATTGGCCTTAAGGACCTCTCCAGTGTAGTGAAACCAGAATCTACTTTTATACTACAGCTGAGATGTGTGTAAAGGACCTCTCCAGTGTAGTGAAACCAGAATCTACTTTTATACTACAGCTGAGATTGGGGCGACAGTAGCTCAGTTGGTAGAGCATTGGCCTAATGGACCTCTCCAGTGTAGTGCAACCAGATTGTAGTTTAAACTAATTTTGATATCAATGAATACAGTTCAGACGTAGTGTTGAATTCAAACATGAAGACAGTCATGATGTGTGAATTCTGGACATCTTCAGCACACTAAACAGACAACATTAATGAGACTCAAGCACTCTACATGTCAACTTGTTCACTTGTCTTTACCTGGCTCGCAATAGGAGAGTCGTGGCAATCAGCTTCAGACCTGCCCAATTCAGGTAAGCTGAGGTCAGGCTGGGCTTTGTCTGCATCCTAAAGACGGGTCCAACATAAAATGTATATTAACACAATATCATTGTACTGAATACAATCAATGCACACATCTTTCCCAGTGTTTTATCTAGAGAGAAATTTTCAAAGACTGCAGTTTAGAATACAAAATTCTATGCAAACAATAAACTGCAATGTCGAATGAATCCTGTAATTTTACTCACAACAAACATTAAATTAGTACTTGTGATTCTTGTATCAAGATAGAAGACCATTATGTCTTCTACACACCACACGCGTCTTATGGGAGGGTAAGACTCGCGTCGTGGCTTACAGCATGGGTCGCAGGGCTGATTTCAGATACGCACCCATTGTAGAAGCCAGAAACATGCACACTGTACGTGATGCGTTGACAGAAGCACCCGAAAGTCAAATCGAAATATGACCCACGCGTATTTCTGCCGAACGGCACTTGCGTTTTGAAGCGGTTTTCTATCAAATTGCAGTGAAAATATCCTTGTGTCTAGAGTCTTTAGCGGCTAGATCAGCCCCACAGGTCACAGAACATGTAGTAAACGTGAGGAGGAAAGGGTAAGTTTCCCAGTGATTCTGGACATTGTTTTTTCTTTCATAAATTCTCACGTATGACACAACTAGCACAGAGACCATGAGGACGAACACATACAGCAGAACTGTGTTGTACAAAGCAGTTCTCTGGGCTGTTCTGTCAGCTAAACTCCTCCATAGACTTCAAAGAGGCAGCAGAAGCAGTCGCTCTTTCGTTGACAAGAGACGCGCATCTGCCTTGATGCGTGTGGTGTGAAGCGGGCGGTATAGTTTAATCTTCTAAAATGCTCAAATTCAAGATCATACATTTCTAATTCATTATAAATTGCTATAACAACTGGAATATTTTATTTATTTATTTAGACTCATGAGGCCTCTTTTCCACTTGCCTTTTTTCTCCATGGCCAGCCTGTTCCTCCGTAATCATATGATATTTCCTCCCCAGCATCAATGTCTCTCAATGCAAAAAGAAACAGATGAGGTTTGCCATCATGAATAAGTTTCTTCATTTTGCAGTTAGGGCGGACGTTATCATTGACCAATCTTCCAAAGCTTTGGTCTTCTCGTGATGCATCAATGCTAAGAAAAAAAAACTATTAATCACTAATATTTTTCAAATAATATCTTTCATTCTTTTCCCTCAAAGCAATATTACATAACAAATATGCTTTATTTTTGTATATCTTACCACCATGTCTTCTCATGCCACTGAAAATTATACATGAAGACTGAACATCTTGGCGAATATACTCTACGGCGTCTTTCCTCCTCCGCCGAGTCAATCAGCTCCCCTTTGTACTCCACCACGAAGTCTCCTTGTTGTACTTTTTTCTTTGCAAATATTCCTCTTCCTAGCACAAATATTGAATTATTATCTAGGATGTCAGCTGTCATAAACTCATACTGCACACAACTCACCTTTAATACAATTAATGTATTTAACCTCCAATATATTTGTTTTGTCCATCCCTTTGGCAGCGTGCTCCAGAGCATCGTCCTTAGGCGGTTTTCTTTTTTTTGATGACATGATGGTGTAAATCCTATAATTATCGATGCAAAACGGACAATGCTTCAATTTAAGTGCCCCTTAGTTTACACACAAATGTAAATGAGTCAATGACTGATATAGAAGTTTTTTTGTTGCTGGTGCCACTCTCACCAGGAACGCAAACGATGGATATAAGGGATAAAGAGGAGCATTAATAGGGATAATATTTAGATCAGAAGAACGCCACAGACGGGAAGGAAATTAATAGCCTATAGCCACTTGCTTAAGGTTTCCCCTCCTCCCGAGAGTTTAGACCAGACCCAAAAAACCCAGCCCAGCCTGACCCCGCAAACGTGCGGCCCGAGTCATTTCCCACATGTTGAAGCCCGCGAACCCGCTGTTTTTATGTTACATAATAATATGCTTCGCGCGCTTCAATTTGTAATACCAGACTATGCAAAGATGGCATCATGTTTGGGAGTCTGGCGGCCAGAGACTGTACAAGATCTAAACCAAGCCAAAACTATGACTGAACCCGGTCTAAACAAGGTCTAAATTTGGACTGGGCCAGGTCTGCAAGGGCCAAAACTCTACGCCCTCCCACCCCTCGCGTTGCTGTTAGCAGGATGCTAACGAAAGCTAGCTTAACAATGTAAAACCTAACAAAACTCTACTTTCATTAGTTACATGCCATACTTTCAGCAACTGTGGCCCTAAAACCTCCTAAAATACAAGCAGTAAATGGGCTAATATTGAGACTTAACCTACGTGATATCAGAACAAAGAAACAAGAAGGAAATGATAACGTTAGCCTTTAGCCTAGTTAGCTTAACAATTCTACAACCAACCTGTCGGGGGTCTATCCAAAACTCTCCAAAATAAGTCTGGGCACTTCCCTTGCAAATGTTATCGACACAAACAATACATTTCATAAATTACATTACCTACTTTGAGCACCTGGCCTTAAAACCTCCGCAGTCGTTTTTTGTGTGTGTAGCTTCAGCTCCGATCTCCATGTGGTCAACACAGCTTTAACTTAGTGCGCATGAAAATGACATCATGGAAATAAAATTTAAACTAGTCTCCGAAACTTACATCTGTATAACAGTGCAAAATATCTGATATGGCCCAACTAGATGAAAATTAACAATTTGTAATTAATAAGAAATTAACTAAAACGTGATCAAATAAGCCATTTATCCCAATATGACTATGTGGGGAGGGGGAGGCTCTAGGAGTTAGTTTTACGTTAAGAAACTAACAAAATCATTATGAAAAACAACTTTTACCTCAAAGATGAGCTTTCTTTCTCCACAAACATGTGCTTGGAGCAGCTAGTTGACGTTAACATAAGAAGCCTACTCTTCAAACTAACTTCTGTAGTGTTTTTAAAGAATGCCTGTAGATTGGAAATGATTTAAAACACATTCATAAAAGTGATTTTTTTCCTTACCTTTTTTATTGTGATCCAAAAAAAGTCCTATGTCGCGTCCTGAATCCTGAAGTTCAGTGTAATCGAAAGGGAAAAGACAAGCGCATGCGCACTGGGCATAGTGTGTGTCAAGTGTGTGTAAGTGTAGTACCGCACTCCACCACTAGAGGTCGATACTGAGTAAATTCTGCTATACACACTTACACACTTGAAGTCGGTTTTTGTCACTTTTGGAGACCAAGCTGAAAAATTGCCAGAGCCTTATTTTGGGCCTATTTTAATTGAAAATATAGTTTATCTTAGTGGGGACCGGGTTTTTGGTCCCCACTAGGATTTTGGTCCCCACCCCGTGAGTGTGCTGTCAGGCGCCGGTCCTCTCTAGGTGATAAAGACAAACACACACACACACACACACACACACACACACACACACACACACACACACACACACACACACACACAAGGCAATGTGGATGAAGTGTTTTGGCACGTCACAGCTGCCTTGTGGCACCTGGTGTTTCCATCACAGAATTGACCAGGCTGAGCCCAGCTTAGCTTCAGAGATCTGACATACAGGTATAGTTAAGTAGTAATTACCTTACCTAGCTGGCTACAGTTATTGCCACTTCATATTTCTGACTGTTTCCCTTGTGGGAAGAACCCTGGATCAAAGGTGAAATGTATCTAGAATGTCTTGCAGAGAGACTAATGTCACTGAAGGATTAAATGCATGGAATGATAAGACTCAACAAATACAAATCCGTTATTGTTATGTACGAATGGTATGGTGACTGATATGAGCTACATATGGCTTTAAGTGCTGCAGGGAAGTGTTCAAACAGAGAGTGATTGGACACAGGCTTAAACTCTGCACAGTCAGAGAAGGGAACATGAGCAGATGATTAGAGATGAACGCCCTTTGGCCTTATTGCCCCTAAGCATCATGGATAATCCTTATCTGACCAGTTTCACACAGTTCACGTCAAGCTTTATATTTACTAGACACATCAAGGCTCATGTCATGATATCACTTTTGTAACGCAAACATGTGCTGGAGGAAGGTAATACAGCCACATGTGCATTTGTGACTGCTGAACTATGACCAAAAAAAATCTGAAACTCAAATATTTCATTTTTTTATCACGCATATTTTTGATATGAATATTGCACAGACCAATATCGCGATAACGATATTTTTTCAATATATGGTGCAGCCCTAAGTAGAAGTACCCCTCTACTAAACTTTAACATAATACAACAATAGACAATAAACAATATAGAATATGCTAGGGGCATCAGGTCCGTGTTCTTTTTCGTTCAATACATTTTCTATTTTTGAAGGGAAATGGAAAATTGAAAAAAGGCTATTTTGCATTTTCAGGCACACACCAATGTACAAAAATGACCATTTTGGTTTTTACATTGCTTATATAAGACATATATATATTATAATAACCGGATTTGGGAACTAGAAAATGCAATAATTAACCTTTTTTTAATATGTATTTAATACATTTTGCCGTCAATCGATTACCCGGAAGTGAAACAAGTTTGTTTACTTCAGCCCTATTCGCTCTAATTTAGTATAATTTAATACGCACATGACCTCCTGTATTTGTTCAAACACAGACGTCCTGTGATAATACTAATCCTGTGAGAATCTGCATGTCAGTGATTGTGATTGCCACTTTCGCTTTACTTTCTGCGTTGTTTTTTGTCAATGAGCAGAGGAGTTGCGTATCGCTGTGAACACCTGCAGAGTCGCGGCTGCTGCTGTCTCTGTGAGGTCTATGGAGAAGTGTAGAGGACAGTGTAATGTGTTCACTGACACTGAATGATCAGATACAGTATATACAGTCTATGGATCAGACCGATGGGTTGCATTTACTTTGCACTTTGTGGTAATACCATAGATCCATGGGTAATCGAGCTCTTCGCGAAAATTCACTGTGGTAGACCCGGCCGCTGCTACAAGCCTGCTCATCCTCTACTCATTACACCAGCAAAACGCCCACATCCAATCCACCAATAACCACCAGGACAGCAAGTTAAAAGCCGGAGACGCCCACTTCCCGGCCTTCTGAAGTCCGCAAGCTTCTGAAGTCTGCAAGGTGCATGTCGCTAACGCACCTGTTCGCAAATGCATGCGTTGTTCTGGAGGGGTCACTTCTGCTCACGTGTTGCTCGTGCGCGTGGCCCGGCTGTCCTCAGTCTGGCTGCTTGTGGTCTGCTCCTCCTCCGCGTCCCTGCACCTGCTGTGGTTTGCGTGTCTCCACTGCTCTCCTCCACTGCTCTCCTCCACTGCTCTCCTCCTCTGCGGGCTCTTCTGCGGGCTGCTCCGCGGGGCCCCTCCGCGGGTTCTGTGCTGCTCGTTCCTTGTGGTCTGCTGCCGCGCGCACCCGGTCTGGCGGTGCCGTGCGTGTCCCTGCCTCCGATTGGCGGTGCCGCATTGTCCCGTTGCTTTTCCCAAGTCTCCTGGCATGCTCTTAAACCACCATGGGCATGGTTCTCTGACCGCCGCTGCTGCGGTCCCCGCTGCCGTTCCTACTGATGCCTGTTCCCGCTGCTGCCTGTTCCTGCTGCCGCTCCTGCTGCTGCCTGTTCCTGCTGCCGCTCCTGCTGCCGTTCCTGCTGCTGCCTGTTCCTGCTGCCGCTCCTGCTACTACATTGCCGCTGCTGCTGTTCCTGCCGCTGCCGCTCCGCGGGCTCCCAGGCTGCACCTGTCTCTACGGCTCGGCTCTTTCAGACACGTATGTAACCTGGCTCACGGAGACAAGCGGCGCACGCTGGCGTGACACGTCTGTTGTTCGTTGAATCGCATTGTGGTGCTACTGCTCCTGCTAATGCTGCTTCATACTGCTACCGCTACTGCTGCTACTGCTGCCGCTACTGCTGCTATTGCTGCCGCTGCTGCTTCATACTGCTACTGCTGCCGTGCTGCTGCTGCTTCTTTTACTTTGACACCTCTCTTCACTTCGCATCTCTTTTACTGAAACACTAAACAGCTACAACAATATTCTACTGCTGTGGCTTTGATACAGGATTATTGCTGTTATTATCTACGGATGCTGCAACTGCTGCTGCTGCTTCATACTGCTACTGCTGCTACTGCTGCTGCTTCATACTGCTACTGCTGCTACTGCTGCTGCTTCATACTGCTACTGCTGCTACTGCTACTGCTGCAACCCACTCTCTCAGAAGCTTATCCTGCTTCTAATGGATGCAGCCCGGCTGAGTATGCCGCGCTGCGCTGGACTCGCACCTATGCTCCCAGGGTCGCTTCGGCGGTCATGCTTCATCTCTCTACTTAATCTTCTGATTCTATCAGATGCAGCTGGCCGAGTAGCTGCGCTGAGCCGTCAATCGGACTCCTAATCAAACGCATCCATACCTGTATTCTTCACTCTTCTGATCGCAGGCTCCCCATCATGCTGCCCATCCTGCAGCGGCACTGAACTCCGGCTCATCTTCCAAGTACATGTCTGCCCTCCTCGCAGCATCTTCCTGCTCGCCTTCTATGGCTTCTCTGCATAAGCGAGTTCACTACTGCTCACTCAACCTTCATGCGGTCCGAGACACGGCTTTCCCGACCATCCTACTATCCTGATTATCTACTCTCCAACCCAAGATTCTAAGCGTAAGGGCGCCTGCAAACATCAATGGCCCTCTCCGACATGTCTCTGCCCCTACAGGTCTCCGCTTCTACACGGACGCTGCCCCTTCCGTGGGTTTTGGGGGTTCTTCCAGGACCATTGGTTTGCCTGGCCGTGGCCGCTACTTTCCACCGGAGCATCTCCTCTGCCCTACACGAAATATTCCCAGTGGTCGTGGCTGCGCGCTGTGGAATCACATGTGGCAGAGAAAGAGGAAATCTCTGTCATGCGCGATAATCTCGATGTAGTGGAAGCATTACACAAAGGTCGCTCTTTTTCACCCAACATAATGTCCCCTGACCATTTCAACCTTCATTTCAAACATTCAAAAATCAAAGGAGCCTGCAATATAGTAACAGCTCGCTCGGACACATCTCTCTGCCCCTACAAATCCATGATGCGTTACACTCGCCTCCGCTGCAAAAAGGAGAGTTTAACGGACCTCTATTTCTCACTCCAGACATTCTTCCCATGACAGCAACCTGGTTCAGAGCTCAACTAAGATCCCTACTGCTCCTCTGTAAATTGTCTCCCCAGCTCTACACAGCTCACTCCTTCAGGATAGGCGCCGCCACGCGCGCGGCCTCGCTGGGGCTCCCCCACACCTCTCTGCAACAGCTGGGGCGCTGTTCCTCTTCGGCCTTCTCCGCCTACATCAGGCCAGACGCGTCCGCCATCCTGGCTGCACAACGGCTACTGGCTTCTTCGTAAGCTCCCAGCAAAGCAATACAAAGCAAAGTAAGTGATCCAATAAGATTCTGGTGGCGGCACGCACTTTTCTCAAAGATAACTCTGTTGCAGCGTCCGGTTGATCGTGATGCGAGCGCTCACGTCCCGGCGCTCAAAGACAACTCTGCCGCAGCGTCTGGTTGATTGTGATGCGAGCGCTCACGTCCCGGCGCTTAAAGATAACTCTGCTACAGCGTCTGGTATCGATCGTGATGCGAGCGCTCACGTCCCAGGCAGCGTCCGGTTGATCGTGATGCAAGCGCTCACGTACCGGCGCTTAAAGATAACTCTGCTACAGCGTCTGGTATCGATCGTGATGCGAGCGCTCACGTCCCAGGCAGCGTCCGGTTGATCGTGATGCGAGCGCTCACGTCCCGGCGCGCAAAGATAACTCTGCCCGTTTTTGGGGATCATGCGCGCGAGCAAGCGCCGCGCTCAGCAGCATCTCTCCCGGGCCTGGGGCGCCAAACATGCTCAATCAATAAACTTCTAACTGCATTTTCCCTCTTGGGTCTCTCCAAAGTGAAATGGAGCTCTTCGCAAAAATTCACTGTGGTAGACCCGGCCGCTGCTACAAGCCTGCTCATCCTCTACTCATTACACCAGCAAAACGCCCACATCCAATCCACCAATAACCACCAGGACAGCAAGTTAAAAGCCGGAGACGCCCACTTCCCGGCCTTCTGAAGTCTGCAAAGCCTCCGCCGCCCCACCTCCTCCTTCTCTCTTCGGAGCGTGCTCGCCTGCTGCCTCTGCCGTCACCAGTGCTTAGGCCCCGGGGGGATCATGCGCGCGAGCAAGCGCCGCGCTCAACAGCATCTCTCCCGGGCCTCTCCAGGGCGCCAAACATGCTCAATCAATAAACTTCTAACTGCATTTTCCCTCTTGGGTCTCTCCAAAGTGAAATACAGTACAGACGTGTTGCTGCAGCCGTTACTATCGTTGTCTCGCACTTCTCTTAGCAGAGTATGTGGTTCACGAGTAGTCCATACAAACTATTATTAAACATTACAGACAGTATGGGCCAGAGAACTGTAACGCAGTAAAATGTTTGTCCTCATGGTCTCTGTGGCTGCTGTGATACAGTCTATGGGTCAGACGCGACTCTCTGGACTAGGTGAAGCGGAGAAACCATAAACTGTAAAAATTAAGAGACCCGCGCACGTGCGGCCGTTATGTGAGATTATTATTATTGCTTATCCCGTGTGAATGCACTGCAAAATCTCAGATGTTCTCCGTGATTATCACAAATTATCAGGGGTCCACAGGTAATACTAATCCCGTACCAGTAAACAAACTTGTTTCACTTCCGGGTAATCGATTGACGCCGAAATGTATTAAATACATAATAAAAAAAGGTTAATTATTGCATTTTCTAGTTCCTAAATCCGGTTATTATAATATATATATGTCTTATAAGCAATGAAAACAACCAAAATGGTCATTTTTGTATATTGCTGTGTGCCTGAAAATGCAAAATAGCCTTTTTTCCATTTTCCATTTCCCTTCAAAAATAGAAAATGTCTTGAACGCAAAAGTATACGGACCGCATCATTTATAGAAATTCCTGTAGGTTTCTCTCAATAAGTGTAAATACATACAAAATCAAAACTTCAGATATTATTTTCATTGGAAAATATTATGTTCAACCTGATTATTGACAGCAAAAACCAATATTAGTAGTTTTAGCGCTGCTGCAAGCTTCAACATAGGTTAATTAAAGAATTTTGAAGCCTGAAAAGATTACTCTTTTTTTCAATTTATTTATCAAAAAACATAAAATCTAAATATCTCAAAAATAAAATAACTATTCTTACAGTTTATAAAGGTAAAGGTGCACTTAATTAATCCCTGGAACCCATCTCCAGATATTGATGCTCGGCTTGAGAATTTGAGCTGGAGAATTTTTACCTAGTGTGCATGTTTTTAGTGGTAGGGGAAACCGGAGCACCCGGAGGAAATCTACGCAGGCACGGGGAGAACATGCAAACTCCACTCAGAAAGGCCCTGTTCCGACCAGTATTCAAACCCAGGACCTCCTTGCTGAAAAGAAGGAATGCTATCCACTCAGCCACTGTGCAGCCTCCTAGGTTATTCAGTTGTGATGTAATTTAATCATTTTAAACGTATACTAACTAATAACAATACCAACGTTATTGTTAGTATCATTCATTAAACATTTGTTAATCTTTGTTTATCAAGCTGTTGATCTGTGTGTCAGGGGCCCCCCACAGGCATAAAGGGCCTTGGTTCTCTGCTCCCATGGAACTTCTGTTTAACTCATTTAAGAATCCTTCAGTAGCTGAGATTGTACCTAATATTTGCTTTAGAAAATGTATGAGATTCATGGAAACGAAAGCATTATATAACCCCCAAAAACGCTAAAATATGAAAAAGCTAACACCATTTTACTATCACTTAAGACAGTGTATGAATAAAGTCCATCCGGATTTTCATTTCCTGGTCTTTCCTGGCTATTAACCATAGACTGGATATATTAACGGACAGAGTCACGCCTATCTCCGGCCGTTCTAACTAACGGGCCAAAAAATGTGCTCTACTGGAGCTATCCAAAATGGCTGCGAGTGGTCCCGCCCACAAGAAAATTGTGAAAAAACGCATCTGCGCATGTGTCAGCCGGCGCATCTCCGTTCATTTGAACGAGAGACTTCACAAATTCACAGCAAGTAAACTAGACTGGTCCAAAAAAATTCACCCCCCTCAGCATTGACACACATGTGGAACGGAGCTTTGGGCCAAGAGCCAACTTTTGGTCCATCATGTAAAGACATTTTTGAGAGGTCTGCCAACGCTATATGTTAGCATCGGCTAATTCTACTTCTGGGTCCACCCCCATCGGCCGGGGTGGTATTGCAAGCATGTCAGCGCACGTCATTTTGGCCACTTTTGAGCTGGGACCTGCCCCCACTGCTATTAACACTAGCTTAGGCTTAAAGCTAGATAGGAAATCTCCATATAAATATAGAATATATACTGACACTGTGTCTAAGGAAATTTTCTGAGTAACATAAATTCCGTGTAATAATACAAAATGCCATGGCTGATGCATTGTACTACTTAGTCCAGTCACATTGGCCCTCATTTATGAAACTTGCGTACGGCCAAATCAGGGTGTAAATGAGGCAAATAATTTACACTTCTCTGCATTTATCATTCTGGACGTGAGCGTACGGTACGCACAAAATGTACGCCGATTCAGTAGGTGGTGTAAATTTTAAACCCATTGCAACCTTCATTACGGGCAGAGGCTAACCGAAAGAGGAGGACAGACTTTGTTGCTGCACCACATGCCATTGGCCCAACGGACACTAAGAAAGTTATAGAACTATTTCAAGCACATAACTTACAATAACAAACAGTGTTTATAAAGGTCCTTCATATGTGGCCTTCCTGCTTGTGTGTTGGTGAGTGCATGATTATCAAAATTTGGCATAGATTATGTCAAATAAATTATAAATTATGAAACACAATTTAGTTTTAGGTCATAACATATTTAGATTCAGTAGATTTATGACATACCACCAGATTTCCAATGACCATGACCAGCATGAAGACCAAGATGCAGAGAGGCTGTCCTGCCACCTCCATACAGTCCCACATGGTCTCGATCCACTCTCCACAGAGAACTCGAAATACAATGAGAAACGAGTGAAAGAAGTCCTTCATGTGCCAGCGCGGCATCTGGCAGTCAAAGGAGATCTTACACACACAATCCTGGTAATTCTTCCCGAACAGCTGCATCCCCACCACTGCAAAGATGAAGACGATGATGGCCAGCACCAGAGTTAGGTTCCCCAAAGCACCCACAGAGTTTCCGATGATCTTAATGAGAGTGTTCAGGGTGGGCCAGGACTTCGCCAACTTGAAGACGCGTAACTGAACAACACAAGAGCAGGACATCATCAAATAGTAAAAGCTGAGAGGTTAGTACTAGATCTGAAAGGAAATATTTTAGCTTTAAAGTAAAACATGTACATCCAGACAAAAGAAAGTATGCAAAGTGTACATTTTAAATGTAACGCACAACTTGCAGAACAAGTGACGTCACCAATCTGCTTAACACAATACTTTGGAACATTCTAGGGGGAAAAAACAACTTATTACATGATCAAATTAAAGCGGCAGACCCTTGTGTACCATTATATCGTCACATTTTGTGTCAAATAATTTGTACGTGAAATTATTCTATTATCTTGAAAACAACTTTGTTCCGCCAGTATAGTGTCTTTGGCCAGAATTTGAGATGTTATAGGCATCTGATGGATGACGCATATAACAACCTTTTCAGGAAATATTAGGGCTGTGTAATTCATACAATTATGAAAATGTGTTTTTGTTAGTGACTACAATAACTAATAATAAGGGCACTTATAGAGCACAGACCTCTGTCAAAAGGCTCCTTTCCTTGGCCTGTATCCACACAGTGATTCAGATCACCTCCTAAATGTAATCATTTGTTCCTTGTCCTATTTCAGAACTTTAAAGGCATTTTAGAAAGGTTTTGGCAAACCAAGCATCAAAGCGGGGGTAGAGGTAACATTACTAATGTACACAACTTACATAGCATTCTGGACTATCAAAACTCCAAAATACACATCAATAGCATCATAGTAATTATTACTATTAGGATCCTGGGCCTGGTTAAAGAATAAACTAGGCATCATGGGTGAAATGTCTTGCTTAAAGACTCAAAAAGACTTTTAGCCGTGTTTTAGAGCCACCCCACTTAGAAAAGAAGGTGGTTCTTACCAATCTGAAGGAGCGCAGCACAGACAGCCCTTCTACATTGGACAGCCCCAGCTCCATCAGACTGAGGCACACAATGATCCCGTCAAAAATGTTCCAGCCTTGTTGAAAGTAATAGTAAGGGTCCAGAGCAATGAGCTTTAGCACCATCTCTGCTGTAAAGATGGTTGTAAACACCTAACAATGAAAAAGAGAGAGCCGTTAGTATGAAATAGCCAGCAGGGGGAGATGGCCGAACACAAATTAAAATACTGCAGACCACGCTAAAAATATTCCTCTCCTAATGTGGATAAGCACAAATAGCTTAAAGTGCAAACTACCAAATGGATCAACAACACCCAGTTTGACCTCAAAGCCAAAATAAGCCATCCACAGAAATATTACTTGGACGTTGTTCATAAAAAAGTGAGGAGGCAACAAAGAGTGAGTGATGTGTGTTTTATAATGTGCAAGCATTTCTCAACCTCTGTTTATTTTTCTGGCCGTTAATTGCTTTGTATTAGCTGTAACCTTTTTCAAAAATACTACAAGCAATTTAGCCAAGTGTGAACTGTGAAGTTAGTTATTTTTGAATATAGTGCTCTTTGTCTGCTCTAGACAGTATTGTACACTTTGAACATTTTAAATATGAATCAGCTAATTTATTTGGAGGTAACAATTTCCCTTTTTTGTCCTTGCCAAATTTCAAATGCATTCCATTTTATGGGGGGACCACAATGTAATAATAATAATAATAATCATCATAATAATAATACATCGAACTTATACAGCACTTTTTTGGACACTCAAAGACCCTTTGCATGTACACAAAAGTGGGTGTGTAGTGTATTTTTAGTAATTGTAGAATGCAGCAGTAAAGCAAAGTTATAAAGTAAATTCTCTTTTTTTTACTATCAAACCGCCCATCTTTTGCCCATGTTATAGTTGTTTTGTTGTGACACACCCCTATACGCGCGCGCACACACACACACACACACACACACACACACACACACACGTGTATACTGACTCACTGTCTCTCTATCGCACATATACACTCATATACACAAAAATCTCCCCACAAGTGAGGAGTTGGACTAATTCAAGTAGTGGACAACTGCTCACCAGGTTTCCCACTGACAGCATGGCATTGAACTCATCGGTCATAGGGTAGTGCTCCAGAGCCATGAACAGCGTGTTGAGGACAATACAGATGGTGATGCCCAAGTCCAAGAAAGGATCCATCACCATCAACTTCACGCACTGTTTGATCTTCAGCCACCAGGGGCAGCATTCCCAGATCAGGTACTTTTTAGCAAATACATACCAGCGAGGATGACACTTCTGTCGAGACTCCTCAAGCTCTGCAAACACAAACATCTCTTAAATGTTATGAATGACATATAATTTTATATTAGTTAAAAAAATAATGGAATCCACTACAAAGATAGCCTGGTTGTACCACACCATAGTACAAATTACATTTCATACTAAGGTCTGGAGGTGCTCCATTGAGTAGTAAGTACTGTAGTAAGTAATCTTTATTTATATACCGCCTTTCACAGACCAGAGTCACAAAGCGGTTTACAATTGTTATTTTTGGGCATTTGTCTCTCACTCCACACAGAGATGGGAGAGGGGTCGCCAAACAGGAGGCGCATGCCAGACCTATTGTACAGATTTTTAGTGGTAGGGGAAACCGGAGTCCCCGGAGGAAACCTACGCTGACACGGGAGAACATGCAAACTCCGCTCAGAAAGTCCTGGTCCGACCAGGACCTTCTTGCTGAGAGGCGAGAGTGCTATCCACTCAGCCACCGTGCCGGCCACAAGCTCTGTTTACAGGTGGGAGGGGTTAACTCCTTTTGCAGATTGAAACGATTGGATCTGAGTTTACTGTGATGTATGTAATGCGCCCGAGTGAGTTGTTAGCATTTAGCCTAGCCATCTCCTTTGCCGCTAACGGAGCCCGTGAGGAGTAGCGCCACAATCTTTGCCAGCAATTACATTTGCTAAACATTCCTCTTGCTCCGGCTTCGATTTCTTATTTTTTTCGATTTCTTGATAGAACAAGACCGGAATACTTTAATATCGCATTCTTCGCCATTGCCAAACTACAACCTGCTCGTTCGGCAAAAACTCTTGACGTCACCCACATCTAACTACAAAACCCACCTCCCGCGCTCGCTGATTGGCCAGATGAAAATCAACCGAATGCTACATGCAGGGAAATGATGATTGAGTGGAGTGTACGGATGGCAAATAATCATTCCTCATAAGCAGATCAATAAATCTACTAATCTAAATTAGACAAACAATGGACAATCCACAGAACAACATGTTTTTCCAACAATACAATATTTTAAAATGTGATGTATTTAGAAAAGTGAAAAAATAAAATAAAAATGAGACTGAATCCATTGAATAGACAATGGAGAAAACTTTACCGTCCATGACGTCGCTGAAGAAGCTGACGGAGCTCAGCCCTCTCTTCCTCTGTGCTCGAGGGGGCTCAGTCATGGAGGGCGACGGGTGAAGACCTCTGACTAAAGTCTCCTCCGTACACTGGGACTTCAGAGGAACAAAAAGAACATTGTCAAAACTGTTTTATCATCATAAATGATAATCACAAATTTACAATAAAGGGTTCTCTTATCTGAAAAATGCAGGTATGTAAAATAACTGGTGTTCGGAAACAAGGTTGATTAACAAGTGTGTCTTCACCATTTCTATTCTATATTATCAATCTATTAGATACACAATATTTGACAAATATACTTCTATTGGTCTAAAATTGGTCTTGTTTTTGCTCAGAAAGGTATGACAGAAAATGTGGATGTCAAGAAATTGGTTTATGCTTTTGATTATGATATGAGACATATAGAGTTCCACAAATAAATTATGTTTTTCATGGTCTTGGATCCATTTATGTATGTAATATAGTAATAAGAATAACAACATAAGAATTTCTTAGTATTATAGTATAATATTATATAGTATTATTGTGATTTAAGGTCCATATTCCAAGTGAATATTTACTGTGTCTTCCTTGATCCTCTCCATGCTGAAGGCTGATATGGATTTGGGGCTCTGCAGTCCAATGGCTGAGGCTCCGTTCTGTTCGAGGGAGATGTTCAGTCGTCCGTTCACATTGAACATGGGAGTAAAGACCTGGGACCCATGACTCCTTACGCTGCTTGCCCTGCGTTTCCAGGGAGTGGCGCTGGAGTTGGTTCGACTTCTGAAGTCACCATAGTTACTGTGTTCGTCATCTCCATAGTCTGCCTCTGAATTGTTGCGGGCTCTGAATGTGCTGAAGATGCTGGCCTGGCTGCTGCGCCTGGTGCTGAGGGGATGGGACGACAGTGTGGCCAGCAGTGGATGTGCTGGCATTGGGGATATCGGAAGCTTTGAACGACAACCAAAAAGAAAAACTATGATAAACAGTAACACAATAACACATGTTGTACACATGTATCGGAAAATGAGTTAATGTTGACGATGCCAAAATTAAGTGTGTGTGTGTGTTTGTGTGAGGAGTTTGTACCATAAGCTCGTCTGGTAAGTCTAGATTGTCTCCCGCAGGGTCCTCTCCCACCTCCTCTGATAAAGTCCGATGGGATCTCCTCCGTCGCGTGCTGTAACGGCGCAGGGTTTCCATCTTCACAGAGTATGGGGACAGCTGAGGAGACATCATGGCCTCTGCCTCCTGGACCTGTCTTTTTGCTGCCAACTGTGAACATGAGAGTGTCGTCAACAATAGTCTTCTCATATTTAACTCATGATGTTAGTACGCAGTTCATCTTTTATAATACAACCTTTTGAATTTCATCTATTTTGCAGTTACCTGGAATCTTTGTCTATGTGGAATTCAATTTTAAGTGTATATTTCCATATGAAAACAAGCAGGTTGTGCTGCATGGCAAAGTTACTTGTAACTAAATTGCTTGATGTCATTCTGTGGAGTATTCCTGGTAAATTAATTCCCACCTATAGGGAGATGATCAGTCCAGGTAACAACCTGGAGCTGAACGGCCAGAAGACAGTGGAGATGATTGTGGACTTCAGGAAGAGCACTGTCCCCCCGCCCCCACCCTCCGTGATGGACTCCCCCATCACCTCTGTGGAGTCCTTCCGTTTCCTGGGCACCACCATCACCCAGGACCTCAAGTGGGAGCCGACCATCAGCTCCCACATCAAGAAGGCCCAGCAGAGGATGTACTTCCTGCGGCAGCTCAGGAAAGCCAAGCTGCCTGCACAGATGTTGGTGCAGTTCTACACGGCCATCATCGAGTCCATCCTCACCTCCTCCATCACCGTGTGGTTCGCTGGAGCCACAGTCAGGGACAAACAGAGACTACAGCGCATTGTGCGCTCTGCAGAGGAAGTGCTCGGCCGCAGCCTTCCATCGCTGCAGGACCTGTACGTCGCCCGAGCTCGAGGCCGGGCTGGTCGTATCACAGCCGACCCCTCTCACCCTGCACATGGACTATTCCAACCACTCCCCTCAGGCAGGAGACTGCGGTCCATCAGGACTAGAACCTCCCGCCACAAGAACAGTTTCTTCCCCTCTGCTGTTGGACTCTTGAACACTTCTTAACCTGTCCCCCCGCCCTTTATAAAGTCACTTTACTGCCCATCATACGTCACTTTACTTCACTGTGCTGCTGTCACCTTACATTGAGTGCACCATGTGCACTTGTATATTGTAAATAGTAACTGTAACTCTATTTTAGATTTAAATTTATTCTTTAGAAGTGTTTTTTATTCTTATTTTTATTATCTCTTTCTGACTGTTGCACTGAGCCAAAGCAATTTCCAAGTCTGTGACCTCCTGTTACTTACGTGGCAATAAAAAGGATTCTGATTCTGATTCTGATCAGTTATATTACAACACAATAGGGACTTACTGTATTGACAATTAGTATCTGAGACAAAATGGCACAATAACATTCTTTATTCATGATGAAAAATGTGTTTCCCCTGGCAGCTACAGTTTTGGACGGTTGCGTTGCAGATGTAACAATAAACTTCTCCTGTGTTAGAATTCCTGTTCCTTATTCCAACTATCGGGCAATAGATCAACAAGCTTGTTGGGGCTATCAGGCTTTTATTTGCAACAGAGTTTGAATTTATGAATGTAGGATAGCTACAGATTACAAGCCACTGAAGTTAAATTATTATTTTTTTGGGCTAAAACAGCTTTAGTGGACAAGCTAACGGTTTTCATAACAACAATGTTTATAATAAAAAATAAAGAGGATAATAATTTAGTCAATTTGGTATGTGTAATATTTTCATCACCATTAAACAAAACCGTTTGAACAGTTATTTAAGTTACAAAAATCAGACGACGCCTGTAGTAAACAATATGAAATACTGGCCACATACTCTTTGTTCTCTGCGCAGGTGCTCCAAGGCCAGCTGGAACTCCCTCTCCTTCTGCCACGCCTCTGCGATAGTGGCCTGGTTCTGCTCCTCATACGCCATTGCCACAACAGCCAGGATCAGGTTCACCAGGTAGAAGGAGCCCAAGAATATGACCAGCACAAAGAAGATCATGTAGGTTTTCCCAGCTGAGCGCAGAGTCTGGAAAAGACAAGAAAGTGTTTAACTTTGTAGAGACAAATATATTGTTATGTAGATTAACAATTATTATAAAGTTTCACCTGGTGGAAGAGCTTTTCCCAATAGTCTTGAGTCATGAGCCTAAAGAGACCCAGAAAAGCCCAACCAAATGTGTCAAAACTTGTGTAGCCATAGTTTGGATTTCTTCCGATCTTTAGGCAGTCATATCCATCTGGACACTTCCTGTGAAGTACACAAAGATCAAATATTATTTCTATTTCATTATTATGTAACAGATCTGAGTCCTTCATATTACAGCTTTCCAGGCAATGTCTCCAGGGTTTTAATGAATGCAACTGATTCCCTGCATTTTTGTTCTTTCATACTATACTTTCATTGGTTGTTTATGTGAATGGGACTATTGATTTTTAAAGACGCACCAGTTTATTTAAAGGAGCAGTAAGTAAAAATCTGACCAAAAGTGATACTGCAACCTCCTCCACTCTCCCTTTAAGTACTGACATGTTATTTTACCAGTGAGATTAGTTCGACGCTGTGAGTTCTGGCAATCTGGATCACAGACTTTCTGATTGGTAAAACGGTGGAGGGCAGGACATCGAAATGAAAACAACAAGTTTTAGGGGCTGTTAAACAAATTTTTAAATTTGAGTATCTCGGTGGAACCACTGTTATCAGTTAAAGAAGTATTCAAAAAGATCATGGTCCACATGTAGCCTGGATGTATTGCCCTCTAAATTTCTGAAGTCCGTCCTGAGCAGTTTGTTACCTTCACTGACACAAATAGTAAACATGTCTCTGTCGTCAGGAACATTTCCTATAGCCCTAAAAACAGCAGTCATAAGACCTCTCCTAAAAAAGAGCAGTCTGGATCCTGCGGGACTTCAAAATTATCGCCCCATATCGAATCTGCCATTCATTGGAAAAATTCTTGAAAAAGTGGCCTCCCAACAACTTACTGAATTTTTAACAATGAATAATTCTTTTGATATGTTCCAGTCTGGGTTTAGACCCCACCACAGCACTGAGACCGCTCTAGTGAAGGTAACAAACGACATTCGACTTCACACTGATGCAGGTAAAGTCACAGTTTTGGTCATGTTAGATCTTAGTGCCGCGTTCGACACTGTCGACCATGAGATCCTCATGCAGAGACTGGGTTGGTGTCACTGGCACAGCCCTAGACTGGTTTAGGTCTTACCTGGAGGATAGGAAGTACTCTGTGGAGATTGGAGACTGCGTCTCAGATGATGTGGCCCTGACCTGTGGAGTACCACAGGGGTCGATTCTGGGACCTCTCCTATTTAATCTCTACATGCTGCCGTTAGGTCAGTTAATACAAAGAAACAAAGTGTCCTACCACAATTACGCCGACGACACTCAGATCTATGTCTCACTGACTGCAGGAGAACATGGACCACTGGATTTGCTCCTTCACTGTATCCAACAGATCAGTGACTGGATGCAAAATAATTTCCTCCAGCTAAATACAGACAAAACCGAAATCATTGTCTTTGGTCCCCAGAAACAAAGAGAGGGCGTCATTTGTCAACTTCAGTCTCTCTCCCTATTTCCTTCAGACAAGGTCAGAAATTTGGGGGTAATACTGGACTCAGACCTAAATTTCAATAGCCACATAAAATCAATAACATCAACAGCTTTTTACCATCTGAAGAACATTGCCAAAGTTAGAAATATAGTGTCCAGGGCAGACTTGGAGATTCTTGTCCATGCATTTGTCTCCAGCAGGCTAGACTACTGCAATGGCCTGCTCACAGGTCTGTCCAAACAGACCTGTAAGCAGCTGCAGTATATTCAAAATGCAGCAGCTAGAGTCCTGACAGGAACCAGGAAGTATGACCATATTAGTCCGGTCCTCAGGTCTCTGCACTGGCTTCCTGTGGCTCAAAGAATAGATTTTAAAACGGCTCTGCTTGTGTACAAGTCTCTCCATGGCCTTGCACCAGAATACATTAGTGACATGTTGGTGTCATATGAACCGGCCCGGACTCTGAGGAGCACAGGGACTGGCCTCCTGCTGGTGCCCAGAGTGAGAACCAAACATGGGGAGGCTGCGTTTCAGATCCATGCAGCTAAGATCTGGAACAATCTCCCTGAAAATGTGAGGGAGGCGCCTACTCTGTCAATGTTCAAATCCAGGTTAAAGACTGTTCTGTTTGCCTGTGCATACAACTGAAGGATTTTATCTCCATTTATAATGCACTGCTGTCATTTATTTATTTATTTTTTTTTTATTTCTTGTGTAATTTTGAAAGTTTTAATGGTTTTATTCTTTTGTGTGATTTTAATGTTTTAATTGTGTTTTAATCTTTTGTGTGATTTTAATGTTTTAATTGTGATTCTGGTGTTTGTTTTATGTGATGATTTGTGATGTGGACTGTGAAGCGCTTTGTGTGGCCCTGTGTATGAAAGGCGCTCTACAAATAAACTTTGATTGATTGATTGATACTGATGCCGTTTAACATATTAGGACTATTTAATGATGATGATCTTACATATTGCTAATTTAACAAATAGAATATCTGTTCCAGATTTGTGAACAAGTGAACTGGGGCTCCTCTAATGAGACTAAGGTTGTAAAGCAATAACACAGAAATGAACTGACACGTTTAAGAGGACTTACACTTTCACGCAAGTGTTACCTTATTAGTAAGTAAGTAATCTTTATTTGTTTAACTCATATTTACAGACTTTAGATAATGTTTCAATCTCTCCACAGTACACACAGTGATGGGTAAGTAAGTAATCTTTATTTAGTAAGTAAGTAAGTAAGTAAACTTTATTTATATAGCGCCCTTCACAGACCAGGGTCACAAAGCGCTTCACATAGTATAAAAACAGACATATAAATTAGACATACACATTTTTAAAGGCCAAGACAACCATGTAAAAGAATACAGCAAGAAAAACTTACGCAAAAGCCTGAACAAATAAATGGGTTTTAAGTTGACTTTTGAAGCACTCAACAGACTCTATAGAACGCAGCAACAGCCTGGAAGGACCTGTCTCCTCTGGTCTTGAAGCGAGTGCGTGGAACCATCAGGAGGTTCTGATCCACAGACCTCAGAGCCCTGGCTGGGGTGTAAGGCTGGATCAGGTCACTGATGTATAGCGCCTTTCTCAGACCAGAGTCACAAAGCGCTTTACAATTGTTATTTTGTGGGCATTTGAGGACTCACTCATACATATTGTGCCGTTTTCAGAAGTAGGGGAACCGAAGCACCCGGAGGAAACCTACGTAGACACAGGGAGACAATGCAAACTCCACACCGACTGTAGTTCCGACTGGAATTAAAACCCAGGACATTCTTGCTGAGAAGCGAGTGCTATCAACTCTGGCTGAGTTGATAGCGTATTCAGAATAAGATTAAGTCACATAGAATAAATGTTTGATAACTTAAAGGTCCCACATTAAGCTTTTTGACTTTTTTCTCTGGTTTAAACATGATTACAGTGCTATTTGGCCTTCATACACATGCCCAGAGTAGTTTAAGTTAGAGAGCGATCTTTCTCTTTCATTCTCGAGAGGCACAGAAACGAGCTGATTCAAATCCTGACGTGGCACAATCTGTGACGTCGAAAGCGTCACTGATTGACAGAGAGGAGAAACTGAACCAGCGAATCAGCACCGTCTATGGTCAGCTGCAGCCTCTCTCCGAGTCCAGCGTGAGGTCCATAGACAGTAAATAAGCGTATGTGCTTTTTCTGTTAGCTTCATGTCAACTTGGAGAAAATGTGTTGTTGGTGTAAATATGTGACGAGAGTATTTGGCCGAAGACGGAGAATGATGATCGACTTTGTTCACAGGGATCTGCCTCGTATCCACGAATCTGAAATCCGCAACATAACTCACAGATCTTTTTTTGCGAGTGACGGTGTCACCACAAAAGACTGTTCCAGAACTATGGTTACCTTGAAATGGGACATACTCAAAAGCTGATCTGGAAACATGTTGTTATTTCCAACATAAAAGACGCTAACAGGAGCCTCGGTCTGTGAGTACAATGAAACTAACACGCTGTATATCACTGTGAACTAAATAATTAGGGTCTGATTCTGGATCGAGGACATTGGCATCCCGTCACATAGAGCCCTTAGTTGGAAAAAGTTTATTTTCAGGTGTGAAAGAGTTAGCTCCCTCAGAACTTAGCAAGATTCTACGTCACCGTGCGGGCGGGGGGAGGTGGGCTCACAGGCAGAGGAGCACTGATCAGCTCGTTTCACATAAGGTGACATCAGCTCTATATACGAAATGGCTATAATTTTACGTGTTTTCAGTGTTGTATGGTGTATCACCCAAATTATTATCACACATGTGCATAGGATGGACTGTGAACAATGAAGAAGAGCGAAATATGGGACCTTTAATGAAAGTATCTTTGTGAAATGTCAAACTGTTGTGAGTACTTTAATCCACTACCTATTTGTCTTTGCATGTGGAAGAATAAGGAAATGTCCAATTGTGGATGTGTACAACCGACTTTTGTAATGCTCATAGCCATATTTTGAATGTTATGTTTAATACCACTCAAAACTTTAGCAAAACAGTTATAATGAACAAATGCTTATTGCCATATGGTGTAGCAGCAATTAGTAGCAAATTCTTACATTTTGACTACATGGTGCAAGCAGGGCAGTCATGCCACGCCTGGGGCAGAATAATTTCGTAATGGCTTGAAACATCTGGGTGAAAGAGCTGCCCAGTTAAAACAGCTGTACATGTCACCCTGCGGCTCAGCGGGCAGAGCAGGTTGGGCCGGTCAGGACCTTCTTCCACGAATACAGAGTTTATTATAAGAACTGCTTCTCTTTGATGCCATGTGAAATGTCGTTGTTATTATTATTATCATTATTGTTTCAATGCTTATATTAGCACACATTTGTAAAGATATTCAGCAGTAAAACATCTTACTGGCATGACCTTTCTTGATCATGTGTGGTAAACCCTCTGTGACACTGGCCGTTCATGTAGCGTTTATCACAGCTCACATATTATAATTTCCTGTATGTGTGCAGCACATAAGCAGATGAACATCTGTGACCCAAACAAAATGTTCTTCTGTGAAGGTGGGGGCTATAGTTCCATGCTGACATAAGGCTTGCCAAGGGCACTAGTTGAAACCATCAACGACTACAAAATAACAATCTGCCATAATCCTTGATGCACAGTGGCTTTAAGATGAGTCCGGACAAGCAGCTGCTTCTCAGAACAAATGTCTCGGCATAAACAAGTCTTTCAGGATTCCATATATGCAGTTTGCGTCTGAGTTAGTGTCATAACATATTCAAAGCTTTAATTTGAAAACCTACTCAGGGATTACTTGTTGGAATACACTCAAAAGATTAAAAGATCCTCTATGTTTTGTGTCCTCTATCCTGACCTGCTTAGTATTTTGTTGATCTTGACAGCCAACCTCAGTTCAATGTTCCTCATGTGTGAATTGGAGTCATTTGTATGATTAATATATATAAAGTACAATTTCACACTGAACATAGTTAGATTGGTGTGTTGAATTCAAGACACAAATGAAAAGTTGCCAAATATCTTGAAATGATTACTTAAATTGACATGACTGAAAAGATAAACCAAACATAATGAAGTGTAATAAGATAGTTCCCAGTTCAGGCTAAATCAATACTAAAATAGTATGAATATAATTATCATTATAGTTAATTTTATCTTTTTAAAAATTATTATCACTATTATTATTGTTATTATTATTATTATTATACAGAGCCTAAAGGCGGGCATTTGCTGAAGCGGCTGGATTTGGGTTTCACACAGATGGGTATTTAGTTCAGCCCAACCCTTGAACTGGGTCTGAGAGCCAGCATCATCCTGTTGCGCATGTTTCAAAAGGATTCGGGTTTATAGGATTATTCACTGCATGAGCTGAGTAGCAATATTTGGATGGTGTCACATTGTCTCTTTGACTGAAAACAAATATCTACAGAATATTGTTGACAAAATATAGTTTTTAAACACAATATGTCAAATATTGTGAGTAATATATCAGACATTTGACATTTTTAGGTCATCACTAAGAACATTAGTTTATGATATAGTAAAGATGATATGGCATAAGGTCTCCAGCTGCTAACTCTGAGTCCTGTCTTCCTTTGGAGCCAGAGCGATTATCCACGCCACATGTTGTCTTCTGTGCACTCACGCTATACACTGCTCCCGCCAAATTTACAGTTTATAGTCCGCCTCAATAAGAATATACTACTCCTTCATCTGAATTAACTTGTTTAACTCCTACATCTAAATATGCACATTAAATCCAAAGGATCGAAAGCCATGAGATTGCAATGTTTCTACAATTACGTAACAAAGTGGAGAAGACGATTAGTGTCAGAGACTTACCCTGCATCACTTCCATATCCACAAATTAAGGCATCCTTAGCTCCCTCCACTTTGTAGAAATTTTCTGGAAAGTAAAACGGCAAAAGTGAATAGACTGGAGTCTATTGTATAATAACATATTTAAAAATAATAATAATAATAATGATCACCCCACACCTGTTCTTGGTAAAAAAGAAAACTATTTTAAAAAGATTATAACATCAGGAAAAAACCAGAAAAAATTTGACACGTCCAGTGAGTAGAAATGCGGCATTTGTATTATAAAGGACTTTCATTAGGATCCAAGGAAGAGTGCCTCAGATCCTTCTGTGACTTTGTGTCAACTTCTTTTGAGTGTGTCAGATGTCAGATATGAATACATATATGAGGCCCAGTGAACACCTCAAGTGATGGGCTTGGCGAGCTCCCCCCTTAGCAGAGGTGGAGGGCATTTCTTGCTGCTCGCCCTCACTTTTCTCCGCTGCCCTCTCGGATGTTCCCTCCGCCAGAGTCTTCACCATCAACCGGCCTCACCTCTGGCACATTTGACGTCTCTCCCCCTCCGGGGGTTACTGTTGTGGGTTTTAACCATGTTTAATTTTAGAGCAGGTATTTTTTTTAAAGCTTTAGCATTGGCAAACAACAGCAGGGCACGTTTTGTCGCTGCGCGTGATGTAAGCGATATATTTATGGCCTATATATTTGCTGCACTTTTTTTTCTTTTTTTTAATGGATATCATGGATATCATCTCGTGACCCAAGCGGTGGGGTCCCGCGTCATTCCCTGAATAGTGATTGGCTGAGTTGATGGTTCAAATTGGCAGTTGTGAGGCACTTTCTGTTGAGTTGTTTGTATGAAAAGCGTTTATAAATTAAGTTTGATTGATTAATTTTGCCTGGATTGTCCCACCGTATGCTATTTTACTTCAACTAAATTGGAGATCAGCCAAAAAATTGGAGAGTCAAGGAGAGTTGAACCAATTTGAAAATGCATTTTGTAATCATACAGTATGTAACTAAATAATTGGCATATACTGAGTAACATTCCAAACAAAGCAATGACATCTTTGTTCAAACGGTCTTTTTGACAGCATTGAAGTCATTGAATCGGGATGACTGTGATGATGATGTTTGCCATAACTAGTTTTCTTATATACTATGTTGTGTGACTGACCTTCACTAGTGAGGAAGTCCTCGATGGAGCTCCAGGTTTTGTTGTCACACACAAAGGAGGCATTAGAACCTAAGGAGGAGGTAACACAGTGTTCCAGGCTCCGGACACACTTCTGCCGCAGGAGCCCCATGAAGAGCTGCAGGCCGATCAGGGCAAAGACACTGAGGCAGAAGACGGTCAGGATCATCACGTCCGCTAACTTCCTCACCGACTGGATCAGCGCACCCACAATTGTCTTCAGGCCTGAACAAAGGAGAGGCCTTCATAGTCACGGACACAAAACTTTTCACAGTCTAAGAAATAGACAAAAATGAACTTTTTATGAATTGTTTTGGAATGGTCCTGACATTTTACAGATAGCAGTTTTACTTATAGGTAAAGCTAGAGTAGTTACCTTTAAATAAACAAAACATAGCTATGTAATAGCAACTACAACTAGTTTTTATAGCTCACAAAACAGTCACTAGTTTTAAAATGCCCATGTTTTGGACTTCTGTCACAGCGTTTTCAGTGATGTCCTCATGCAAGGTTATTTAAACAAGACTCGTTCTTTGGGGACAAACAAAATGTATTTATGAAACAACAAAAAATAGAGTGCTGTCATTATCTTATTAGAAAACCTTTTATCCTTTACATACTGTGAGCTGATTGGTTGAGAGAGGGCTGAAAAAGCTATTGTGACTGAGGCCAAAAATTCCATGCATGCAACTCGTGAGAGAACCAATTGAGTTACATGGATAGATAAGGTTTTTGTAGTTTCAAAGTTAGGAAACCCAACCACTAACCTTCATAATCAAAATTGTCACAAATACAGCATGGCAAGTTGAACACGTAATAAATGTTTCTTACCAGGGATCACAGAGATGGTTTTCAGTGCTCGTAGGACTCGAAAGGTTCTTAAAGCTGAGACGTTTCCAAGATCAATGAATTCAGTCACATACCTGAGTTTGTGAAAGAAAGACAAAACATGATAAATGTTTCTGACCTGGTTACATCACTGGAATATATGCGTGGAATATGATGAACATTGTTACTCACGCCATAACAATAACAATGAAATCCAGCCAGTTCCACGGGTCTCTCAGAAAGGTGAAGGGCACTAAACAAAAGCCTCTTGCAAATATTTTTATTGCAGACTCAAATGTGTAAATACCAGTGAAGGTATACCTGCAAAAATGATAATATTACATGTTTTAAAGGCATGTTGGAACAGGGGCAAAACAGAAATTGAAAATGCACATGCTTCAAAATTAGAATTTGATGGAAAAAGTGCTTGAGTGAAGATAGATGTCATGTGTTCACATGACGTCACAACATTGTAGACAGTATTATCTACTCTAGTTTATAGTAGATAATAAAATTGAGGGAATCAGGCATACAATCAAAACTTGCACAAAGTTTCTCATCCCTACTATAGTAAATAAAAATTAGTGAGTACTTTTCTCATTGTCACTAAAGGTTCGAAAGGCATTGCTGTTTCGCACAGATTTTTTACTATAAGGATTCTACGATGTGAACCCAACCTCTTAACACTACTATAATGATTGTCTCAATTTGTCGACACCAGAAGTGTACAAACAGGGTGTAACATGACATGGGATTGATTGTTTTCTCACTATGCAAAATTATACTTTTAGTAGATGGTAAAGTAGACAATTCAGAAGAAAACAGGAGAGATTCACATTTCAAATGAATTTGTATAGAATGTAAACTCCAAGGTTCTACTGTAATAGTTTTGAGAGCTTTATCACACATTCTTTTTTGTTTTTTTGTCAACCGCCTTTTATTCAGAACTGTGACTGCGAGTAACATCTGTACTGCTAACTCCCTATGTAACATAAACAAAAACTACCAACAAAATGATCATCAAGATGTTTTAGAAAAAATAATATGCAATAATTTTGGTGGTTTTATGATAACGAGAATAATCCTTTTGTCATTTGATGTTTTAGAAAGTAAAATAATATCTTGAGTACAACATATGGTGAAACAATTTTTATATAAAGGTAAAAGGAACTCAGCGCCTATATCTAACTATGCTAAAACCTGAGGGAGATTTTTTTTTTTTCCCAAAATGCCAACAAACCGGGGTGCAAACAAAGCTATTGTATGTGATTGTTATATACGTAATTTTAACAGAGAAATTGGCAAAACTAATTTACATGAACTACTTCTGTTTGTAGTTCTGTTTGTAGTTGCTATTACAGGCCAGACAGAATGGGTGCAGTTCTATGTTTGTGCCAGTAGTTCCTGATGTTAGTGTGGATGGATCTAAAAACAGCTTCAGGTCTGTTACATAATTTTATAGATTTTACAATCCTTGACATTAGCTTTTTCTTTTGAATTCTTAACAAGGCTGAGACCCCCAACAACCTGAATAAGCAGAAATGACGTCTGAGAAGTGGAGATGATGAAAACGCACCCACATGACTTCCTTCATGCAATGTTTGTTTTGTTTATCCTGCTATGACCTGCTTATATATCAAAACACATGCACGACTTACTTACATCAGGCCAGCTTCAGAATTGACTGACAAAACAACCACCAAACTTGCACATTAGATTTTGGTCTGGACATTTTCACACTCAGGGCTCAGGGTTCAGTACTTACTCCAGGTACTTGGTCCACGTGGGCGGGTCCGACATGGCCATGAAGAAGCAGTTGGTCAGGATAGTACACATTATAAACAGGCTAAACAATGTGCAAAGAGTTAAGGAAAATGACAAACCAATATGAATTACAATTGACAGAAAAAAGTGTTTTACATAGATTTAGAATAGTTTCTGCTTTATAGTTGTCTTTGGACAAGAAAGGCTGGGGTACCTAACTTTTTGTCATCAGAAATAATAAAGGTTGTTTGTCCCAAAAGTAAAAGAAAAACCCTTTGACCACAACATGCAGTGAGTCCTCCTCACTATTTGACATTTTGGGCTGGGAACTGATTGGCTGAGTGAGGGTGGTCCTCTGTTTTTCACTTTCTGTCAAAAAAGCTGATATAAAGATCTCAGAGGCCAAACATGCATACATCTGAAAACTGGTGATAGAACCAACTGTTTGGGGAGTGAGGAACTAGTTAGATGGATTTTATCTCATGTTTTTAGGTTTGAAAGTTAGGTACCCCATCTTTAATGGTATCACACATCTAAAGTAGCAATACAGATTCATCATTAAATGGCCCTAAAATGTCAAAAGACATTAATAAACCATGCTCTTTTCGAATACTTCTTTAACTGAGAACAGTAGCTCAGCCGAGATCTTCGAATTTCAGAAATGGTTTTAAAGCCCCTAAATCTTGTTTGTGCTTTCATTTCGATGTCTCACCCTCCACAGTTTTACCAATCAGAAAGTCTGTGATCCGGGTGTCTAGAACTCTTCACGTCAAGCTAATCTCACTGGTAAAGTAACATGTGGCCGCTGTACTAAAAAAGGTCTCGTTATGATTCTCAAATCATTCATGACAAAACAAGAAACAAAACAAGGATTTCCATTGGTGACTTTGTGAAAAAGGTGTTGGTTATAGATTTGTTGTTGACAAAACTCTTGTTGTCTTTTCAGCTATATGGTCCCAGCTGGATTTGTCTGTATATCAGGTAACCTGAGTTACATATGATTTACATATTTCTCCTTTAAACTAGTTAAAATTAAAATAGAAAAGAACCATCCTCTCTCAATATGGGAACAGCATAATCCTTTTAGAGCGGTCAAACATGGCTGCAGTACACACTTTTTTAATTGAATATTATAATTGAATATCATAATGCACAAAGACCTCATGTATTCATCTTAATAAACAAAACATAACATTTTGCAAAAAGGAAGAGGAGATGATCTGCCAGGAGAGCAAAAATCATCAGAGAAGTAACAGGCTGCCATCACATGATGCAAAATCTCCTTGCTCTTATTTCATTTCAGAGATTAAAAATGGGATATGCAGGGATTTGGTTTGCGATTCCAAAGCTTGCCGTTACAAAGCAGTTTGAATTATTGTATCCGAGTAAAATCCCATTGAAAATTGTATAAATAAATGGCATTTATGTGTGTATGTCTCTGAACTGTTGAATCAAAAGGATATGAATGGACTAACACTTTGATAGCAATAGTTCTCAAGCAGTGAAATGGACTGAATAAATAAATAGCAGATGTTGCACTAAATCTGAAGATGGCCTTTCCTTTGTTAAGTACTATAAATGTCTGAAAGACAGAGAACATAAAGTTATTCACAGTAAAATACAACATAAATAAATCCTCTAAAACAGCTAGACCCTTTCCAACAGCTGCTACATTTATCAAAATATTTTTGCTCTGGATAATCCTCCATATAACCATGCATCAGAACAAAACAAAGAGTCCCTGGGAATTGCTTCACCTAAAGCACAGCAGCTTTCTGTTGACGGCGCAAACAAGAAACTTCAGACAAATCCTCTTTTGTGTCCACAGACGGGCTCAGAGCGGAACCAGGACAGAGTTATGTCTTTAACAATCACATCTGCAGATACACTGCTCATTTAAAGAGGCACATTGGGACATCGCTTTGTTGTGGGGGCTGGTTTTCCTTTGCATGGTGCTGTCAATCAGTCACTGCAGAGGAGGGGCTTTCTTAAAGCAGTGAAGACCCACGAGGCAGAACAGAGCGCTTACTAATGTTCTATCAACAGATGGAATGGTTCAGCGTGTCTAATAGAAATGTGAATCGGGCAATTTGGGGTTCCTGAGCCCTAACCTTTGCCCTAGCCTGGTTTGGTTTAGTATGAGTAGTTTATCATATAATCACTTTAGAGCTTCAACATTTGGCACACAGCCTTTAAGGTGCTGTTGTGATTGTCATCCTTTTCTTATTACCATTTTTCGCTGACTTAGATACTGACTCTTCTGGGTCAATCACATGATATGTTTTTTAAAAGTGCATGTTAGAAAACATTTCAACTTTTATAAATGCGCCAAATTCTAACTATTGGTTATATTCCATTGCCATCATTCATTACTTTTTGGTCAAACAAACAAAAATAACAAAAGTACATTAGATCTTTAGCGCTCTTAATTTTTTGCAATATCTAAGTGCATTTTAATAAAATTCGTTATATAGCTCATATATCTCAATAGAACTCTGAACCTGAAGACAGTATTTGGTGGTCCTACCCTCTGGTTCCTGTAGTATGGGTCGATATCCTCCAGTGGCACACCGACCAGGTTTGGTGGGATGTCTCCGTAGATGCGGGGCAGTTGTTTGCCCACCTCCAGATCTGCCCTGGGTTTGAGAGGCTCAGTGTTTTTCTTGGCCTCGACACAGAGTTTGGCCTTTTTGTTCTGCTCCTGCGAGATCCGCTGCTCCATGGCAGCCAGGGATTCGCGAGTGAACCGGCGCAAGGCATCATGACCCGTTGGTAACAGAATGGCTGCCATCTTTTCATCCTGATTCCCATGTACTAGAATTTTTTCATAGCTGTGTAGAAGAAGACATTTCAAAATCACAAAACAGTACCGATAGTCATTAATCTACACTATGATATAACATACCTAATCTTCATAAGTTAGTACTAACTAACACAACATTATTCTAGGTTTTGGGCACTGTATAAAATATAATGTGATCAGATAATAATAATATTGCATTGAATTCTGGTCCAATATCAAGATATTAAAGAATAATTTAATTAATTAAAGAGTAACTAGAATAATATTTCCATGTCCTATTATGCATTGACCCACGCACACGTCATTCATGATGACACTAATGCGTTCAGTTGATCTGCTTATTTGGCCCAGGTTGATCACACAGACAGAATGATCCACTGCTGTCTCTAACACTCAAAATAAATATTTTGGAATTTATTTTCTAAATCACCAACCACTGTATATATCTCATTAATGTATACTGTATGTATGTTGAACACAATGCAAAGTATTAACATGAAATATAGTTACATGAGAGCCAGATGTGCAATGACTCTCACAAAGAAAAACATTTTTAAATACTTGTCTATTTGGGTTGAAAAATGATAATCTAATTAGGTTTCAAAGGCATGCTGTTATATGTATTCATGCCTCATCTATCATTGTGCTAATTATAGCCTGATGTGTTGTTGTATAATATCAGCTTTCAGTTTTTAGTCCAATGTATGTTTAACCAGACCATTTGACTTCATGCACATGCCTAAATCAAATGCCTTTCTGTTTCTTTCTTTTGTCCTGTGATTTTATTTGCCTTGGATGATTAAAGGTGTATCCTTCAATGGGTTTATGGGATCAAAGCCTTAAAAGAGTTATTTCAGGTTAGGATGACGATGTTCATATACAACACAAATCTTATTAAGTGATATACTTTTTTTAAATGCAGTTCAAGGACATAGTCAGGGCTGTAAATGTAAGTAATGGCTTGATGACTTCTGGCAATATGTGAGAGTAAGTAAAACCACTTTTACATGAAAGTCCTCTCTGCATTACACTGTAGCTGTGTTCACATGATGCATCTTTGTTATACTAATATCCTTATGGCTGCTGGCTTCTGCAAATTAACTTTCTTTGATGATGACATTGACAGACAACGGATACCTCATTCCTGGTTAGTGTCATGAGTTAAAGAACGAATATCAATCCTGGGGCCACGAAACAAAGTTTTCTCTGTGACTTTTGTTCACATTTAAGTCATGCTACATGAGATGAAAATGCTGAATTAGTGACCTAATACTGTTGAAGAACCTTTCACAGTAATTTCACTTGGGGCTTATGCAGGGGATGCATAGATGAAGCAACAGAGCATTAGAATATTGATTTATATTTAGAGTGGACCAACTATCTTTACATAATATCGCCGTATACATTCTGTAGGTTTATAAGTTTCAACTTTTCTCAAATTGTCTCTATACGTGTAGTTTTGCATTAAATTATGAGCCACTCCAACATAATTGATTTTTTAAAAAGATTTTTTTGTAAAAAAAAATACAACTAACAATAATACTATAAAAATAATACTTACATGAAATACTGGGAGTCACTGCATTGAATCCAGGATAAAGAAGGAGAAAACAGAACCTCTGTGCGAAATCCATGTCGTCTTTTCAGAGCTCATTTTGCTTTCGTAAGATCCCAAAGTACCCTAAACCGCATGACAAAGTGCATTTTGCAAAAACAGCATACTTTTACCATCCCAAAAACTTTTTAAAATTAGTTTCCTCGTGGAATTTTGCAAGACATCTTGTTGTTAGGCCCATGTGCATTGCTGTTTTCCTCGTTTTTTGCATGAGAAGCGCTTCCCTCTTCAGCAGCAGAGAGGAAGTCCAGGCTCCGAGGATGCTGCGCACACCTCCAACTGCCCTTGAGCATCAAGGGGGGGAGGATGCCCGGGCCCGGAGGGGATTACTGTTGCTATAGGGCTCCATGCGATAACACCAGGGCCTATGCAACGGCCTGCTGCAATTAACAGCACCAAATATTCTATAAGTTGTCAGGTAGGGAAGTTTTTACAGTACAAAAATCAGTAGGAGCAACAAGGGTACGTTGTAAGTTATAATACATACAACTTTAAATGACAAAGTAGAACAAGAATGTAATCGTAAAATTAATAAGTAAATCCATCTCAATATTTAGACCAGGCTAATGCTAGCTCTTGCCTCCATGCAAAGCTGATTGATTTGAATCGACCTGTTGTTAAAGTGTAAATGACCCCGTTCTGTAAACACTGTAAAGAAGTAGCTAATATTTTCAGAGAGCACAGGAAAGTGGCGTTACCTCTGCGGATGCATGGAGGCTGCATGAAGCGGAAAACACAAACCTAATTTAGTGGGATTGTTTTGTCCAATTACTGGTGGAAACTTTCAGTCAATGAACTCGTGATGTGTCCTATGTCCACAGGTCAACTCTGCGCAAGGTGTGGGGCGCCCTCTGGCGGACTGCGCGAACGAGAAACAAATAAATAAATACAAAATGTGAAGATGCAAGCCCGGGTTGTGTATAATATAATTACAGTGCATTATGTTTATGTATTTTTTGCATTAAAACCTCCAAAATTAAAAATTAATATAATATCCTTCAAATATTCAAAACAATTATCAATCAACTAAGTTTATCAACCGGTGTTTTTTCTTGCGCCATTAAATATGAGCACTATATGTCCTTAATTAATCTGCCTCTTAAATTTTAAACAACAGATCTATAAAACAACATTACCCACAAGTCTTGAATCTGCCAGTTTTCTTCTTTCCCGGATGTAGTATCACATGAACTGCTGTCAACATGCAAGATGGCCACGCATCACAGGCAAAACGCTGCTGGGCGGAGGAAAGTGCAGGTGGATTTATTATGTCCCATTATTTTAGCCTGTCAGGTGTTATGTTTGAGGCACACTGTATGGAGTGCCATTTGTAAAAAGTCAGGTCACGTCAAAAGCCTCCTCTGTTACACCGGGATGCTCATATGAGTCATGACTTCAGCCTGCTAACCTTAGCTTAGCCGCGCTAGCATCTTGGCTAAAGCTAATGAATAAATATGTGATTTTTGAAATCATTTCCTGAAATATAGATGTAGGATGGTTTTCGTCTATCGTTGCTGTTATGTTTGCTCTTCAGCTTGAGTGATTGTCGCTATTTCTATGTGTTTTATTTTTTCCAGGAAGCTAAAAAGAGTTTAGCATGAGTATCTTGGTTCCGTCTAATTACTGGAAGAAAATAGTGTGTATTTTACTCTTTGGCACGCTCCTATCACAACTTTTTGTCTTTAATATGTGTTGTATTGTGTTCCTATTTTCTAACCAGAGCTAATAATGATTCTGCTAGAGTTCTCACCAAGTCTGCTTCAGCAGATGTCAATGTTGGGTTCGGGTTTGATGTGTCCCTGAGCTCTGTGGTCTGTGTCTGTGCTGCAGGTGTCTTATGTTATTAGAGACGAGGTGGAGAAGTACAATAGAAATGGGGTGAATGCACTGCAACTGGACCCAGCTCTGAACCGACTGTTCACAGCGGGGCGGGATTCCATTATCCGGATATGGAGCGTTTATCAGCACAAAGTAATGTCTTTTACCTTCACTAATGCAAAGTCTTTTTCACGGCAAGATCAACTCTATTGGTTCTGATTTGTATTGCAGCAAGATCCATATATAGCGTCGATGGAGCATCATACAGACTGGGTCAATGACATAGTTTTGTGTTGCAATGGGAAGACATGTAAGTTGCATGTATTCGATTTTTTGCACAATCTATTATGTTTTAATACAATGGCTGTAAAATTGTTAAACATAATAGGAATAATGTCCTTTCCTAGTAACAGATGCATACGTACATATAATTTACTGTTTTTTTTTTAATGTCATTTCAGTAATATCTGCTTCTTCAGACACTACTGTTAAAGTATGGAATGCACACAAAGGTTTTTGTATGTCTACGTTACGAACACACAAGGACTATGTAAAAGCCCTGGCATACGCCAAAGACAAAGAGCTGGTGGCGTCGGCAGGCCTGGACCGTCAGATCTTTCTCTGGGATGTGAATACACTTACAGCACTCACTGCTTCCAACAACACTGTCACCAGTGAGTGCAGCGCCCACACCCTGCTCTCAAAATGTACAGTTTGTGTCCAATTACATATTACTTATCTGTCTCCCAACAGCTTCCTCACTCAGTGGAAACAAAGATTCCATCTATAGTCTGGCAATGAACCAGATGGGCACAGTTATAGTATCTGGATCAACTGAAAAGGTTTGCCAAACTCTACAGTATACTGTCGCTTTTATTTTGGGCCATAACTAATTATGGTATAATTAATATAATATTCTATTGATGGATTTCAATTAAACAATTACCCCTACTTTAATTTAGTTTTGTATAGTTCTGTTATTCCTGTTGTCTTTCAGGTACTTAGAGTCTGGGATCCGCGGACATGTGCAAAACTAATGAAACTAAAAGGTCACACGGACAATGTAAAATCTTTGTTGCTAAACCGTGATGGTACTCAGGTAAAAATGCCAAAAATATTTTTTGTGGATATACAACTCAAGTGCATACAGCTAAATCTTTGACCCTCCATGTTTTACCCCCAGTGCTTGTCCGGTAGTTCAGACGGGACTATCCGGCTCTGGTCCCTCGGTCAGCAGAGGTGTATTGCCACGTACCGTGTGCATGATGAAGGCGTTTGGGCCTTACAAGTGAATGAAGCTTTCACACATGTGTATTCAGGTGGCAGGGACAAAAAGATTTACTGCACTGATCTACGCAACCCAGATATCAGGGTATTCATCTGTGAAGAAAAAGCTCCAGTCCTCAAAGTAAGTGCAATAGCATACCTGTATGTTGTATTGTTTGGTTAGTCTTGAAAATATTTTTTTTAAATAATTACACTTTAAGTGCAAGATAAGCAGCTCATTGTTTGGGTTTAAGAGATTTTAAATATCCCAGTAACTGTTAATATTGTGGTTATTAATGACATTTGGGTCTTTTACTCAGATGGAATTGGACAGATCTGCTGACCCACCACCGGCAATCTGGGTCTCCACCACCAAGTCATCCGTTAATAAATGGGTAAGCAATAGCATGCGTGACACTTCGAGATCTACTTTAATCCATTGATCTGTAGAATTATTTTTTGTTTTTTTGTTGTTTGTTTATGCAAATGGCTTCAACAATGTTATATTGATATCAATGTCAATTGTTTTTGTTATAGTCTTTAAAGGGAATGCACAACTTCAGATCATCTGGAGAGTATGACAATGACTGCAGTACACCACTGACTCCACTTTGTACACAGCCGGAACAAGTCATTAAGGGTATGCATGTGGCCTTGTCACATTCATTCTTAGTCCCCATGATCTGATCTACAAACTGTTTGATCTTGAAGGAGGAGCAAGTATTATCCAGTGCCACATTTTGAACGACAAGAGACACATACTCACCAAAGATACCAACAACAATGTGGCATTCTGGGATGTGTTGAAGGTAGGATAAAGGCCAATGCACACAGGACGCATTGACGCATGCTGTATTTAACTCACTGACTGCCAGCCGATTTCACTAACTTTCACGACCCACAGAATATTGTGTGCTGTGACAATGTAAAATATGAAACCAGATTCTGAAAGATTGGACCGTCTACTCATCAGAAAAAATATGTAGGTATCTAGCTAGTTTTGTTCTGTTGTAATCTTCAGTCGAATAGATGGAAGTTTGACAGAAATCACCAATCTCAGCCAAATACATCAATGGCAGTCAATGGGTTAACACACACTAGGCATGTGGCACAGCTGAAATGCATGTTTTTGGCACTTCTGTGAATACACATTACCTCTGAGTGGCAGGCACAAATACAGCCGTCTCTCTACAAGGTCTCTTGTAGAAACTGTACTGCTAAACTCGCATTCATCAGATTTGAATCTGTGCCTTTTCTCTTCTCACACATCCTCAGCCTGTATCTCAATGAGTGCTGCGTTTTGCTGTGTGTGAAGCTGTTGCTCAACATGTGAACTGCAGTAGTTTTTACTTAGTTTTAGCTGTCTGTTTTCATTCAGGCTTGCAAAGGAGAAGATTTAGGAAAAGTGGAATTTGATGAAGAGATTAAAAAACGCTTCAAGATGGTCTATGTGCCAAACTGGTTCTCTGTAGATCTGAAAACTGGGGTAAGTCATGACTTATTAAGTATTTAATTGTCACAAACATTAGTAAACTTTTATTTTGTGCTTTGGTAGATGTTAACCATCACCCTGGATGAAAGTGATTGTTTTGCTGCCTGGGTATCAGCAAAAGACGCTGGTTTCTCAAGCTCTGATGGATCTGACCCAAAGTGTATGTAGTACAACACAAACATTGTAAAATAATGTACTGTGCGTGATTCATTTTCACCTACTTTGTGAATGTCTCCAGTGAATCTTGGAGGATTATTACTTCAGGCCCTGTTGGAGTTCTGGCCCAGGACTCGTATAAACCCAATGGACGAGGAGGAGAATGAGGTTAACCATGGTATGTGCCCTGTGTTCACACAAACCTGGGCTACATTTGCCTAAATATTGGTTGTTGTTTTAGTGAACGGTGAGCAAGAGAACCGAATCCAGAAAGGGAATGGATACTTCCAGGTACCACCACACACGCCTGTTATTTTTGGGGAAGCTGGAGGCAGGACTCTATTCAGGTTTGTAAAAAATATATGATAATAGAGCCAAATAAAGGGTTATACATGAAACTTTGACCTCATTCTCGTCCCTCTTTTGTCATTATGCAGGTTGCTGTGTAGAGATTCAGGAGGAGAGACCGAATCAATGCTGCTTAATGAGACAGTCCCTCAGTGGGTTATAGACATAACTGTAGATGTAAGTATTACCACAGTATTTCACAAATGTAAAATTGATTGGAAATGTGTAACTTTTATTAAAAGTGATTATCCCATGTTAAATCTCTTTTCATATTTCAGAAAAATATGCCCAAATTCAACAAAATCCCATTCTACCTCCAACCACATTCGTCTTCTGGTGCAAAAACTCTAAAAAAGTAAGTTGTCCTCAATTAGGAGAAGTGCCATATGCTCATAGATGAGATTAGATAAGAGAGACTGTATTTGTCCCAAAGATGGTTAGGGATCATGTTTTTGTTGTTGTTGCAGGGACCGGCTCTCAGCCAGTGACATGCTTCAGGTGCGGAAGGTGATGGAGCACGTCTATGAGAAAATAATCAATTTGGACAACGAGTCCCAGACGACCAGCTCCTCCACCAATGACAAGCCGGGGGAGCAGGAGAAGGAGGAGGACATGGCCATGCTCGCAGAGGAGAAGATCGAGCTCATGTGTCAAGACCAGGTACAAGTGCCTTTCTGAACACAGTTGCTTTGAACCATTCTGAACACTTATATTTCTCTCATTCAGATTCTGGATCCCAACATGGACCTTCGAACAGTAAAACATTTTATCTGGAAGAGTGGAGGGGACTTGACGCTACACTATAGGCAGAAGTCTACGTGAAAAATCCTTTAACAAAACTGTAATTTGCCAATCACCGACGCCACTGACATTTAAGCCCAAACCCCATTGTGTGGTCCAGAGACACCGTAGTCCAGTCAGGTTCTAGCTTCGGTGTAACATAGGAAACTTTCAGACTGGACTGAAGCAGCTAAGACAAAACTGGGAGAGAACCGGTCCCTGTTTATTTACTTTTTGTTTTATACCTACATCTGCTTGTGTTCCACCTCCTTAGGCGTTTAATTTGAGGCGACTGCAACTCTCGTTCATGTGGTCTGAGCGTGTTTATATGCACATGGATGTAGTACTATTCTAGTACATTCCAGAAACTGTTGTTGTTTGAAACACTTCATAAATTTCACCAGTTTGGGAGTGTGTTAGCGCTCCTAGTGTCAGTGTTCATCAAAGCTAGAGTCCTGTTTTTGGCCATCACAACTTGAACTTAACCTTGGCTTAGACATGTAATTATTGCAGAGCTTGAATCTCATTGGTAGATGCACATGTCTCAGTCTTTGTTTTTAGCTGTGCCGTTTTTTAATGGACTGAATGGTTTTTTTGTTATGTAAATATATGTACAACAATTTTGATTTACGTATTTCATTTGCAGCTGTTTGATTTTGTTGTACAGTTTCCTAAAGCTAAAGTCATTATTATTAGAATAACATGACCTAACGTTGGTCACAAACTGAAAGCTGCAGTTTATTGATAACAATGTTAGTTGTAAGTCATGTTAGCAGGCTGGAACTATAATATACTGTATAAAAAAGGTTTATACTGTATCAAACACCCTATCAAAATTAATGATTCAATTTCCAAATGTATATTTCATTTTATTTTTTATTGTAGTTAAGAGTTCAACAAAGTCAAAATTATGCCCTCTGAGAACCACAATTCCTTTCATTGTAAATGTTAAGTTATTTTGCCATCTAGAGTGTGCGTAACGCCATGAGAGAGAAGTGCTGGAATTGAACACTGCAATATCCCTTGTTGTAATAATTTGTGAAATATGTATATTTTAGGCATTGAACAAAATAAATTGGAATGGTTTAACAAGTACACATTTTATGGACATTATAAATATATAGTTCTGGGTGTGAGAATGAAGCAAGAGACTTTAAATTATTGTTTTACCATATATTGACTCGTCACAAACATGTCAGCATTCATTCCTAATAAACCACAAGTCATTGATAAAATGTATGTAAAAATATTTCTCAATGTTTTACAAATTAGCATCTACTTCATTAAAAGACCAACCCCATATATCCCAGTTAAAACTACACAATGTCCAAACGACGTATAAAACCCCTCTATCATAGTTTTCATTTTCCAAACTGTGCATAGTTAACAGTTCTCAGACATTTAAAACACGGCAAAATGAAGAATTAAAAACTGTTTTAAAAACACCCAACGTGCACCATGAGAAAAGTATTTGTACATAAAGGTGCAACTGTGCATTTGTTATTGTTGTTGACAAGTCTTTGGAACCCACCAAGCTCTCTTTAGTGTTTATAAAACGCACATAAAGCTTTGCACAATCACAAGTATATGTCACAAACTTGACCTAAATCCAAAAGGTTATTTAGGACGTGTTCACACTCGTCCCAAGTGAACCGGACCCAAACAGTCCTCATTAGATTACATCGGCTAATGGCTTATGTAACTACAGGACCAGTGCGCACTTGTTTGGATGTTTCAAATCTCCACAAATTCATAATTTTCCTTCATTAGAACCACAATTGATCCACTTAAAGTGAACTTTTAGTTCAGCCTGAAGTGTGAACACGGCCTCATTCAATGTGTCTTTATCAAAACTAAGACCAAAGTTAATTACAAGTCACTTTAATTAAAAGAAAGTTAAGATTGTCGGTTTGTTTTGACCTGATATTAATTTACTAATCTTCTAGTTCACCATGCGGTATTGGTTCTGAAGATACCTCAGTGTTCGGTGTAGGAGATTCCTCTGTATTGTCAACAACTTGAGACATAAAAACCTCAGTAGCAGCTTCCTCCGCTGTTGGTATGAGGTCCATGGGAGATACAGTCACGGAGTCATCCGGCTCAATGAGAGGAGCAGTGGGACGGTCCAGTGAGTCTGGGGTGGGACAGATGGCAACATCAGACGCCTCAAAGAGAGAACTGGGCAGCTCAGTGGACTCAGAGAACACTCCAGAGGGTTCAGACAGCAGAGCGGTAGAATCGTTGAAGGCAAGAGCAGCAGTGAGGTCCATCGCCGCCTCAGGACTCAACTCTGGAGCATTCTGGATCAGTTCACTATCTTCCAGCTCCTCTGTAAGCATAGTTGTAAGTAGAGTTGTTAGTCTTTGGTTGTGCAGTCGATTAATCAAACAAACTTTCATAATTTTCATTTTCATATTTTAATTTTCATAATTAAAAGCTCCTCTGTAACTCGTCTGATGTCAAACTAATTGGTGTAGGGATTGCTATGTTGCTGGTAAATTAGAAGAGGATAACCAGTCTTGTACACTTGTGATACCCTGCTTTGTGAAAGGAACCACACCTACCAATAACTGCTTTAATAAAAATGGCTTACAAAGCGACAGAAAAGAAGCAGTCAACAAGAGAAACAACTCGACCCAGATCCCCTCGAGTGCTCACCTTTACACTGGTGTCTACCATATTAGAAAGTACCAGAAAACCATCAGAGCTCACATGATGCACACACCTCTCCATATGTTACCATTGCGACCCTAAACATTATGGCTCTCACAATTGGCATTTGGAATATTCCACCATTGTTAAAAAAGGTGATTCTGTAGACTCACCTACACCTGATATGTCACCATCTTTTTCCTCATGCATAGCGAGAGAGGTGTTTGTCATATCAATGGAAGACATGGACAGATCAATCTTTTCCAACAAATCTGTAGCATCAGTTACCAGCTCTGGTACAGATGACTCAGTGAAGCCTAGGTACATTTAAAAAGTCAAATATGTAATGAAATCTTTCCAAATTAACCAACATAGATTATCCACTCACCAGGGTCCATGACTCTCTGAATGGGTGGAGGCAGGGGCTCTGTCTGAAGAGAGACCTCCTGTAGCTCCAGTGGGTCTTCACTTGGAGTTGACGGAGCCAACAAAAGAGTCTGGTAAAATAATGGTTTGAAGAGATTTAAAACATGAAAATATTATTAGATATAAGACGTATTTTCAAGACAAACCAGATGTATAGGGCAATTGAGAGAAATTACAAACTGTTACAAATTGAAAAATCTTGGTAATATATCTATAGCACTAAAGCAGGCGACATATCCACAACTACAACCTCCATCCACAACCGCTTTCAACTTGTTCGAAATACAGCGGGAGCACATAACTCTGGTGTTAAAATCACTCCACTGGCTTCCTGTGGGGTCAGAATAAAATATAAAATTCTTCTTTTAACATACAATGCATAAATGGCTTGGCTCCTTCTTACCTCTAAGACACGTTAGTGTCATACCAACCAAACCGAGCACTGCGCTCGCAAAACGACAGACATCTGGTGGTTCCTAAGGTCTCAAAAGCACGGTCGGCGGCAGAGCATTTAGCTACCAAGCTCCTTTACTGTGGAATCAGCTTCCCATCCACGTTAAGGAAGCAGATACGGTCTCAACATTCAAAGCCAGGCTTAAAACAGTCCTCTTCCATTTAGCATATGGTTAGGTTGTTTGTCGGTTCTTAGAGTCTGTTTGTAGGGGCCCGGTCCGCCAAACCGCTGAATCTTTCAACCTTTGTTACAAACTCAAACGTAAAGTCAGCGCTCACTTGACTATGTATCGTGGATTGTTCATTTATTTAGAGCACATGTGTCAAAGTCAAGGCCCGCGGGCCAAATCCGGCCCGCGAATGAATTATCTATGGCCTCCCGGGACATTGCCTGCCATTGAGGCAATGTATTGACCCCTTACGCTCGCTAGCCCCCGCCGGCGGGAGCAAACGAGGAAAAAAATACATCTGCTGGCAATAGCAGATGTATTTTGAACTTCATAAGCCACAAGCTATATATCATTTTAAAGCTTATTTTCTCAGCTATATTTATATGTAAGTGTAAACGATATCAGACTTTGCATTAAAAAGATATAACGCATAATATGGGCACAAAATAAATCACGTCTGTATTCGTTTTTTTACCTTTCGTCTTCTGCTGCTCCAACAAATTAGACTTTCCCCATCCTTGCTTAGTCTCTTTCTCTCCGTAACTGTTCATTGAAGAAGAATATCCACTTGTATTTCCCAAAGTATAATCCATTCTGCAGATTTAATCAAAAAACGCCCCGAAAAGAGGTCCAGACTGCTCTTTTACATTTCACCAAGTTTGAGCTTTTTCTTTTTTTACTATTTTCATGTTCTCAGATGTCTATTACATCTAATATGTACAGTATGAGGATTGGCTTTAGAGCATATTTTATCGAGCCAGCAGGTGTCACCGGCACTGCCTCTGGATGTTGAGAAACATTGAACCAGTCCGGCCCTCGGCGCGTAGCAAAAATTTTTTTTTGGCCCTCTGATGTATTTGACTTTGACATGCCTGATTTAGAGGATAAGCCCCTTGAGATGAATCATCTCGTTTTCAAGCGGGTCCTCAAGATTTCACAAGGTGAAATATACAACAAAACAGATGTAAACAAAACAAAAATACAAGCGAATCATAAAAAAGCAACCATAAAATCATAAAAAATACACACACATAAACCCTCAATCACTCTAACTGCTCATACATCAGGCAGTGATGGGTTTTGAACGGACAGCGGAGGACTAACCTACACAGGCTGTTGTAAGAGACAGTCAGATGCTGGAAAACAGAGGCAGTAGTGTTTTGATCGATTTTATCGCAGTAATCGAGAACGGGGAGAATCAATTGAGAAATTATCCTCTTCCTTACTGATAAACTAAAACAGTAAGTAGTTTTAAACAATATGACATTTTGTTTGTAATTGTATGTATATGAATATTAATTGACAGAAAAGGATCAAGCCATGACCTGAGATATTTAAATTGATTGACAACAGGAACTGGAGATATGTCTGAAAACACAAGATTAACTTAATTTGTAGAAACAGGACAGACTCGGATTTTTTGCTTTTAGAATAGATGAATGAATAGATCACTGTATCATCAGCATAAAGTTGGATCTGACAGTCTGTACCATAGACTGTATGTCTGTACATGCATGGGGAAGAGCATTAATGAAAAGAGTAGCTGCCATAAAAAAATTGAACTATATCAGAGGAGTGAGGACCTTTCCAGACCAATGGAGTGAAGCTTGTCTAAAAGCAAATAGTAATCGTCCAAATCGAAAGCTTTTGTGATGTCTATAAATAAAGCACCAGTAAGCAAATTATTGTCAAATCCAGAAAATACTGTATATCATTTGTGAACTTAAAAAATGTAGATGCTGTTGACAGATTTTTGGCTGATAAATATTCTGATAGTTGACTAAACGCTACTTTTTCATAAACTTTTACAATACTATTAATTATTGAAACGGATCTAGTTATTAATATCACCAATGTCCCCCCCTTTGTGAAGGGGGATAACTTTTGTACATTTCCAGGAAGAGGGAACTTCACAAGTGTTAAGCGGTAAGTTGAGAGATCTGCCAGAGGAAAGCACAGAACATGGGAGGCCTCAATGCCGTCTGGGCCGGCACTGGAAGGAGATAGCCCATTCAAGATAATTTCTCCTGCAGCAGGACTAACTCGCCTGAAGGAGAAACTGCTCCCACGTGGAATGTAATTGAAAAAAACAATGAAATGAGGAGGAGACTGAGATTGAGGCAAATGAGTGAAATGTTGATTGAAAGCAGTGGCAATAGTGTTTGCATAATTTGTAAATACATCATTGATGAGCATATTGATGAAGGAAGAGTTGGATTTACCTGATAAATTGTTTATATGCTTCCAAAACTTTTTCTGATTAAAGTTATTTGTTTAACTGTTTTTGTGATAGTTAGATCTAGCATTTCTTGTTTGAGGAGTACAGATATTACACAGGCGTCTGAATTGGTCCCAGTTTGCAGTGAGCTTCGATCATTAAATTTGGACCATGCCTCATCTCGTTGTCTGAACAGACTAATCAATTAACCATTCACCCCAGGAAGATGGTGTCCTTTAATTCTAATTTCAGTCAAAGGTGCATGTTTGTTTATAACAGTTAAAAATTCAGAATAAAAATAGTCCCAGGCTTCATTCATAAATGAGTCTTGTTATTTAAAGGTATATAGGAGGATTTTCTACTTTCGGGTGGATAATCAAGACTATTGATCCTCCAAATTGTCAATCATTCTGGTGATTTGTGCTCGTCAAATAAGACCAAAGAGTTTTGTTAAAAAGTGGAGAGGGGTGTTCTTTCCTAAAATTTGTGTCAATCTAATTTACCTTTTAGTTACGTAGTTTGGTTTATTTCCGTCAACATTTTTCCAGTTTACTTTATTAGTTTAAAATTTCTTGTTATTTGTTTACAAAAAAGGCAAGAACAATTTTACTAATATTATTATAATTATAAATTGCACAATTTTGAAACCTGAAATAGAAGTATACACAATTCATTAACTAAACTAATCAGACACATGCAATGTATAATTTATGCACCTGAGTTACATTGTTGTTTTTGACCAGTAAGCTAGACAAGGCTAATAATTTGTAAAGTAAAGAATGTCCATCCATCCATCCATTTTCTACCCCTTAATCCATTTCTGGGTCGGGGGGGTGGCAGTCAGAGATGCCACCCAAGTCACAGAGCACCTGCCCCTCACTGATCCTCTGCAGGTGGTGAGTCCACAGGAGGATGGCTGCTCTCTGAGTGTGAGCATAGCCTTGATCTTTCAGCAGGGGCTTTGGGCAAAGTGGGGTTAAGTGTCTTGCCCAAGGACACAACGACAGCAGACATCAGTGGGAGTCGGTGTCAAGGTGGGAATAACTTTTGTTAGTAAAGAATGTGCTTAAGTAAAATACTGAACACATGGAGTCTTTCTGGATTAAAAGGAAGGAGAAAAAGATATTTCCTACTCATCAGTATTTATCAAATATTGGCCCAAAACTGTTTTCAGAGTTCTAAGAGCTAATAGGGACATAATGGGAGACATCAGTACCTCCGTGTATCCATGATTCAAAGGCACTGAAGGTGTTTCTTCAGGAACAACTGCGGGGGTGGGAAGTTCCGGTGTCACTGCATCACTCTGAACAGGGATTCGGTGCAGGTAACCATAACCAATTCCACAACCAAGACTGCAAAAACACAATTAAGTAAATGACAAATCAAAACTCCTGATATCAGAAAGACTTTGTGACCTACCTGCCCTCTCCACCCCATGCACCATTAGGCGTTACCACCACCTCTCTGCATGTGTCAGTTTGAGTGTTATACACCATCAGCTTTAAAGCCTTTCCTTCATGAGCCTCAATTAGTGAGAAAAAGTCTTCAGACTGAAAGGTTTATAAAATAAAATGATTGTATATAGAATAGTAATCACAGTTATGATTTATAATATGTGACTAACATCTTGCAAAACCTGATCTGCTCCAATAATGTAGTCATTGTACGGCTGAAGTCCTGCTAACGAAGCTGGTGAACTGACTTCCACATCCTTAAATGAGGAAGAATTTCTTTGTTAAAACTCTGCAAGTTATGAGTTTCAGTAGATAACAACATCAGTCACATTTTATCATGACTATAAGATATAGTAATGAGACTTAAAAAAATTGAACGGTTGGCTTCTTACCAGGACATGCCAAACGTTCTCATTGGCTCCTTGGAAGCTGCAGAAGCGAACGCTGGCTCCAAGCAGACCTTGTCCTCCCCATATGTTACTGGGCACCACCTGAACCGTGCGAGCCCTCATGGTTTTAGTACAGTACACCTCCATTGTTATTGATCTGTCCATATTGGCTTTCAGCACGTCTTTCAACAGGTCATTCTCCTCATTCTGATCCAAAATAATACAAAGAATTAGCAATGTCAGGAGACTTTATGACACGTAGCATTAGTATTATCAAAGTAGAACATACAAGTCTTTTATTGTCAAGGGACAAAATAAAGTCGAAGTATGGTTGAAGTCCAGCTTGCTCTGCGGGTGAATTTGGCTGCACCTATTTACACCACAAGATATGGAAATAAATATTTAAATGGAAACCTACAGTTTATACATAACACATGGGTTACTACTAGGTTACTACGAGATACACAGAGAATACTAAAATAGTATACATAACTAAAACATGTAACGTGGAGAAATATGGAATATATTCGAATTTAATTATCCCAACGTAATCGTGAGTCTCACGGGCTTAATCTGATCAGCATGATGTTACTATACACGAGAGGAGCAAAGTAAAGATTAAAGAAGCCTTACACCGTGAACATGGTATCCATATGTCCCTCCTTCCGACACCTCTGAACTCTGTGTTAAACCCATTTCTGGAAGAACAGCTCAAAATATGTTTTATTTGAGAAAAAACGACGAGGAGATTTTTAATACGGAGTGTCCGCAGCCATCTTGTGTACAGTCCAAAACAATCGAGCGTCGTGACGTCGAACCGAGCGCGCAGGAGCCATGGAAACCGACGTAAACAGAACCCTATTTACCTCTGTAGCAACCATAGACAGTAAATATTAGCAACCATCTAGCAACTATGCTTCCATAAACATGACACAACAGCTACAGAAAAACTGGAGTTCCTAACTTTTATACAACATTCATTTACTAGTTTCCACATGAAAATATTTTTGGCCTCTGTCACATCTTTAGATCAGTTTTTTCATATAGAAAAGTGAAAAAGAAACGATCACCCTCACTCTACCATCAGCTCAAAAATTGGTATGATGTTTTTGGGATAAATAGGATATGATATTTATTAAACCAGAACTTTAGGTACCCCAGTTTAGGGAATGTATGAATGAATCAGACCCGCCACTAGTTAAATAAATATGTTTTTATTTCTTCATAAAAAAATACAAAGGATATTTAGCAATTGGAATATCATAGCTGATCAAGATCATAATCGTTGGTGATGCAAATATTGAGACTATTTTTGTTTGTTTTTTTACAATCAATGTTAGAGAATATATAAATTATACGTTAAAGAATATATTATTCTTTAATTCAATTAATACATATTTGGCATGATTTCATGATTCATACTTTTTTTTGTTAAAACATATATAAGGCTTAAGAGGCAACATAACATACATAATTATTATTCTTTCTTTTTTACATAAATTACAGATATATGCTAACTTGACAAACAAACTTGCTCATACATAATTTAAATCACACTTCTCTACATCTGATTTTTCTTTGACACGGATTGGCTATTCTCCCTCTGCCATTACCATAGCATTGTTGCAAGACCACACAATTGGTGCCTTGAGTATCTTCAGTCTGTTAGACCTATTAGAGACTCCAAGAGGTAGGTGCTAGATTCATCCTGTGGAAGTAAGTCACAGTTGAACAACTGGAGGTGGTCCAGGCTGTCAGAGAGCGGTTGACTCTTAAAGGAGCAGTGTGGGAGTCCCGTTGTATAATCACTGTCAAAAAACTCAAGGTCTGAATCAGAGGAAAGGCTCAGATCCATGTAGTAGTCACCGGATGGAGAGGGCGTGTTGGGAAAGTCTTCAAGAGAGTTTTCGTCCACACATTTGGGCTGGGACGACAAACTTAAAATGTCCATGAATGAGTGGTCGTTTGAACAAAGAGCTCCCACAAAGTCAGTACATGTGTAGCTATTTTTAACCATTAGTTCATTTGTATTTCTATTGGGAAAGTTCAGAGTATCATTGTCACACAGAGTTAAAGCATGGGATGATCTCTGGTCTTTTTCAGAAGGAGGTGAGAGTTCAGGCAGGTTCACAGCATCCGAGGACGAACAGGATGAGTCAGTCATGTCACTACTGCAGCTGTTCTCCTCCAACATACGCTGCTCTGGTAGTAAACTAAAGGATCTCAAAGCAGGGATGTTGTGACCATTATCATCCTCTTCCTGAGAAGAAACATCAGAGGAACCACTACGTTCCTGCCCGTTGTGTGATAAATGCACCTTACTGTTGACCATCGAAACCGCAGACTGGTCTTTGGACAAATGAGTCTCATGTTTGGGTCTCCGCTCCAGCTCCAGTCTCATTATTGTGTGGAAATGATGAGTGCGCACACGTCTGGAGTCAAACTCTACACGGCCCTGAGTGTTCCCACAACCATCCTGACTACAGCCACATGGGAAGTTAAACCGGTCCACCTGTAAGAAGTGCAGTAATACAATTGTTACTTTTAAACTATATAGCAAACAATAACATCCAGAAAAACTAGATTTTGCCATTTTAAAATTAAACAAAGGACGTGTTTGTTCACAGCACTACCTGACACTTGATGCCTGCCAAGCTGCACGCACAGCTCTCTGGTTCACAGAAGCCTTGGCAGTCACAGCCGCAGGTCTCTCTGGAGAGACGGAGAGTGTGGAGCTGCCTCTTCTCCTCCTTGTCAATGCGTCTCACTCCTGCTGCCAGAAGAATTGCCTGCCTCTGCTTTGAAGAGTATGGCTGAAGAAACCCTCCACCCTCCAACTCCACACTGTTAATGTTGATGTTCATTTCCTCAAATGGTACTTGGTCAATGGTGAGAGTCTCAGCTCCTGTTTCGTTTATGGTCCCACTGGTTATTAACTGCAATGTTATAAACATAGGTGAACACTCAGTCTACAAGTTCATCATGAGCGTTAATAAATCAAATTATCTCAACTCACTTTCTCTTTGATTTCCAGAAACTTCTCTTGCCTCCATCGCTCTCTGAGCTGCTCACGTCGCCTGTGCCTCTGCTCCAGAGTATATTCAGCAATTGTAAATGTTTGGACCTCACAGTGCCTCCTTGTCATGCCCAGAGTGGCACCTCCACGACTGGGAACACCTGTGAACCCTTGGCAGCGTGGGAAACTATACACAGTCACCTGGAGAAAGCACACGTTGTTCTGGGCAGCTGGAAGCTTTGGTTTCTTCAGAATAGATCTCACTGCAAGAACCACAGAAATATATATACATATTAATTAACCAGATGAGTTATGTTGATGAGTGAATGTCTAGTTTTATTCATGAGAGATATTGTAAAATGCATTATATTTGATGAACATTCAGTGTGCACTTTTATAAATATCCACTAGGGGTCTATGAACAATAACATAAATGGGAGGAAGAAACAATACAATATTAGAATAAAAGACAGCTGTCTAGTATGTCCGTTCTGTGTTACTGAATGTTTTCATCAACATAAGTGAGGCCGAGCTCTCCTTTCAAAAGTCAGTAAACAAGAGAGAGCAGCTGACAAAGCTCGTCTCAGCTGCTAAAAGTACAGGCTATACTTCACCACTATGTTTACCCTTCTACCAATATCTTTAATAATGAGAGTAATAATGAAAGATGGTTTTAAATACATTTGTGTACCTGTATTTATCTTTATTGGGAATATCACTCATTAATTACAGAGTCATTGCAAATTAACGTCAGAACTCTAGGCAACTTCTTCACACCCAAACAGAGCATCTACGCTCACTCATTATCTGAAGCACTGAAGCCCCTGATAAGAGACACTCCTATTGGGTAAAGGTTTTAAAAGATGAGAGGTAGAGCTGCATGACTTTCGAATAATATCTAAAAACAATATTTATGACCAACATTGCAATTGTGAAATGCCTATATTCTACTTATTTAAAAGTCTCATTTTGTTTTAGAGTAAATAAAAATCTCACATATGAAGATAATAACACACGATTCCCAAACATTTCTGAACATGTTTACAGAGGTCTAAGCTTTAGTACAATATTATTTGTGGAGAGCCCTAGTCCATTGGATGTTTTAGGTATGTAAAAACTCACAGGGGAAAGCAGCAGGGGCAGGAGGGCTGTGAGGGGGCATGTCTTGTTTCTGTTTGTCCAAGTCCCATCCACAGCAGGAGGTTGAAGAGGAAGAGGAGCAGCAGGAGTCTTCATCCAGCTCAGAAAACTTCCTCTTGAGGATGCCCATCATTATTTGTCTCACAGGGAAGCTACACTATCTGTAAGACATAAATTACATTATAATGATCAGCAGTGGTGGCAGCAGAGAGATTGCAGTTCACTTTAGGACAAGAGGCTGTTTTTTAAAACCTTTTCCCAAAGAACAGAAATATGAAACATGAGTGACAGGTGGGGGAATGAGAGAGGTCTATGAGCCGGTTGGACCGGTTTGTGAGTTTGCTTGGAATGATTACAGATGAATCTTTCAAAACGCTGTTTCATAAATGTACAAATGTAAACCAATATCCTGGCTTGCATACAACCAGCTGAGCACTCGGATGAGAGCGCAGGGAAAAACTAAACAGCTCCCTCCGAGTAATTAACATTCCAACGATTCCACAAGTTTTTTTGAAGAATGTGTGGAAACTGTCCACTGCGTAATAGTAACACAGAGGCTGCTATTTTTAAATGTAGAGATTCACATGCGGCTTGTGCGGATAATCAATGTGAAACAACTTAAAATAATGTAATTATATATGACACCGTGTTATTATCTTTGCACAAGAAGATGCAGTCATGGCAACATTTGGACTTGATGTCACCTTCAAAAGTAGCTGAGCTGCAATAAGAAGAACACTATGATTGATGAATATTTATGAACATTTGCAGACATTGGTCATCTCTATGGAGAAATGGCTTCTATGTGTTTCTTTTCTCCTTTTATTGCATTTTGTGTGGTATAACTGATTATCTAATCTGCTGTTATAGAATTGCTGCAATGGCTGTAATATAAAGCAAGACTAAAATACATTGGTCTGATTTGAAATATAATAAACTCATGCAAACATAGTTCATCTATGGTGCACGAGAAAAGGAGCATCTGATATTCTGTAGTAAGCAAATACTCAGAGCAGCCAGACACTACTGAGAGTGAGCAACTTCCTGGATCCATCAGCAAATAAGAGGTGAAACAGGAGACAGCCCTAGTGCCATTACGACGTTTGCAGAGAAATAGTGTCTTCTGAACACAGCCATGGAAGACCTTCGAACCCCCAACACAACCACAGGCCTTGACAGCTTTATCTATAAACACAGATCCAAACACAAGGGTGCAGCTGCTCTGACAGGCAGTCCATATTTCTGACACAGGCTGCATAGGACTGTAACCACTGAGACATACCATCAATAATTAAAATCTCAGAACGGGAAAAGCACATAGGGAAGAGGGGTGTAGTAATGTGACAGAGAGAAGAGGCTTTTGAATGATTGACACACTTTAAATAGACAGCACAACGACTCTATATGTTTATTTAAAAGCTGTATATATGCCTTGGAGTGGCTTGTTTCCTGTTTAAGTACAATCATTAGAGATCTGCCCCCCTGATCACTCACAGACACAGCCATTAAGAAACCTCGTCAGCCACAATCACTCTCTGTCCATGAGCAACATTTACACTTTCTGAGCTAAACATTGCACATATTTGTACAAACTAAATAAACTCGCTGTGAAAGTTGGAACAAGCAACGCCAACGCTTCATCGTGACAAGGTAATAATACATTCACGAAATTAAAGGATAAAACCAAAAGAAGAAACGAATATGAAGACGATGTTAGTGTCCGAGATTTTTTCGATTAAACATCCTCAGTTAACCGATTGCTTAAAGTTATTGGCAACAAAGAGTAGTTGTTTTACCGTGATAAACAGCGCGTAGACGATGACTGGCAGCATAGTAAAGTTTGTAGAGTTATCCTCGGGTGAGCCAGCTGAGCCGTGTACATGCCCGTGTTTATGTCTTATGTGAACAGTAGGACCAGTGTGGGAGAGAGGCAGAGGCTGGGACTGCCAAAGAGCAACAGCAGCGACAAGAGAGTTAAAACCACCATCACCACGTGTTCTGTGCAAAGCAACACTACGTCCTTGCACTTCTGTGTTCTGGTTTGATTTACAAGAATATTTAACGTCCCAAGGGATTCTGTTACAGCAGTTGTCAATGAAGGATGTCATGTATGGTGTGTTTATTGAGGATGGACTAGTTGACAAAAAATTTATTCACAAATAAAAGAGTTCTAATTATTTCATAAATTGCTCATTATAATCTATGAAAAAGAACCTCCATAAAACATCTTGCTTTTATTGACAAGTGCCCATCACATGTGGAGTCGACTGATGAGGTCTGAGATCAAGGCCCTCTTTTTTGGTTTATTGTTATTATTTTGGTTTATTTTGTATTTTTGTAATACTGTCTTTTGTGTAAATATTATTTAAGGCACTTGTTTTGTTTGTATTGCTTGCATCAATGATAATAATATTAATAATGAAGACGTTCATTTCAAAAAATAATATAAAATAAAAATACATTGTCCAATGTCCATGAGACAAATGCTAATATTACAAAGACGTAACCAGCAAATGATCTAAAAAAAAAAAGTATTAATTGCGTTTGAATCATAATCACTACTTGATCATTTTACAAGTCGCAATCAAAGGCCATAGAAAGGATCATATACAGCCTGTGGATGTAATTGTACTGCCGTCCCTTGTGCAGTGCATTAACAACAAAATTATGTTATTCAAAGAGTATAATACTGATTTGAGCGTATTTTCAAAAAAACCTTTATTCTTCCCAATAATGGCTGACATCTAAATTGGCTTCAGTAACATTCGTTATGATATCTGGTGTGCTTTTGTTGAATTTACAAAACGACCCGACGAAACTCACAATTTGGAACAAAGTCATAGATTTGACTTTGCAAAGTGAACAGGGAAAATGTACTACTATTTTGACCATATCTTTGGCCTGGTTAGTACTGTGAAAGTAGACCTTTGGGAACACCAGGTGCCAGCATTGGCCAGCTCTGTAATGTGTCATTGTGTCCTTAAAACACTAGAATGCCTAGAATAAGTCTGATGTGTGTGCCAGGTTGCCTCGCTTTTGCCAGTGTGCCCCAGGACAGCTGTGGCTACAGTAGTAGTTTATCAACACTGTGTATGGAGTGAAAGAATAATGACATGTGAAGCATCTTTGAGTGTTAAAAAGTTCTATACAAAACCAATGCATTATCATTAAATACATAGTTAGAACTTTCTATGTCCATGGAATTATACACAAAGGATAAATTAACTATTAAATAGGGTATATGAATATTGCCAAATGTGCTCTATGTGCTGTTCATTTATAAATTATTTTGATAATCCAGTTGTGTCCACTGAAATCACATGTGCCACTTTGATAATGAGCCAGCTGACGAGCCGTAACTATCTTGTGTCGTAAAAACTCTTTACGCTCAGTGACGCTGATGACGCAGTGATGACACACGTAGACGGTCATCTGCGTGATCTGCTGATGTTCCACAACACTACGATCACAACATTCGTTTTAGATCACCGCGTGACTCACGATAGTTGGCGTCTGGATTGGCTTCAACAACATTCATGTGGATATCTACGTTTTTCGAATTCGCAAAACAATCCTCACTGGGCAGGAAAATTAAACTAACAAAGTGGAACGAAGTCATAAATCTAAAAATATAAACTATAATATAGAAGCACAGTAATTAATCAAAGTCAAGTCAAAAACCTCTATATGAACTATGAAACCAACTTATATATCAAACAGTATTATTTCACCCCAAGAATAATAGCAACAGCCTGACTGGGAAAATGAGGTCCACAATAAACAAACTGACACAGGAACAGAGCCAGGTGAGAGAAAACTTGGGATTAAATCAGCCGTATAAAGCTATTTTTGATGCCAGGAGACAAATGCCAGTCCTGACAACCCTATATAGCTAACATTTTATATCATTATTAATACATTACCTTTGTTTATCCCAACAGAAATGATCTTGTTTAGTTAAGTAATATTGGCTGGTACTCGTACTTGAGAGAGAGGTCAAAAATATGTGCAAGTATGTGGAAACTAGTTATAGACCAAACAGTTTCATTTTCAGGAACAAGTTACATGGGTTTTATTGCATAGTATTTAGGAATGTACTCCCGCTTTAAAGCACATTATGTGACCCAGATTGAGTAGATTCTGCTGGTATGAGCCTGTTTTATTCACTGATCTATTTGAAGAATGTTTATATTAGTTAAATTTTTAACAAACTAGAGCTAACACATTACAAATATGTAATTTTGAAAGAAAACATACATAATGTGTTTCTGTTATCCGGACTCGACTTCCTTAAGTTATGAACAAATGCTCTGTGATGCTCCAAGGATAATAATAGATCAATCTCACTGTGTGGTCAAAAATAGGCAAGAGCAATACGGTTGGAGTTTCCGGTATTGTTTTGTGTCCATAATCACATGCAAGTGGTGCTTAGTGTCATGTGTGAGGTGACTCAAGACGGCAGAATACTCCTGCAATAATGATTTAATTACCATTAGAAAATACTCAAATCAAAATAAATAGTGCTTTGTAACAAAATACAATTGATTAATGATTTTTAATACTGACATCTATAAGTCTAATGGTATCTGCTTAGTGGAAAACCATCATAGATCTTTAACCCTTTAACCTAGAATCCAGCTTCTCACACAGCCACAAATGGCTCTTGTGGCCCAAGTTCTGAGTCACCCTGGCAGCTCGGCAAAGAACAAATGCCAACATCATAACATGTTGCTTCTTTATTTATATCCAATCCAGTTATTTATATAGCATATCAAAAAAAACACACAGACAAAAAAATCACATTCAAAGGTACAAGTCTGCCAGCTTTATAAATAGAATATAGGAATCATCTAATCATCTTACTACACAAAAACTGGATATTCATAATTTGATGCATGCAGCAGTAAAATGTAATTTGTTTGTGCTTTTTATTCATTATTTACATTTGGACAAGGACAACTTCCATACAATCTGTAATGTCCCAGTAATAAGATTGAAATGGAATGGAAAGACTTGATCTGTGGATAAGTAAAAATGACAAATAATGTTTTCCAATCAGCTTGTCTTTTGGTGTTGAGTCATGAATCCAATGAGTCAGTGAGACGCAGAGACAGCACTAAAATAACTCAT